CTGTGCAAGGCTGCTGTTGCACTACAATTTCCCTCACAGGATTAATAAAGTATCTATATAAAGCACTTTGAGTGGAGTGTCCAGAAAAGTGCTATATAAATATAAGGAATTATTTCTAGTGTTACTGCATATACCAGTCTTTATATTTCCATATATATTTATTATATCATTTACATATGTATTTATAAAAACGCAATAGCCATAAAGACCCTTCAATAAAGGCAGGGAATAATATATTAATCACTCATATGGTTTAATTCACCTTACTGCAACTCTGATTGATATTTGGGAAATTCTAAGTCACCAGAACAGGTGATTTCAAAATAGGACAATCCCAGTTCCAAGAAAAATATAGAACTTAAAACAAGGTAAAAAATGTTGGAAAAACAACAGTAGGACGCTATATTGCTATTCGGTTGCTCTAAAACAAATTACAGTATCTGTAAACGATCAGGTTTATCTGAAGAAAAAAAATATATTCCCATTTTATACAAGAGATTACAACTAGCATAAGGGCAAAATCAAGCGCAGACTACAACAAATTTACAATGCGTATAACGCTTTACAGTAGGTACAGTACAATATTAAAGTTGCTCAGATTGTTCGTATGGGAAGTGTCTTCCAGTCACATTTGAATATACACTATGCAGATATTCAAGCAGTACGTAAACTTATTTTTCAAATGACTGATATTTGCTCCGTATAAATTTGCGAATGATGTCATCGTCTATTCTGCAGGAGACCATATTCTACGATGAGGGATGAGCCCAAGTTCACTGGAGAGATGGACAGTGTCTACTTTTTAAAACTGACAAAAAATACCTTTTTTTGTTTTGCAGTTTGCATTAACCGTCCGGGTGTTTAGAAGAATACCAAAATCACCTAAATACACAAGGACGAATACATAGGCAACAAGGCATCGAACTTTCGAAACTTCATCGAAATGTAGGCAGCTAAAAAGACGAAATAAGAGGTAATATTTTCTATTGTGAGCAAAAAACGCCTTCAGTTATTACAACGACGCTAAACTCTTGTAATGCATGATCCCTTTTTCTGGGGCCAGTTTTCATATCAAAATATCACAGGACAAAACGAGATAATTACATGAAAATGTACTTTTGACAGACATTAGCACACACGACAAATAATAAAAAAAGAAATGACATTACCTTAAGAATGAAATGCCTGTGATCCACCGAAAATCCTTTGGCAGAAGGAAATTTATCTATTTTCACTTCGGCCACATCTTGATTTGGATTTTCGACAACCAAGACTGATCCTTTAGAAGATCCCAACTTCACGGTCTCGAAACTCACAAACGGAGCCCTTGAGAACTGCACAAGACTTAACACGGGGTACGAACCACTCTTGTTTTCCTTGTTTGCATCCCCAGATGAGAAGTTCGTAACAGCAGCACCCTTGCCTGGATTGATTTCATTATGGACACTGCACGTCGGACTGAAGTCCAGTAAAACACCCTTCTTAACAAAAGCGGACATCTTAAAAAAATCTAACCTACTGCTGTATAAAAATCGCTTTTATAACACCTAAAATTATTAACCCATTTCTTCTCTCTGTGGACTACAACTGCATGCACACGAAGACCCACCCAGTGAAACATTTCAAATTTCCCCCTTCAGCCAATCACAGAGGAGTCTGTGGATTCCTCCTATCCAATCAGTACGCTGCCAACAAAGCCAACCAGCAGTCCGGTTGCTTTTTTAAATTCCACAGTCGTTAACAAACTAATGTATGCTGGGGTGCAATTTAACTTACAAGGTTTATGTAGTTAAGAAACGGCGTATTGGTGTACACGCGACACAATGCGTGTACCTCACACCCAGCTAATAATATAATCATTAAATCACTTTAAATAACCGCCTATACCTGCCAATATCTTAGGACTGAAATTATGAATTTCATTACTTCTCTCATGTTCAGCTAAGATGATGGTGAGATCATACACGCCTGCACAAACTACCAGAGTCGTAAAAGAAAAAAGATTCAACAGGCGGAAGAGTCTTTCGGGGCTCTCTAAACCAGCTATGCTTCACAGCAACTGAATGCCGAATACTGTTTTTATTAATTTGCCTTTGGAGTAATTCTGAAAACGAAAGAACAAAGTTTTCAAATCTTTTAAACAAGAAACGCTGAACGCTAATTTAAAATATGAAATCGCTAATATTAATGTTAGAGGTAATAACATCTTGTACAGCGCATAATGTACAGTACAGTATTACTAGGGACCCGCTCCATTCACAAATAATGAGCAGCACCTGTCTGACGCATTGTGACCATTGACTCGCCACACAGCAGAGCAATGAGAAATTGCTCTATCAACTGAATATAGTGTGAATTGGATATATCAGATTATGAAAGCACGGGGTGGAATGTATCCAGGTCACCAGGGTTATCACCCTTACTCTAATGAACAGTGCCAAGTTGTCTTTAATTACCAGGTAGTCAGGACCTCGGTTTACCATCTCTCATGAAGGACAGCACCTTTCAGCAGGTGTCCCTGCTAGCCATATTCGTTGTAGTTGTTTAAAACAATGTCCAGAGAGAAGAGTGCTATCTACTGGTTGATCAATACTAAGGCAGTAATCTTTTTTGCAGTCTCCAATTTCCTTAACCTATGGAAATTTGGCAAGATTAGTTAACAAGATTGTAACAGTACAGTCAAGTTGAAGTATACTGGTTGAAAATGTAACTGAATATATATTTTTTACAATCCAAGTGCCACTGAGTTTGTTGTCAAGACTAAGTTATTATTACATTCCTGGATCAATGTATGTAGGGATGTTACAATACATTCAGGGAACATTTAGTAGCATTTTTGTCTTGTGTGTGCAGTTGCAAACTACACATCGAAGCATTTATGAGGCATATGAGAATTATAGTTTTTTTTTAAAACAGACTACAACTGCATATGGATCCTTAAGTAAAGGTTTCAGGTTAAGTAAAAGATTGTGCATTTATATACTGAAGCTTGTGAGTATGAAAGTTGAAGCAACCTACCCAGTCCTTTAATGATAGGCTAGTTTATAAATAGTATAAAAGAAAACATTTCCATACCATTCTTTGTAATGTTTCTTACTGCTATAAACAAGTGTTACTTCAGAGTTTCTTATTTTTGAAAGAGGATGTTGTGATTCAGGAGATAACTGGAAAATGTTAATACGAAAATATTAAATAATTAAAAAAACTTTTATTTGCACATATGCATCCGAAATTCAGAATGATATACATCTTTACATTTGATAATGAGAGAAGCATTAAAGAAATATATCATTGACAACAGAGTATAAAATGTAGCAGCAAATCGATTAAAATCATCAACATTAAAAAAAAAAAAAAAAAGCAAACCAAAAGTGGGAAAGGTAATTAAAAAAAACAAATATTTGAACATAACATCTTCAAGACATTAAACTTTCAAATATATACTGTAAGCCACATAACTACACTTCTACTGGGGTGACTCCTAATAATATGTCATATATCTCACACATTGAGATTTGGTATTTCACATTTTAGAAAAAAGAAAGGTTACCATAATCTTAGTTCACTGAAAAGAAATGTAGTTACTACCTCCTGGTGAGAGGTGCCTTCAGTACTTTTGCCCCTTTTTTTTAGCAATATGTTCTGTGAAGATGTTCAAATTGAACCCTGATACATCACCCCATGATGCAACAACACAGCAGCTCATCACAATATTTTGCTAAACCTGCAACCTTCTGAATCCCAATATTAATGAGCCAGAAGGATAATAACTGCATTTAGTTGGCAAATAACCAACTCTGCTTACCCTTTAAGGTGAAATGTAATTATCTCTTGAGGAATGACAAAGTTGAGCGGCCCAAGATAACAGTGATGGAGAGACATAAAAGGAATACAGAGCCTGACTGAAAGGCCCTGAATCCCATAAGAGGTCATGCTGTGTCTACGACATATAATCAGCAAGTCAGATGCCCTGATGGGTGCTGTCTGGTACATGCTGATGGGGAGTACTCCAACAGGAGACAGTACCTGCTCTTGGAACTAAATGTGGGGAACTGAAAGATATCCATCTTCAAAAGCTGGCAGAACATTAATACCAGGAGGAGTGAGCAACAGAAAACACAAGTCTGCAAACCGAAGAGATCTGAAATGCATGTCTGACACCACTGGAAGGTCCCACAGTGGTACTGCATCACTGCACAGTAGGTAAAGAAACTTGGACTCATGCAGACCACAGCTGGGAGGGCAGTGAGTACAATGGTCTCACATTCACCATATATTGGACAGCTGAGAAAGTTTCCAGGTGTGAATTGGAACACAATATTCAAGGACTTAAAACTGGTTTGACCAGTCAGGCTCATAGACATGCCAGGGGTACATCTTTTGCTACAGATTCAGGGTAGTTTAGGGTACATTCTCTATTCCAGGCCCCAAAAACTAAAGGCTTACGTTGAGTACTCAAGGCAACCAGGTCCCATTTTGAATCTCAAGTCCCCATTAAGATCTTGAGATCGTAATCCAGTTCTTCCAAAACTTTCAGGAATACAAATCCACTACAAGACATCATTTAGGCCTCATTTAGGCAGACCCTGTCAAGGCCTCTAGTTTGTATCAAGACCTGAGACTGTGAGAAGACCTCAAAAGGTTAAGATCTCCCAGGTTTAATGAATATTATGAAAATATAAAAACCCTGTCTCAAGATCTCAAGAATGAAAAACATGTTTTAAGCTCAAGATCTCTGGGAGTTTAAATATGCACTGAAGATTAAAACCCTGAGACCTCAAAGACGCAGTCACGTGTGCAGGCTCAATGGCTCAATACCTCAAGGCGTTCTGGGCCAGAAATTTGCAACGAGGCACGAGACCTTGTGAAGCACCTTGTGAAGCACAGCATCTACCACTAGAGGGCCCTACAGCTATTCAAAATCCACTGAGCTTTTGGCTCCACCTACTGTATGTACCCTGTTGTGCTGGTAAGGTCTATGTCTCCAGTGAAAGAAGAAAAGGCAAGGAAGAGAAAAGACAGTAAAGGAAACCTGTCAACTATGAAAAGTAGCAAAAGATATCTCTCAGCAGTGAACTAAATCAGGGCAAGGGAGGTTCCAGATATTCTCAAAATGTTGAGTAAAATAATAAAGATGAGCTGCTAAGCCAGGTAAGCCTCATCAAAGGATAAGTCTTGTCTTGAGACTGAGGCATGGCCTGACAGAGTCAGAACTGAAGGCAAAATCTAACACAAAGAAAATGCCTACATTTACCACAAAAGGCAAATAATATTTTTGGGACGCATTCAAAGTTAAAAGTAACTGCTTTATTTATATGATCCTACCAAATGCTTGGTTAATTATTGTAAATTTCACAATAATAAGAGTTCAAAATGTCTGGATTTCATGGTTTGTGAAATTTTAATCTTACGTATCATGCTGTAGCACAACATGAACATGTATAAAACAACATTTAAAGCTCTCATTTTAATAAATGCATTGTTAAGTTATTGTTTCAAATGCCATTAATATACAATAACATTCATACATATCGGGTATTACCATATCAAAGTCTTTGTCTTGTTAGATCAACAAATCCAAAGCATCCTACAATGATGTTTTGCATCATTCTGTCTCTACACTGAACATACCCATTCTCATTCAGACATAGCTTTCTCTGCACCAGCAGAGATTTGTGGAATTATCAGATAGCTCCAAACTAGCCTTGCAAGATGGGAATTCTGAACCTAAAACTAAATGTTTTTATAATCAGGAATAAAAGCATTTCAGCTACAAAGAGTCACTATCACCATGCAGGAATTGGTTTGCAAATTCTTTCACATGGTCCACTGCAATACTGAATACTGTCTTTAAAACCTTCAGATTTCTTTTGAGCACTCCCAATCACGAACAGTGAAGATACTGACATTTTATGAAAAGTGTATTTTCACTATCCACTATCCACTATCCATCCTCTACCCTCTATCCTCTATCCTCTAGTAGTGGGTAGTGGGTAAGATAGTGGATAAAAAAGGAAGAAATAATTCTTTGGATTTCAGGATACGAAACAAAAAAGACCACATTTTGAAGAGATGAAATTTAACTAGTTCATGGGATGTTTTTCATGCCCGAGAATGTGCAAGGACCTTATTTTGAATAGAAAGAGAACATGTAGGATTCAAGTACCTATACTGTACATTTCACGACTATAAACATGTTACTGACCATGGTCAGAGTTAGATATGTTTTGTACAGCTGCAGAGGTATCAAGTCCTAGCAGAGTTCCCAAGTAAGACTGCTCCCGGGGATCTAAAATCTGATCAGGACGAACTGGATGAACAATGTTTGCTGGCTGGGGAGTTAGAGTGTATTTCTCTAAAAAGACCAGATCTGTAGCTGGTTGGTACTCTGTCTGCTGACCCTGGGGCTGTGGAGAGAGGATGTTATGTGACTGGGCAGGCAGAGGAGTAGTGTGCCTTACAAGATCAGTCTGGCTGGAAACATCTGGCATCTGAACTGGGACAAGTGTCACAGGCACACATACGTCTGAGGATACATTTTGCAGTATTGTCTTTGGTTCAGGCCGATAGACCTTGGACTGCTCAGGATGATAGACTTTGCCGTCGTATGGCACAGGCAAAGAAACCATTTTGTCCTCCAATTGATCTGCTGTTGGCTGTTCTGCAGCTTTGGTTCCATGGACATGATCGATGTGGTATTTCAGCTTGTCTTTCCGTTTAAATGTGGCACTGCAATGCGGACAGTTGAATGGGCGTGCATCTGAGTGAATCACCATGTGTTTCGTTAAAGTCTTCTTAATTCTGAACATCTGATTACAAATGTGGCATCTATAAGGTTTCTCCCCTTTAAAACAAGACATTGTAAGGTATTAAAAAGTATTCAAAGGTATTATTAAGAACAACCACTTCTTTTGTGAGCCAGACTAAATCATTAAATATTTCAAAGAGCTTTGCAAAAATGGAAAACATTCGTCATAAAACTAATTTTTAAGACAATTTAAAGCACACATGTAAAACTCTTCTGGACCTCTACTGCAGTCTCAGATTCTCCAAAAAAGATGCTTAAAAGCTGTAGAAATTGTACTGTATTATTGTTTCTATACGCAAAGGAGCTGCAAGAAATGGTTGTATTTACAAGGTTTGTGAGAATAATACCATACATGTCCGATATGGATGAAAAGTGTCATGATATTTGTAAAAGTGATTTTGCTGAATACTGTGAAACATTTTTTTATTTTTTATGACAGGCATTAGTGCATTTTCAGGGCATTTTCAATTCTAATTAAAGATTTACCAGTTACGAAAATATTTTAATTACATTTTTAATTAACAAAAATTGAAATGTCTTGATGCACTGTTTGTTTACTTGCCACAGAACGACCCTTTTGGGGCCCAACCCCTGCAGTTTTATTATTATGTGACATGACATCAATCAACTCATTGAAAAATCAATGCTTAAATTTCTCATTGCTAGGTTTTTAAATACAAACATCATCAATTATTTCAAGATAGAAAGGTTTAAGCAGACAAGACATACTCACCTCTATGTTCCAATATCCTCTTTACATCAATCAAAAAAGAATACAGTACGCATGATATTCAAAATGCATTACCTGAATGCGTCCTGAAATGCATTTCCAAGCTTGACTTTCCTTTGAATTCTTTCTTACAAACTTCACATTGGTGGACGGCTGCTTTATATCTATTAAAAAACATGTTATGATCTATTAAGACATAGGTAATGCATTAAATCACACTACTTTATGTAACCTATTGTATTTACACCTACAACTATATTTCAATATAAGTATCGCATTTATTTAGTCCACATACTGTACACTGTTGGACCAAATGGGCACTGGTATTCACAAATTTGATTCTAAACCAAAAGGTATTCAGTTTCCACAGCTGGGTTACTTACTTCTGCCAAACCTTTTCACCTAGATGAACGCTTCTGTAATGAACAGTAAGGTGATCCCGACGGCCAAAGCACTTGCCACACTCTTCACACTGGTGAGCTTTTTCTCCTGCAAAGCACCAGTTGATACAGTTCTAATACACTGGCATGGTGATTACTGTTAAATGGCTATCATATCATTTTAAAAAGCCCGACAGCCATCCGAATGCCCACACTTGCCCTAATAATAATAATAATAACAATAGCTTACATATATATAGCCCTTTTCTACACTCCACTCAAAGCACTTTACAGGTAATGGGGACTCCCCACCACCACCATCAATGTGCAGTATCCACCTGTATGATCCAACGGGAGCCATAGTGCGCCAATACACTCACCACACATCAGCTATCAGTGATGAAGACAATTCATAGATGGAATTAGAAGGCCATGATTGGTAAAGGCCAGGAAAAACATTTGGCCAGGACGCCTGGTTAACCCTTACTCGTATCGAGAAACATCCTGGGATTTGGACCTTGGTTTTACGTCTCACTACACCACCTACTAGCCCCATTAACACCGCTTCCAGCAGAAGCCTTCGCTTTTCCCAGGAGGTCTCCCATCCAGGTACTGACCAGACTCGCATCTGCTTAGCAGGTAAAGTAAAGGGCAATGGGTGTCATTACAGAAGACTCCACAGTTTATAGACTTTCATCACCACAATCCAAATGAGAAACATTCCACTCTTTTCTGAATGAACACACCAACTAAAGATGTTTAAATATTATCTTATGAAACACTGAAATCTATGTACCTGAATGTATTTTTTTGTGCTTTGTGAGATGGTCGTGTCGTATGAAAGTTTTACCACACTCATCACATTCATATCGCTTATCATCATGGTGGACCCTAAGATGAAGCCTGTTGGAGAACAAAGAAACATTACAATACTGTAATTATATTATTAAAAAAGACCTGCAGGTAACTCAAAAGGAACATGGTATAAATTCAACAACACAAATACTGTTGTACTACAATACGGTAAAAACCTTATTCCTCCATCACAGAACGTATTTTCTTTTACAGCACCTCATTTTCTCACAAGCAGATTGTAATATACCAAACAGAAAGTGTACAACCAGTTTGAGCTCTTTTCTTACAAAAATAATTTTAATTTACCGATAGGAGCTCCCATGTCGAAAACTCTGTCCACAGATACTGCAAAGATGAGGTTTTTCTCCACTGTGAATCCTCAAATGTTCCTTCAGTGTTGTCCTGTACAGAAAGAAAAACATTTTAGGTTGTTGTTAACTAACAAAAAGCCCTTTTTAAACCATAAAGCAAGTCAACATAGCTTTGGTTTTTCATTTGCTGAATAATATCTTCTTCTGTTTGATGGATTAGCAGTGTTTTTCCACAACAGCTGACATTTCTGAATTTTAATCAAGAACCAAAAGCAACTTAAAAGCAGCATGCTGCAAACTCATTACAATTACAATTCTTTTTATGTGTTCACTGTTTGAGAATACAGGTTTTTGACCTACCTTTCACGGACAGATTTTCCACAAATGAAACATGTCCATTTTCTTTTTCCCCCATGCGTGCATTCAATGTGTCGTTTTCGATTTCCAGTGTCATTGAACTGTCGACCACAAATGTCACATGGGAACGGGCCTAAATCACAGTCATTGTATTTCAAACTTCAGAAAAAAATGATTGCACACAAATTTCTACATATACTTCAAATTATGTATGAATTACTTATTAACTATACCATCCTTTCTTTTAATATTCAGGTAACTCTGTGATAGTCTGTCTTCCTTTTCTAAAATGGCACAGGTTTTAGGAACATAATTTTTTAATTAACTAAATTACAATGTATATAGTATTTTTTTTTACCTAAATGAAACTTTTCTTGATGCTTTAGTCTTGCAAATCTTGACTTGAAGTGGTCATCACAATATGAACATTTGAAGGGTCTGTCTTGTGTGTGAAGGATCATATGCTCCTCTAAGTGTGGTCTACGTGTAAAGGATTTGTTGCAAATCTAAAGAAATTCCATGAAAAAAAAATGTTAGTATCAATAAAATAGTTGATTTTTTATAAAAACTAATCAGGCCATGTTCACCAGCATCTCTTTTTGGCCACATGGTTTAAAGGATCTCAACTAATTAGTAGAACAGAATAAATGCTGACCTATTTTTATCATTGCATTCTTGGCTTTTTCTTCATTAAAGCTGACGATCAATTAGCAGAACACATGTGTGCAGTGATTTAAATCCTTAACATCTGTACTTTAAATTGTACAATCACAATTACACAATACAACTCATACACAACAATATGGTCCATATGGTTTGGACCAAGGATAATGCAAAATGACTTACATCACATTTCCATCCTTCACTCTTTCTCTTCTTCATAGAAAGAAATTCCTGAATGTGATCTGGATGAAACCTAAAATCCAGCAATCAAACAAGTAAAGCCAAATGTAATGCAAAGATCCTTTAAAATGTATATCAGCTCTTAATTCAGGGAAAAAAAAAACTTAGATAGCATTCTTTGCCGGTAAATAAAAAAGTTATCAGTGACAATGAAGTGGTGAGCATATGGATCGGAGTTCACTGGAATACCTCAAAAGAGAATTGTATTTTTAAACTGAAAGATGAGTGAATTTAACATAATGCCATTCCCAAAATGAAAACTGGTGATAAGTGTCCATGCACTGTCAATGTGTAATACTGATCAGCAGTTCACTGTTAGTTAACCACCAGACCGTATCACAAAGTGAACAGTGTTAATGATTTGTTTAAATGTTTCATTTCACTGAAGATATTCTATTAATGACAAATAGACATTTTTTTGTACTTTAAAAACAAACAGCAACAATATAAATCATAAACGTGTATATTCATAGTAATCCATGTTCATATTTCTATAGAGGGCAATCAATGGTGCAGTTTAATTGAGTAGCTTTTGTTGTTTCCAGTATTTACATATTAATTTTTTTCAATTTAAGGGCAGTTTTAAAATCCAGCAGTGTTTCAAAGAATCCCAGTGAACACAAACATTTTGATAAGTGCTTGACATAACGTAAAAGATTTCTACAGACCAAAAGTTGTTTTTCTAATGTTTTGCTGTCTATAGCACATACTGTATCTACAGATTGCATAATGATGGCTTTTACTCAAACCACAAAACACACAAGAGATAACTCTAGGATTTCTATTTGAAGCACAGCAATCCTTACCTCTTAACATGCTTAGCTAGAGTTTTCTTGCTTGCATGTAGCTTATTACAGAATGGACACTTGTGTTCTTTTTTTTGAAAGGGTGCTTCATTGTTATGTTTCTTCCTGTGAACAGTTAGGTTTGACTTAGTTGAATAACACTGATGGCAAATATCACATTCAAAAGGCTTCTCTCCTGTATGAACACGGGTGTGACTTTCATACTTTCCTGTAAAACAAAAAAAATACAATTCACGTACCTGTCACATACAAGGTTGCAGTTCAAACTTTCTTTTAAACCAGTCATGAAAGGAAATTATGATGCGCATCAAGATGTAGGTGAGCAGGACCCCATTGAAAACTATTAAAGGCAAGACTCAAATACCAAGTTCTGTACAAGAGTAATCACAAGTTAAGCATGGCAATATGGGCATGTTTCTTTAATCAGTAGCTTTGACCACCCACAGACAAGTTTTGTTTTGGTTCACCTAATCTGGAGTTTCTTACCTGCTCTGTCAAATGTTTTATTACACTTAGGGCATTTGAGAGTTTTCTTGTTAGCGCTGTGAATGATGACTGGAGCCAGTCCTTCAGGGTAATCATGATCAGGGACTTCAGCATCAATATTCTGATCTTCTTCCTCATTGTTACTCTGATGTTCTGCTCCACTTTCATCAGAACTTTCCTCATTTTCAGCATCTTCCTCCTCATCAGACACATTCTCACTGTCCTCCATTTCAGTGGGGTTAGATTTCTCATCCTCACTGAAGACTCTGCTCAGACTGTTTTCATCCGACAAGCTGCCACTTTCATTGTCGATTTGGTCAAACTTTGCTGGGCACTTCCGGGTTCGTGCAGACCTTCTTGTCATCTGGAGTGAGTCTGTTTCTGAATTTCGGCAATCTTCTTCGGACTTTTCACCCTTGTTATGAGACTTAGCCAAATGGTTTTCTAATGATTTTCTGTAGCAGAAAGTTCGACTGCAGAAAGTACACTGGTTATTACTAGGAATCTTAGAGATGGACTCTAATGCTGTTTGTGATGACTCACTGCAAGGTATTTCTTCTGCAACTTCCTGTTCATGCAGTGAAACTACTGAATACTCCTTGCTGCTTAGCACCTTCACAGCTTCAATCATATCAAGAAACTTGGCTGCTTCAAGAAGAGAGGGGATTTCACTGTCATGAATTAAAAATTCTGATGTGTACAAAAACTGCAATAAATGCTGGAACACAGAATCTGCCACGTGATCCACCGTCACGTGATTAATATTTGGATTTTTACTCAAGTGAGCATGGAAATAGCTGCTGCCAAATGCAACCACCACCTTGTGTGCACTATATTGCTTTCCACTGACAATAATGTTCAAATCACAGAAAGATAACAACTTTTGTCGGTCATCATTTAAAAAGTTAAGCAAATCACTATTGTACTGTGTGTAGCTGAAATGCTTTTTTTGCTGCAATGACATTTCTTGAGAGCTGCTTGGATTTTTCAGTTGTTTCTTTGTAGTGGCCACAGTGATACTATTGCCACTTGGCAATAAACCTGGAGAAGTCTCTTTCTCAGTTGTGAGGCTCATAGTCCTCTTTTGCTTAACATTTTGTGATAAATTCTGTCTTCTTTTCATTTCCTTAGATGTGTTCTCACAGTCCTGAAAAACAAATAAACAATCTGAGCTATTGCAGCACCTAGATTGCGTAAACTACTCTGGGGAAGCACAAAAATACGAAAAACTAAAACTAGTTTTAGTACTACTAGTTTTTAGTAGTAAATAAAAGGTAGTGCATAATTAATACAGGACTAAATTGGACTAAACATGACTATACACTGCGGTGTTTAAACTTCTATCTATAGTCTATAAAAATCTTGTTTCAACAGCTTATTAGAACAACTATGCTTTGCTAACGTATTTCTGTGTTGCTACCGTTTCCTTGTCTGTCGTATTGAACATGTTTAATTTACGAGAGCATAATTTCAAACAATTGTGTAAGTGTTTACACTAATTTTTCATGTAATCAAGATTCTGTTTAGAAGTATACCATGCTCATACCATACCATGTCACTGTCATTTACCTAGAATTATAATCGACTTGCATACCTTCGTATGCGTACATCCAGGCCTACAATAACTGTTTTCTAATTAACACCTTATACATACAAGTGTGACTTAAATAGTATTAGAAATTGTGGCTAAGAAGAATGTCGTCCTCACCTGTGCCTTATGAAACTATTCTCATTTCATTCTAAATACATTTACTTTGAAATGCTTATTTTGAACTGTGTGCCCTGCGTAGGACTTTTTGATTTTAATGGAGATTTCAGACCGAACTAAAAAAATGTACGACTTAAGCTGTCGATCTAATGCAACGATGCTCTGTCTCCAAATCGTTACCCTCCCTGTGGACCCCCTTTTCAAGCCCACGGGCCCCCCGTAAGGGGAGATCACTGACAAACGACGCAACGCACCTTATTAAAATTAAGTTATTTCAAAGAAAACTCTGGATATTTCCTACCTTAACACTTTGAATCAACTAAGGATTACTAAGTTCCCAAAGTAACATAACTGAACATAAAAACGTAAATATTTATTTCCAAAATAAGACAAAAAGCCCCACCTTTCTATTTTCCTTTTTTCACACACAAAAAACAACATCGCAATAACCTGCTATTCTATTGGTCGACCGGCGTATTATGGTTTTCATTATGAAAACATCTACATTGTGAAATTTAGGCAACCGAAACATATTTTGTTTCATAATAGTGTATACTTAGAAATAATTCACAATGTGGAATACGCTAATATTAAATTATTTGGCGCATAAGAATATTTTGTTGTTGCACGGAACTATGGATCTTGTAGTTCTTTTTCAAAGGGTATAAAATAAAACTACAAGAAAGGCCGCAAGACTGACGTTTCATTCCTTTAAATTAATGGATTAGGTTACTGTTGACGATAGAATGTTTCTAATTTTTCCCTGAAATTTGTTTCAGACACGGTATCGGTAGTTAAAAGAGACCGTCTGTAATCCTTTAAGTGATAGAAACACCTTTGTTTTCGTTTGTTTCCTTGGATTCCTTTAAATTAGCCTTTAGTTTAAAACGTGCAATTTAAAACATTTATAATATGAGCTCCCTCTCTACACCAATGATTTGTCATAAAGTTTAGATATATGATACAGATACAACATTTTTGGTTTACTCAGTCTTATTAGGATTAAATGTACAACACAGTTCGAGCGCAACAGTTAATACCTGAACATTCATTCACAAAAGAGCTTGAGAATGGTTCAGTAGTCATTTTCCTTAGAAACAGGGACAAAATAATATTAGGGAATTTCGTAGATTTCTTCAAAGGTTTTATCTAGAACCAGGAAACATATAACGTTTAGTTAGAATAATGAGTCTGATAACCCAGAAATGCATGACAAATCAATTATTTCATAATGCTGTAAAGTTAGTAAACTCCGAATACAAATAGTATTTGAAAGGTGTTAGATATTTTTACTCCATATATCATAAATTAATTATATTAACCTGTTGTAAAAACAAATCTCAATTTTAACTAGTGTTCTTTTTAGATCGTGATGCAGATACTTAAGAGGTCCTACAACTAACCCACAGGACTTCTTTAAGAATCCCAGAGGCAACCTCTTGAGGATCTAATTTCACAGAGAATACGAAATAGTCATGAAGGAGCCCTGCAGGATACTTCTAGGAATCCTGCAATACATTTTGGCCCATTTTGGCATATGAAGGATGTCTGGAATGACCTCAGTCTTCATGATTCAGAGAACTCTGAATTTGATGTAAATGGTTCAAAATAATAATAATAATAACTATTGTTTGCATTTTTGTAATACCAGAGGATCCCAAAGTGTTTCACATATAGGAGGTGACACACTTCACTCACTTCTGAAGCACAGGACTCATGTGGGTGATGCAGTACATACCAGCCATTATGCACCAGCAGTGCCTCTACACAGTAATCAGGTGTCGAAATGAGAAATTACTTTCCCATTCCAATTAAGGGGCAAATTTAGGGAGATCGTATTGTGCAAGCCCAAAATGTATCCAGAACGCTGGGTTTAGTACTCTTGTTCTAATAAACAGTACTACAGCATCATGAATGACTAAGTTGTAGTGACCTTAGTTAAATAATTGTCATGCAAATGATTGCACTTCCTGTGGTACAGTGACCTAAGATAAGAAATAAAAGCACCCTGGTCCATAGAGGCCATATTGGTCCATAGAAATCTGCCGCCTCTGTACTGATCAATCACAGAACGTTTAAACTCTACCAAGGTGAGGCTACAAGGTGGTAACACTGATAGAATTTAAAAAGTTCTTAAAAATGGCCTTGCTTTGTGGACAGCAGCATTGAAATTGTGTGGCCTTTAAAATTGATTGACCTACTCAAAACAAAAACTAACAAAGGGAATTGTTTCCTATCATTTTACTGAGAGTGTTTCACTAGAAGCCCCCTCTTTTGTTAGGAAGCGCAATTGCATTTTCTCTGGGCATTTTGTCATATACAGTATATTGAGACCTGTATACTATGGTTAACCATTGAGTTTAGGCAGAACTGTGACACCAGAACAATTCAATATGTTGGTTTTCATTTTCATTTAAGAAATTCAAGTTTTATTCCACCTGCAAAAGTCATATTGACATGGCAGTTTCCATTTCCAATACATATACAATTGTGTCATATATTTAGAAACAAAAAATCAATATTGTTCTGTTTATTAAACTAAATAGATGTAACATTTATCATGCTCACAATGTTGTATATGTGTTACTGGAGTTCCCTTGATCAGTGGATAAAACAATGAAAAAAATCTTTCTGGCAAATAATAGACTACAGACAACTCTTTGTGGGCCTATTTTATAGAAAATTATAGAAGCATTGCAGCATCTTTCTATAAATGATCACCTAGAAACAGTTGCCAAGGCAAGAATGGTTCTGTATTAGCAACCATTTTGAAGATAATGAAGAAAAATATTTCTGAAAAACATACAAAAGGTGCATGTGATGTTACTGCTGTCATTTTGCAGCAGTAGTAAATCAGACTGTGAATCACGGACACACCGAGTCCAAGTATTTGAAATAGCGTCAGTCTCTTTCTCACAATAAATAAGTTTTAAACCCATTTTAAAGAGTCTTTTATTCATGTCTAGGGTGTTTAAATGAAACAATGTATATAGCAGGCTTTATTTCCATGGAGATTCAATTTTGTGGCAGTATTTTTTTCTAGTTTGCTGTAAGGCTTTTGTTAACATTTTTATTTAGATTTTATTGAATGATAGCAGCATTTCTTATTATAGTAAGTGATACACATTTATAAATCAATATAAAATGTCAAGGGCAGTAAACATTTAAATACAATATGCTATAAACATACTGTAAGTTTTTTCTATGTTCATACACCCACTCATTTGCTTTTATACATTTTAGCATGGCAATGAAGCAAAGAAAGTTCAGTGCTGGTTAGAGGTGATCCCTGTGTCTCTTACTGATGCTACCACAAGCCTACAGGCACCAAGAAAGTCACAAGAGTCTGTTTCACCAGGTTCCAAGAGGGCTGTAATGAACTAATCTCAACTCCTCCCATTGTGGCACAGATAATTGTACTTTGCTGCTTATGGAATTCTGGTCACAACAAGCTAGTGAAGGAAGCCAGTCCCAAAGTCTTGGAACTGGGTTTTTGACTGTGAATCAATTTGTAAGACTCAATGTATAGAGAAAATCCCATAATATCCACGCATTGCTTTGCCAAAATAATACTTGATCCTGGTAGGGATTGCAATGAACTCAAGCCTACACCAGAAGCACAGAGCAGAGGAAGTGACAACTTCTTGGATAAGAGAACATGCAACATCCACATACAATAAACTTCTGCACATAAGGCTAATCTTCTTTGTTCAGACCCCCCTGTCCAGAATCAAAACCAAGACCCAGGTACTGAATTGTGAGGCAGCAGCGTTAACTTGCAACTGCACTGCCACACAAAACAAACATTATTGAGTCTAAATTGAGATATTGGCCCAATAAAGAGAGATTAATAATTGAAAAACTGGACTGCTATTTATTTTCCAGAGAGAGTATCAAAATGAACTTGTCACTTTCACTGTAGCCCTTAGATTGCACAAAACACATACAGAAACCTAAAATTCATGAGTACATATACAAAATCTAGTGATGTTTTGATTTTGTGACTTTTTTCAATATCTGTGATGCATATCCAGTTATGCAGAGCACTGGTTAAGATGGAAAACCCTTTTATACCTCCAACATACAACACAGAGCACTTAAACACATTCACAGAAAGTGCATCTTGTTTATTTATGCGAGATTTGACTTTCTTGCCTTTAAGAATCAGTCTTGCTGTATTCACATTCCTTGTCACCTTCTCTTCATCTGCCTCTTCCTCTGTTCAGACAAGTGAAACATTAATCTTCTTATGGACTGCTGTAGCTCAAAAGTCAATGATACAACTACAAAAAAATAAAATATAAAACAGTGTCAAACTAAACTTCTTTTCACATAAATTCTCCTAACTGACCATGTCTGACTTCACATCCGGTAAAAGTTTCCACCTGCAGTGCATCCTAGACAAGCCTGGAGTCTCAGAGGTTTGTGTGGGATGGAATCGACTGAGACATCTTGGCAAAAAACAATTAACACCTGTGCCAATGCTTGGGCCATTATTACTAAGGGCTTTATTAGTAAAGGCTATGCCAATTTGTCATTTCTGTTTCCATTTTTTTAAAACATTTCTATTTGGCCACTTCCACAAAAACAACAATAATAATAATTCCTTAAACTCATGTAGAGCTTTTCTGGCTACCACACTTTACAGGTAATGGGGACCCCCCTCCACCACCACCACCAATGTGTAGCCCCCACCTTGATGACGCAACAGCAGCCAAAGTCCACCATTATGCTCACTACACACTACGTATCGATGGGGAAGAGAACACAGTGATGAAGCCAATTCAACCATGGGGACTGAGTAATGAGATGGGTAAAGGCCAGCATTAAATGTAGCCAGGACACCAGGGTTAACAGCCCTACTCTTTTCAAGAAGTGCCCTGGAAGGCTCTGACATTTTACAACCTTCTCAATGCAAGGTCAAACAAGTCTTTTGATAGTTCTGCATCTCAGTGGACAGCCGATCTCTGAGTAGGGTCAGAGGACATAGACTGGGATACTGTGTGGCATAATGTTAGTTATCCAATTAGAGCTATACATAACAAACTGCTTCAGTACAAAATTTTAAACAGACTCTATTATACCGCAGAAAAATTGAAAAAGATTAAGTGGCATAATACAGGAATGTGTTCAAATGTAACACACACAAAGGGTCACTATTGCACTTATTATGGTACATACAGTCATTCTGGACCTCCACAGTGAGGACAGCTCTCAGGTACCTAAATATCTCAATTCCATTTACTCCCATTACATGTATCCTTGGTGATTTATCAAAGGTTAAAGTAAGGTTGACGCTCTGTATTATTACTAAAAAAATAATATTGTGAAAATGGGTGGACAGTACAGGACCGTCGTACAAAGAATAGATTAAAGAGGCTGTATAACAAGTTAAATTTGAAAAGATTTCATATAATTTACAAGAGAAACTTGGGTATATTGATGTTTGGAGCCCATTAGGGACATACTTGAATGGCACTAGATGTTAAGAATATTAGTAGGAAGTTTTTGAATGTTTTTTTTTAATGTAAGATTTTTTTTTTTGTTATTGTCTAATAAGAACAAAAATGAGAGAGTGAAAAAAAAGTCCACCAAAGTTGGGGGGTGGAGGTGGGTTAAAAAGCATGGCCAGTCAGGGCCTCAGTTTTACACCTAATTAGGAGGACAGCACTTTTTTTTTACTCTTGTTTTGTGGTGTCCATATCACTTTACTGGGGTTTTAGGACCCCTCCAGACTGCAGGGAGAGCACCCCCTACTGGTCCCACTAACCTCTTCCAGTAGCAACCTTAGCTTTCGCAGAAGCTCTCCCATCCAGGTACTGGCCAGACTCACACCTGCTTAGCAGCCATCAGTTGCTAGTTGTACTGTATATTGCAGTGTGATATAACTGCTGGTGAAGAATAATATGAAGGATTAAATTACTTATCTGGTGCAACTCTTTTGCTCACTGATTTTCAGTATAATACCAAATTAAAATGAATCTAAGGTGCATATAGCATAAAATATTTGTCTTTGTACACCATACTGATACCATTACATTAAAAATTCATTTTTATGTGAAGCAGTAAAGATCATTATGGGAATCTGTGCTTTATTCTTAAGCTAATGTAGTCTCATGCAATTTTGAGATATTTGTCCAAAGCAAAATGAAATGTCTTAATTTTAGCTCTTCTTGTATTGATTTTTATTATTCTTTGTGCCATGTCATCAGATTTTTTCACATAACACATGCTAAAACACTTAATGAAACATTTTTCACTGTGCAAAGGATACAGAAAAGCTCACAGACTGCTGTGGTGAATACTCTTGTTTCTGAATAGACCTGAAGTGTTTCTTTTCTTGGACTGATGATTGTTCCAGTCCACGTTGTCTGTAAAGTCTGTGTCACTTTTCAGTAATCACCACAGCCGTCCATGGTAGTCTTAATAGGTACAAGGGCTCTGAAGTGGGAGCTCATTGGTGTGCAGCTGAAAGAGCCCTTAGTAAGCTCACAGATGGCATTCTGTGGATCCTGTGCCTAACACACAGGCTGTGCGTACCTCTGTGGTTTGAAAGAAATAAGAAAAGCCACAACCTGCTCAGCATGCAGTTTACAGAATGATTTCAAACACTAAAACATGGCTTTCCCCAAACCTTCCAGATTAAAGTTGATTGGCATAATCTGCATCTTTCTCACTCTTTTCAGGACAGCAAGTAAGTATAATTCTTTCCAATACTAGTTTTTACAGTTTTTGGACTGTTATCACTGATTTGGAAATATGGATATTGACTGCTGAATGGCCAATAGATTTTCTCAAAAATGTTGTAATCTGCTAATTGTTTTGTGACTGAGTTGTAGTTGGTTTACTTTTTTGTCTTTTTCACAGAGGATATTAAAATTTGTGATCATATTTAACAAAGGTGAATTATTAAATAGCATTATCCAGTTAGTGTAGTGCAGAACTACTTTTAGATCTGTCTGAACACAATTGTTCGAAAATATGTACTTTCATTTCTTAATGTAATTTTGCTTATCAATGTAGATTAATGTTAAAGTTTGACAAGAATCATTCATGCCACTGTTGATTAAAATACATCAAATGTGAAAAACAATAGGTTCAAAGCAGTCAACATTTCTTTAACCAGATTCAAATGATCAGACAGTCAGATTGCCTCTCTAGCAGAAGATGATGTGTTTTTCTGTGTGTGATTTCAGGTTGCTTAATCTGAATATCAATAAGCCAGAGCTCAGACAGCAGCTGCCATTCAAAAAGGGTCTTAACATTATTCTTGTAGTACAGCCCTTTCAATCTGGGTCACCTTCTGTTCATAGACACTTAGAACATGATTCAACAGTATTGCTAAAGCCAGAAAAGTGATACAGTCTACAAAATAAATATTTCAACTTTCATAATAAAGGTGATGTTCTGAAATGTTTTGAAGACATATACTACTGAGAGTATACATCTCTTTAATTGATAAATGTACAAATGTTACTAAATGTTTCTAAATAGCAATGTGATACAATATGCAAAAATAGGCTTTTTTTGTAGTTTTTAATAAGATTTCTAAGGTATCAAATTATTCTTATTTTGTCTGTATTATGCTCGTCATGATTAACATTATTTTCAATGGGAAAATGAAATCACATCAGTGTTTAAAATGTCAGATTCAAATTCAAATTACTGTCCTGAATTCCCATGAGTCTAATACTCTAATTGTCCACAGAGACAAACAAAAAAACACACAAAACATACTACTGACATCACGTGGATGCCCAGCACTTATTCTCCTGTCACTCAATATAATGGCTGTGATGAATAGGATATTTTTGTTATCACTTTGAAACAACGTAATGTAAATGTCCATAAAACACAAAGGCATGACACTTTCCATATGGGCAAGCAAAAAGGTCTTTTATGGGGCTAATGAATGCCTTAGTGCAGAAGAGACATACTTTTCATTAGCATCACAAAGAGTTCTGTGGACTGAAGGAAGGCAGTCATTTTGTTTGCTGGGGACGTGTGTAGCTAACGGGGGAAATAAAATATTCTATCGTAGTATTAGAGATATTCAATGGTATATAGGATCATTGAATTTTAAGCTATTGCCAAATGATTTAAAGTTGTTTAGATGTGAACGTGAAAGCATATCACAAAGACGTGCACTCTGTTAACACAGAAACATATTTTCCCCAGCAACAAAAAGGTTTTAAATGAGGGCAGCTAAAAAAAAACGTTTATGAGTCAAATCCAGTTGTGTTCATTGTATTCAAATTGGAAATTTATCCCCACTCAGTTGGTCATTATTTGTGAAAGCTTCTTGATCAACTGGTGGTTGTAAGAAAAAAAATCTATGAACATCTCCTGTACAGTAGGCTACAGTATATGTGTGTTGCACATGTACCATTTTAAAATTGCCCAGTGATGATAACAATGCAGAGGATTATGAATGTTACATCATGTGAACATATGGTAAGACAAACATTTGAACTGATTTGCACCCACACCCCAGCAGGCTACTATCTTATTATTCCAGTCCAAAATCACATTGAGACACAGTGGGCAATAATTACCTAATCCTGTAACAATCATGAGGCACAAAGCAATTGTATAAATACAAATGCTAGGTTTTCCAGAACTTATTGTTATAATTATTAAAAATCGTTTTTTCAAGACAGTAATGAAAACATAAATAATCAGAATAATGTAAAGAACTGGACAAAAGGCCTTTTTCACCAGATTTAATGCAAACATTATTAAATTTAAAAATGAATCCCCAACCCCTTAACCTGAATTTGCAAAACTAAAATTATGGCCATATCACCCTGCATCTCACAACTAACACCCCATGAAAGCTAAGCAGGTATGAGTCAAGTTAACACCAAGCATTTAAATACTTAACTACACCATCCCATTTATTCATTGCCTTGTCACTTTAATTAGAGTTTGAAATGGAGTTGTCAACAGAAGTTGAGGAAGGGGTCAAATTGTACTCTTTGCGCTTCTCCTTTATTACACATTAATATTTTGACTTTTGAGCATCACTTTGCCTATACAGTACTCTGTCTTTTTGAGTTTAATTTTGTCCACCCCATCTCTACCCTTGTAGCAGCCTCCCTGGTTTATTCCTTGCAAGTGTGGGGAGGTTTGTAGTTATAGATCACCATAACAATGCCTGTTGTTTCCTCAGCCATGTGAGCTGTTGTGAAATATTAAAAAAATTAAAAAGAAATCCCTTTCTATTTGTTGTGTAATCAATTCGTTGTTAAATAGAATTTGAACAAACTATTGAAAAGGTAATTATCATATCTGGAAATTCACAAAAATTTTCTCAGCATTGAATATTACAGTCTAATTTTGTATATGTAAGGTTTTATTGTACTTTTTGCTTTTAGAGAGAAGCCTGATAAGGCTTTTTTCCCCTCCTAAAATTGTGATATCCAGACAGGCTGGTTATCTGAAATTTTATGTTTTTTCTTATTTTTGTCTCATTAATAGTAAGTGGTGAAAATTCCACATGAAATTAGTATATAATAGGACACAGGGTGTAAGAGGTCAAGGAAAGATCTGCTGTAAGTGTGTTAAAAGCTGCAAAGAACTGAATAAATTACACAAGATTGAAAATATTTATTTTCATTTTTAATTCATTTCCCATAAACATCTATCTGGAGCATTCCTGGCTGGTTATAACCTAACAGAGTTATTTTCAATTTCCTATTCACTCCTACCCCATTTTCTCAAAATAACTATAAATCTTGCAACAGACACTGTAGGTGTGAATTGGATGGGTTGTTTTTAAATTGAATTAATCATATGTTAGGTAAGTTAACTGACATTTAACTGGATTTTCAAATTAATTAAAAGCAAACAATAAAGTTATTTGATAATGCAATACTTCATTTTCCCCATGTTTGTGCGTGTGTTTGCTGTTGTTAATATTAAGCAGATCATATCTGCTGATTCATTCATAGTATTATGTCAAAGATGGTTTCTTCTCAGTTTTCTAATGATTCAGTATTCTGGATTTTCAGTTCTTAAATCACCTTTACTTCAATTCTATCTTTATACTGGGAAATGGTTGATTTCACTGGCCCAGTATCACAGTGCCTAAACAGATAATACATTTAAATAATAAAACTTTTAAAGTTGAAGTTATCGAAGTTCCAAATGTAATTATCATTAATGATTTTTCTGGAAAATACAGACTTAATAGAGACTGTGTATCTTCACACAGTTTTTTGTTTTGGAACTGTAAAAATCTAGTCATTATACACCACATGTGCCACAGTATATGTTCAGAATGAAAAAAAAAACATTGTAACATACAGTACTGTACCTATACAGTACATTTATTCAACATTTGGTGACAAACAGTACACAATATTAAAACAACAGAAATGTTGCATGACTACAACTAAATTAATATTTTCTTCTTTTGTTGTTTAAAACCATGCTAAAAAGTTAAGAGGGTGTTTTTGCTTTCCTACTCATTTTTTCTTTGCTGTCATGCTCATGCCAGTCATTCCATGCCTCATTGCTTATAATCTGGTCTAATTTGTTCTGCTATTTATGTTATAGCTGTAGGAATTTTAGTGCTGTTTTGAAAACAGTTCTTCTTTGATGTCATCTTACTTTCAGCCTCCTGAGGTCTCTTGACCTGTACAACATATGCTGAAGAAAGGGCACCTTTAAGTTTCAGATGGCAGGCGTGATGGCTTGAATAGAAATATTGAGACAGTAAAAGTCAGTGTTATATCACCATTTTATTGGTGTTAGGATTTTATAGGATTATGTCAAACATTAGTTGTGGCTACACCTATATTTCAGTTTCAAAAATAGAAATATAAGTGCAATGTCCACTTTTATATTCATACCAAATTATTTTTTCTTTCTAATTTTCATTTTTTAATTTTCTGCTAAAGAAGCATAAATTCGTATGGATATATATATATATTCTATTTCGGTTTGTTTTTTTACAATGTATCACACCTTGCAGTGGGTCAGTGTACTTTACTGAAACATTTGACCATTCAACCATGTGCTTCCAAATGTGTATATGAATGCAAAGCTAGCATTTAAATTAGAATACAACTGAGGGAAGCTGTTAAGAGCTGCCCCATGTGGTCAGAAAGTTACCGAAAAGTACGTTTTCTTCTGCATTTATATCTCTCCACATTTAGTATTTACATTGGATACATTGGATTTACATTGCTTATGTGAAAAGAATAAAAGTTTTATGAGATGGGAAATGTATTAATTAAAATTAAAATTAAATTTAAATTGAAATACTTTACTTATATTTTTAAAGATGCTCTAATTGTGTTAAACATGCAGTTTTTTTTCCAGTTCATTTCACTGTGAAATTCTAAGTGTTCATAATACCTTTAAAACAATATATATATACAGTGCTATCCATACGTATTTGGACAGTGACATAATTTGTGTTGTTTTGCTCTGTACTCCAGCACATTGGATTTGAAATTAAACAATGACTATGAGGTTAAAGTGCAGAATCTCAATTCTTTAATTTGAGGGTATTTACATCTGTATTGGGTGAACCATATAGGAATCACAGCCTTTTTTATACACAGTCCTGCCATTTTAGGGGATGATCAAAAGTAATTGGACAATTGGCTGTTCAGTTCTTGGCCAGCTGTGTGTTGTTGCATCATTTGTTCATGCACAAGAGAGCTAACAAAAGGTGTAGAGATGATTCTAGATGTGGCATTTGCATCTGGGAGTCGGTCGCTGTTGTCTCTCAACACGAGGACCAAAGAAGTTTAAATGCCATCATGAGTGGGCCATTAAGAGGCTGACAAATCAGAATAAATCAATCAGAGACATAGCCAAAACATTAGGTGTGTCAAAATCAACTGTTTTGTACATTGTTAAGAAGCAAGAACACACTGGTGAGCTTAGCAATACAAACGACCTGGTAGACCACAGAAGACCATTTTCAATCATGAAGAAAAAACCCTTTTGGAGTGTAGATCAGATCAGGAAAACTCTGCAGGATGTAGGTATAGATGTGTCAAAGACTACCATAAAGATCTCAGAGGGTTCACCACAAGAAAGGTGGTAAGTGGTAAGAAAGGCCACAGAAAGGCCAGGTTACAGTTTGCTTAAAAGTACATAGAAAAGCATCTAGAGTTCTGGGACAAAGCCTTATGGACAGATTAAACAAAGCTTAGAAACAAAGAGTGATAGAAAGAGAAAAGGCTTGGGTATGTATGGATGCCTGTGGGCCAGTGAGCTTGGGCATGTATCGGCATGTATGGATGCCAGTGGAACTGGCTCACTTGTCTTTATTGATGTTGTGACTGCAAACGGCAGCGACAGGATGAATTCTGAAGTGTACAGTAGCATCTTATCTGCTCAGATCCAACGAAATGCTTAAAAATTCATTGGATGGCGCTTCACCTCGCAGCAGGACAATGTCCCCAAACATACTTATAAAGCAGCTATGGAGGTCTTCGGGGCCAAAAGGTGGAATGTTTTTGACTGGCCAAGTCAATCACCAACCTGAACCCCATTGAGTATGCATTTCACTTACTGAAGACAAGACTGAAAGTAAAAAGCACCTGAAACAAGCACAGACCTGGCTGAGGAAAGATACCCAACATCTGATGATGTTTATAGGTAGCAGATTTCAATTGCAAAGGATTTGCAAACATGCCAAATTTTATTTAAGATTATGTTAATGTGTCCACTTTCGATCCCATGAAATGGGGGGAATATGTATAAAAAGGGCTGTGATTCCTGTATGGTTCACCCAATATAGACGTAAATACCCTCGAATTAAAGCTGACATTCTGCACTTTAACCCCATTTCCTCGTTTTATTTAAAATCCAATGTGCTGAAGTATAGAGCCAAAACAGCAAAAACTGTATCACTGTCCATATACTTATGGACACCACTGTATTTTATCCTATGTCATAAAAAACGAATAAGTATCTGGTGCAATGCTTATATATAAGAAGATATAACGAAAAATGAAATTAATATTCTGTCTATTATTATATTATATGTAATTGTCAACTTCAGAATTACCTCACATTTCTGGACATGCCTGCCATTGTCAATAAAGCAGTAGACAAAGTGTGAATAAAGAATTCATTCAGAAAATTTACATTCAATTAAAAATATCTTATATTTGCAAACATTTCCAACAAACCATGTTAAGAAATGGCCTATTTTTAGTTTTTAGGCGACTCATGAAGTACACTATTTCATTTTCAAATTTTAAAAGCCCTAACATAATGCCTAACAATTAAATAGATGCTAGGGACTTAGCAATTAAATAGAATGCCCAATTCATAACCTTAAAAAATATTTAAAATTCAACAGGTTTGTCTCAGGTATATATATAGGTTTGAAAATATTACTACAAAATATTAGATGGATAAACTCAGACTTACTGTATAGTGTTAGGTTGGTACGTTAGTTTTAAATATTTATATTTCATTACTTAGGAATAACATACAGTACATACTTTTTACATTACAAGTAAGCAATAACTCTGAATTATACATAGTGTTTTTAGAATAACGTTCACCTTTTAAAGAAAGGGTTGATTGAAAATGAATAATAATCAGTGAATTCTACATTGTACAAAAATATTATTGATCCTGTTAGTACCAGTGTACTTCTTGTGCTTCAAACTATGCAGTGATAAATTAACAAAGTCAGAAAGGTTCTTATCTGCAGTGGAACTACACGGTAAAATATCATAACTACTAACATTTTATGTTGCAATGATGTGTTGATTAGCAAAGAAATATACAATCATTTGTATCATACAACAGTAGGTAGTGTTTCTGCATTCATCATCCTGATAAAGGAAGTGCTAGTTTGTCTGAATAGGAAGAAAAAAAAACACAGAATGCTTTAAATTACTGACTTCTGGCTACTGATGGTTGCTATGGTGATAGGACAAATTCAGAAAAGGGACCATGCAAATGGTTTCCATGCCAACACAACATGATGCTTTGCAAAACACTGAGGTTTGCTAGTGTGCTCTTTACCAAAAAACTGTGGGAATTAAAAAAGATAATATATTAGATATAAATATAACGACATTACATACATTATATTTTGTGTGATCTATCATGTCTGTCTAACTGTGCAACTGGCATATAGATGTATTTCATCATGAACAATTATTTACAATGTGAATATGATGCATTAGATAACTGTATAAATTCTTGTTTTTGGTGATGTTTTGGTAACAAAGTCTTTGTGATTTGTTTCATAACACTTAAGTGTTATATAATATAGTATATACAATATATAAGTCAAACATAGAAATGTCTACAATGGTTTTCCTCTGCACTCCTTTGTTTTAATATGGTTTCTCTATGTATGAAAATCTCCCTTCAGCCCAACAGCTGTGGTCCCTGCTATTCACAGGGAAAGGCGGTGATGTCACCGCGCTGGTAAGCCGGCTCGAAAAACCTGCAATGGTGGCTGTTTGCGTTACACTCTCCCCGCTTAATTCGCCGTCCTCGGTGAAGGGCTATCCCACCCCACTGCTGACACCAATGTAATGCTCCAGGGTTCACGTGGGTATGCGCCCTCGCCTCTGCCGCCTCAGGTCAGCCCCCCACCGTCAAGGACTTGAGCCCAGGCCTCCGGCACCACTCAACAGGGACCCAGCCCAACGGCTGTGGTTCCTGCTAATCACAGGGAAGGGCGGTGACGTCACCGCGCTGGTAAGCTGGCTCGAACAACCCGCAATGGTGGCCATATGCATTACACTAGCGTTCCTCCTACTAGCCTCTCCGTATGGGCCAAGGACCTCCGTCTGGGCAGGCTCTCTGGCCTGAGCCAGGACCCCTCATCTGGGCAGGCTCTCCATCCAGGCCAGGACCCTCCATATGGGCAGGCCCTCCATCCGTGCCAGGACCCTCCGTCTGCGCCAGGACCCTCCGTCTCGGCTAGGCCTCTCTACACGCGCAGCTCCAGGCCTCTGACCACTCCTATCCATCCCGCTTCTGACACCAATGTAACGAATTCGGGTTTCGGTACGGAATGGAGCAGGATGGGACTCAGGGAATAGGGTTGAACACATTTATTAACTTAAACTTAAACTCGAACCGGAGAAAGGTACACACACAAGGACAGGGGTTTCAGCACTGCACCTTCACTGACACACAGACACGAAGGGAAGGGGGCTGTCTCCCAGCCTCCACCCTACTATATACAGTCCCATAGTCCCGCCCCGAGACGCTGTTCTCAGCCAGCCTTGTGTGTGCATGCTAAAGCACCCCGCGTGGCACTAAAATATTGGCAACGCTCATTCTAACACTACACGCCTAAGGCCAGGATTAAATGAAAAACTTCAACTAGAATGCCAAATGAAAATTATATAGATATGACTTGATGCCATCTTTATATTTGTCAGAGATTTTTTGCTTTTACCAGTGAGTAAACCAGCAACAGTATTGGCTGTGGAATTATTGTTTGATAGCTGAGCTGAAATTTTGATTAAAGAAAACAGTTAAGATCAGTCTGTTGAGTCAACTTGTAAGAATCTGCAAAACACCACAGTTAAACGAAGTTCATTAGCAGATGACTTAGCAGAACAAAAATGTATTAATGGAAAACTAGAATTGCAATCATCAGGGTCAATTAAGTAATGTTGGGTGAATTAAGTGAATATCGTAGTGGTTGGATAAAAGTCATTAAGTCAAATTGATTGGAGGTATTAAGTTTGCCCAGCAGTGCTGCTCCACCAATTTCAGATTGTCAGTATATTTGAGTGATCAGGAACGTAAATCTACCAAATAATATCAAAACCTATACATTTATTCTTAAAGTATATTCGCTACATTTGCTACATACAATTACAACATGTGTAGTACTAAGATATGCCTTGAACTGAAGTATCAGAGAGCAACACTATATATTGAAGCTGAAGTTTTAGCTATTCTGTTATGTGAGAGAGATGCATGTCAGAGCGTTTATATGGCCTTTTACATTTGGAAAATGTTCCTAAAACACTCACAATTCATAAAAGTGTGTAATCATTTGTTTTTTACTTAATATTTCAGGTGCATTTCCTTTGGAGGCCTTTGCCAGCTGTCTGTCTGGTCCATGTCAAAATGACGCCGTGTGTGAAGACACTTTCAGAGATCATATTTGCTACTGTCCATCTGCTTTGATCACCCCTTTGAACAAAAATTGTGATGAAGCCAACCCATTGTGTCATCTGAGCACCTGCAAAAATAATACTACATGCATGAAAGCCACAGAGGATTCCATTGATCTTATTTGTCAGTGCACTCCAAATGATACCAGAGAAGTATGTGAAAGGTCTGTCCAGAAATGTGCAGACAGTCTCTGTGAGAGTGGAACACACTGCCAGCAAAGGCCTGTCACTGATGAATTTGCTGGTTATAGATGCATTTGCAAAGATGGCTACATCGGTACACATTGTGAGACAGAGGTAGACGAATGTGCCTCCAGTCCCTGTCAGAACAGAGCTGTGTGCAGGGATAGAGTCAATGGATATTCTTGTTACTGTGTGCCGGGCTTTCAAGGAAAACACTGTGAAATTGAGGTGAATGAATGTGCCTCTCAGCCCTGCCAAAATGGAGCAACCTGCTTAAATAAGATTGGGAAGTATGTTTGCATTTGTATGCCAGGATACACAGGTCAGTATATCAACAATTGATTTGCTGTTGTCTTAGTTATCTCTACCATCCTTAATTTAACAACAACTGAGACAAAGGGAAGATTTGTACTGTAAGTGTAATTGGTACCCAAAACAGTGGGGGTTTATCAAAATGTTTCCAGCTCCTATCGACCAATCTAATATTTGAAGATTTATATTTGACCATACAAGTTCAGGAGTTCAGGTTTAGTTCTTTGTCAAATACAAGACTCAGTTTGGGAAGAACGTCATGTTCAAAGTAATTTTAGAGATGTTATTATTTGTAAAACTGCACTTTGAGAGTTCTACCTTTTGTCATATGGAGGATTGAGAATAAAATGATGTGTCAGGTTAATGGTCCTTCAAGAAACATACCAGGGGCTTCAATGAATGTAATACATTTCTTTTTTGTGAGTTTAAGGTTGTAAATATATTAATTTAATGCTCATCAAATGTATACCAAAAGGCTACACCAAAAACAAGACATCATTGTGTATGTTTATATTGACATTTCAAAACCGTAAAACCAGAAAACTGATTACTGTGGAAATTAATGAAATTAATTAAAAACATTTTTCAACTTTCTCTTGTTTTATAATAACAGTGAGTAACAGGCTCAGATCAAATACAAAAATAAATCAACCCACTTACCAATTATACATTTTCAATTGGTAATTAATTGCTGGTAGTTGATTGCAGGTGATTTTGTATCCATTATCATCAAACAATTGCTTGCTATTTACAGTTAGCAGATGGTCATTGTTTCGATTTGGTCTTAATCTCTGGAATCTTAAACCCTAATCCTGGAGAGCCCCAGTCTAGTACGGTAGGTTTTGTAGATCATCATTTAACCATTTATATATCAATTGGAACAACTCCATTGAAATTGAATAGGTGAACTAAGTAATTTCAAGATAGTTTAGACTTAAATGATAAGAATCATATCTATAATCCTTTCTCTGGTTAGTTTGTAAATTAAATGTCAAAAATGGTTACCAAGTTATTTACAAACACCTGTTTTTTTAATTTCTCCCCTTAACAAACATATATAATTGACTATCCTCTAGTGTTGCTCTCAGATCCTTACATCTGCTGTTGTAGTTTACTGCTCAAAAATCCCCAGTAGGATCCTACCAGATGCTGTCTGCAGACAGAAACTACCCATTCTTCAACCCTAAATGACCAGTTCTCTTATTTGAACGAATTAGTTCTGTGATCAGTAGTTTCAGGTACTATCAATCTTTAAAAACAGGTGACCTACAGTATAAGACTGTCTTGATTGGGACTCCCCAGGTCTAGGGTAAAAGACCTCTGATCTAGACATTCATCTCTTTTCCAGTTAAGATTAAACATTATGCTGTGTTGTGCATTATACAGTACATTATGTTTATGTATGCTTAAAACAGTGTAGAGCTCTAAACATATATACACCCCCTGAATAAAACTGAAACTTATGTAATAAACGAATCCTATAATTGAGAATTCAAAATTTGATTATTTAAAAATAAACAATATTGCTTGATATAGAAGGAATATTACTACAATAATGGAAAAAAAGATACTGCAAATATAATGGCCCAGCTGTTGTTAACAATAAACGAGTGCTTCCATCTAGTGGCAACTCTGTCACTTATGTTTCCCACAGCACACTTATTCTAGTCTTAATATAGTGTAGAACACCTTTGAAAACATGAATGTAGAGAAAAAAATATTAAGATTATGACCTGTTGGGAAATCTATGCCAAATGAAGGTTGAATAGATAATTATTCTAGTCTATCATGAAGTTTATGAGATTGAAGCATCTGTTCAGTAGTATGGGGAAGCCATCACAAAGAGAATAAAAACATTAACATATGTTTTTATACTTTGGTGTTTACTTACTGGAATAAAATACTCTAAAAATAGGTACATATGTTTGGATGATTAAAACCTTTGATTGAATTTGATTTGATTATCTGAAAAACAACAGAAAGTTGTCAACTTACATTATAACAAAACAATATTCAGAAAAGTTTAAGACCAAACAATTTACATAAGTTAACTTACAGTCTCTCAATCTTGTTTAATTTCTAGTCTTTAATGGACCCTAAAATAGTCCAGCAACATCATAAAGTGATTCCAGTATCAACCTACAGTAAGTTGTTAGAGAAACTGGTTCCGCAGTGTCAACTCTTTAAAAAAAAGTCTCCTTGTTTCCATTCTAAATTGTTTCCCCTTAATTTTTAATTATGACAGTGTACTGTATCTGTTTAGTTATTGCTTAACGTATTGCTTTGATTTGACTTTTTCAATCTGTTGCATTTGAAACAAATGAAATGCCTTGAAATCTTCTTTGTTAAACTTTTGATGGTGTTAATTATTCTAATACTCTGTTTCTAGTATGAATAACTAGTAGTGAATTGCATATTTGTATGAATCTCTTAAATTTCTACACTTCTCATCTTCATTTCACACATAGTTGTTGTAATTGCGGTTGCTATTTTTATCCCTTTCATCCATTTTGTAAAAGAGGACATTGACAAATACTAAAACGTATGTTGCTTTTATCTGCAGTCTTAATTCGTGTGTATTTATTGCCACACAGCAATTAAGCTTTTGCATTCAAAGGTTCACATTCACATTTTTTATTTTAAAACTTGCCATAATTTTTACTCACTTATTTTATTTTTTGAGCCTGGATTTCTAAGCTGTTCTTAAATAAAGCACCGTCAGAGGGATACAGATTCAGAATAAGGTGGCCAAGTTCTAAGAATTTTAAAATATAATTTTAAATCTTTCATGATGCAGTGGAGCCATTTCCATCCTTAACAGAGAATTTCTGTCAGTTTTAAAAATCTATCAATATGAAAAAATATCAGTCTCTTCTTGAAGGACCTGCACATGCACATATACTGCATGATGAATGTCCTAAATGTTTACAAAAGATCATGCAATACAAAAATTCTCAACGTTACAGAAAGTATCACATTTTAATGCGTGAACATTACATTTTGTAGCAAACTTTTGATTTTCTTTCATTCCAGATGGCAAAGAGTATTTTGGTAATGGAACACAGATAAAGGTACTGATACTCTCAAATACTTCTGATGTGCTTTGATTTTCCAGGTACCAGCTGTGAGCTGGAAATCAACGAATGTCAATCAGAGCCGTGTTTTAATAGGGCACGTTGCCATGACTACCAGGATGGTTATTCCTGCACATGTACCCCAGGTTTCCAGGGAGATCTGTGCGAAATCAACATTGATGACTGCAGAAGTCAGCCATGTCAAAATGGTGCACAATGTGTAGATGAAGTAAATGGGTAAGTTTTTTCTTTAATTCTAACTCAGAATTCCAATTGAAAATTGAGAATGTTTTATACAGACTGGCTTTGTAGCTTCTGTTTCACCCAAGCCATAGACATTACATTTTTAAATAAAATTAGTTCACTGAAACCCCTATAATACATTCAAAGTTTGACATGCTTACTAGTAATACCGATAATGCTCTTAGTACAAAGCAACAGGTAAGCACAGTTTAAACTGGTCCTGAAGCTTTATTTATGCACAGTAGTGTAAACACTCTCACAGGTAAGATACATTTTAAAAAATATTACTTTGGTAACAAAAAGTAAAATGTTATTTTTTATTTAGCATCAAACTACTCTACAAAAAAAGTGTGGAAATCAATTAATAAATGTAAAATCCTTGATTCAGTTACAGCTGTGAATGTTCCAAAACTGGTTTCATGGGCTTGCACTGTGAAATCCCAGTTCCACTCTGCATGTCAAAACCTTGTCTCAACAATGCCTCATGTGAGGAAGACCATGGGAACTACAAGTGTTTTTGCTGGCCAGGTAGACTTTCTAAACTTAATTATCTAATCTATAACCATGGACAACAGGTTTCTATGAGACAGACCTTAGGTTTACTTTTGCTGTATGGTGACAGGCACTCTCCTGGAACTTTGGGGATGACTACATACTGGAAGTTTCAATGGCACAGTAACGATATGAAACAAGCAGAGACCCTCCCATCTGCTAAAAGAATTTGCTGTGTTGCCAAAGTTAAACAACCCTAGAAAAATATGTGCAGAATAAAGAGCAATTAGGTTCTGTAAACCTGCTGATTGAGTGGGGCTGTTTGAAAATGTTATTTTGAGGGGCCCAAGTCAAATATACTATATATGCAATTTGTTTAAACGAATAAAAAACTAAGGCAGAAAATGTACACAATATGTATATACATCAGAATAATAATAATAATAATAATAATAATAATAATAATAATAATAATGGTGCTGAAAACGCTGAAGTACTGTTTCTTTAAGTAGGTTTTATTTCTGTGTGCGTTTGTGTTTATAAGGATTCTCAGGTACCAACTGTGAGCTGGACTTAAAGGAATGTGACAGTGACCCCTGCCTCTCTGGGGGTGAGTGTATCGAGTTCTCCTGGAAGGAACTGTATGGCACCATCCCAGAACTTCCTGTACTGTTTGACTACCAGCATGCTGCTGGATTTGTCTGCCGATGCCAACAAGGTTTTAAAGGTAAACAACAAATAACACAAGCAAACAAAACCCTCATTATAACAATAGATTGAAATTCAGGTATTGATGTACATTCAAAGGTAATTAAGCTTAATTAAGAAAAAAAAGGGATATACTGTAAAGCATTAGTGAATAAGTCCCTATAATTTCTGTGTATTTATCAACAGTTAACACAAATACATATTATTTGAAAGGGAACACCTTCAGATATCCATCTGTCTGACAATTAAATCCATTTTCCTTTTCATTTCCTGGAAACTTAAAATTCTCTTGCCTTCACTTGCCTAAAAATGGCAAGCAGTCACTCTTTAAGACGGTTAAAGTGTATTATCTTAAGCCTACTGATCTGGCTTGAAGAAAATGCAGTGCTAGTCAGTGAGCTGCAGCATTCTACCTAAGTGAATATAGTAATACAGTGGAAGCTTTCAACGGGAATGGCAGGCCTACTTACAAAACTCTGTTCATTTCGACACTATACACCTTAAGAAACAGACGTTTGCCGATTATCACAAGTTATGGCAACAATTGTGGTGTCTACAGCTTGGGTTTCCATCTTTTTTTCTGTCATTTCAGGTACAGTTATTTCATTTTACCATGAAAATGTCTGTAGAGCAGATTTCTACTTTATTTGAATTTTAGTATGATATTTTGTGTTTGACAGTCACAATTATTAAATGATCTCCCTGTGTTGTTTTCATGATCACTTTGGTGGTCAAGATGATATTTTGTTACTTTTTACTTTTGATGTGTCAGTTTAAAAGGACGTATATACAGTATATATACAGTATACAGTATATTCCTAACTTAATATGGCAGGTAGGTACAAAAGTCTTTTTTTTCTTGCACTAGATCTTCTTTCATGTGTTTTACTGAGATACATTTCAGAGAAAGTACATAATCAAAAAATAAGATATCAGAAGAAATGTTTCATTTAAAACTGATTTGAAAAATACCATTTTAGTTTTAAAACTAATATTTGTTTTATTTTGGATTTTTCGTGATGGCTCCCACATAATGGAATAATTACTGTTTAAAATATGCGAGGTTTAACTAAACTGATCCTCTTTAAGGTGGAGGCTTTTGAAAGTTATCTCAAGAACCCAATTTCATGAAAGGATTTCAATTCCATTAGAGGATTTTTTTATATTTAAGGCTCAGACAGATTTCTTTGACGTTTGTTACGTGCAGATTTCTCTCTCTCGCAAAAGTCAACAATTTTCTGAGGGCACAAGTGAAACCAATATAAATGTTTGCAGGACTACTTGTCTGAAATAATTATTTGGTTATACAGTATACAGTATGATACCATAACAATATAATCTCAATTATGCACAATATTAATCTATTTCCCATAAAATCATTATTTGTGTTACAGCAGAAGAGCGTATAGAAGCTAATCTCCTAAATCCTATCTTCTGCTTTGCAGTCAATTGGTTTTAATTCCGTCTCAGCTACAACAGGGCAATGTCTCAAGTGCTTATGTAACATGCTTTAAATATGTTCACATATGTACTTTCTGTCCAGAAACCTGAGCAAATATTTTACCACTGTAAGTGTGCTGTACCAAATGTAAAACTAAAACACTGCAAATATTTTTTTCCTCTATAAATAGGCTTTTGATACCCCATTGTAGCCACTAATTTAAATTTATCGGTAACACTCAACACTGCATCCTACTCCATTATTTGAATTTGGTACTGTTCATGTTTGTGAATTGCTTCGGTTTTTTATTCTTATATAACGTTTATTAGAAATGTCAACTTCATAATGCTTGAAATCCATAATTCCTTTTCATAATTTCTTTTCTTCATTTGTAGGTGTCTTGTGTCAAGAGGACATCAACGAATGTATTATGAATCCATGTCAAAATGGAGCTAAATGTGAAAATACAGTTGGGAGTTATGTTTGCCATTGTTTACAACAAAGCTTGGAAGGACCTTTGTATGGTGGGCAGAACTGTACAGACATTCTTATGGGCTGTGAAAACCATGACTGTCAAAATGAAGCCACCTGCATTCCCTTCCTCAAGAATGAACAACATGAATACAGCTGTGTTTGTCCAAATGGCTATGCAGGCTCAAAGTGTGAGATACCCACAACTTTCTCTTTTGAGGAAAATGGATACTTTTATATTGGAACAAATCTCCAAAAAGACTCCATAAACATTACTCTAAGCTTTAAAACCGTCCTGCCAAACACTCTCCTATTTTACCAGGGAAATGAGGACACAGTCATCCAACTAGAGCTGGTTAATGGCCTTTTGCATTTCATAATACATAAGGCAAATGAACTGAGCTCTTCTTTGGAGCTCCCTCACAATGTGACAGATGGTGAATGGCACACTGTGGAGGCTACTCTGGGAGGAAGAATGTTTGGAATTGTGCTCTCAGACAGATCCTGTATTCGTGACTGTGAGCAAAAAGTGACCCTGGAAATCCTCCATTACCAGCATGAATCTGCATTTTGGAACAGGTCTATTGGAGGTCTCAAAGAGGAAGGAAAAAAGCCAGGGACCATTGATGCCATTCATTCCCAGCCTTACTTCATTGGCTGTCTGCAAGATGTGTATGTAGATTCCCAGCTGGTTGTCCCTAGTAGCATATCTAATGCAACAGCTGTGAATGTCATTCCTGGATGCAGCAGCAAGGACAGATGTGTGGCAAATCCTTGTCAGAACAGAGGACGTTGCATCAACCTTTGGCAGAACTACCACTGTGAATGCTACAGACCTTACGAAGGACAAAACTGTTCAAATGGTAAGGCAATCAGAACTAAATAAAAGGCTTATAAACCTGAGAAGTAAAAACATTTTGTCATTACAACAACATTAAAATTGGTACACTTGCATTGCATAAGTCTTTACCAAGATTACTGTCATTTATCTTAATGATTGTGCAAAGGGCACCCACCAACTTTGCAGTGAGCTCATTTTGGCACATTTTGACACATTTATCTTCTTTGCATGCAGTTAAATATTAGACCTGTCTGAGAAAGGGACTTGCTTTTTTAGGGAAGATTAAAGGCAGGAATCAATTTCGTTTTTCATTGGTCAATCAGGTAGGTTCATTGGTCAATCATTGGTCCACATCAATAGCCTAGCACAGTTATAATTGTTACCTTTTCGCCCAAGCAATACCTACAGTAATACTAAGACACTGATTGACCCATCAGCATTTAAGTAACATTGTAACAACCTATTTTATAATATTGCACAATTGTTGTGATTTAATCAAAAATTTGCCAACCAGCCAATCACAAGATACATTACTGTACTGTATGTGTGACAGCAGGATTTAAGTGAGAAGTGAGATGTCTGGTGTCATGGATGTCTGAAAGGACAAACCGTGGAATGGCAGGAGAGCAATAAAGACGCTATGCGTAGCGGCAAGACGGGGGTTAGCCAAGGCTCAGCTGTTCAGGAAATGCCGTATAGAAACCTATGCCCTCAGGCCATGGACAGGAGCGACCTGGTGCTAGGCGGGTCTCAGGACATCTGAACCTCAATGCTGAGCCAGGGCTAACCCCCGTCTCGTCGCTATGCATAGGGTCTTTTTCCCTCTCCTGCCATTCCACGGTGCGTCCCTTCCAACATCTGTGACATCTGCTAAACAAAAAACTCGATCAAGAAAAGGATTAATCATTTGTGTCTGGCAGGTGGAGGAAAGGTTGGATTCAATGATGGTTTTTGACTTTGTTACAAAGAACACCTCCTCAAATGGTTCACGCTATGGTAACAGCCAAGGTAGTAATTCATTGCTAAGAAGTCACAAGTATCCTTTTAATATGTTAAAGCCATTAAATACTTGTAAATACTCATTGGAAACTCCTTTGCTAGCTTAATAGCATGTTTCTTTCAATTTAAATGAGCTATTGATCATTCAATATTCTTCATGTGAAATTTAGTTGTTTAGTCCTCCAGGATAGTAGTTGGAAAGCATTTACCCAATATCTGCAAATCCTAAAGGCAAAGAAAATAATTAAACAGTATACTATATAGTTCAATTACAATTACAATTTATCTTAATTGTTTCTAATGTGCTATTTAATACTATATATTTATACAGGTTTTATATATACAGCGTATGCATTATATACCTTCAATAACATGTAGACGCTTCAGTCTATATTTAGTATTAAATCACCTTTATTGACATGCTAAAAGCAGCTACTGTAGCACCTACTTTTAAGTAATCCAATAAAGCTAGGGAAGTGGTTAGTGTTCTAGACTTACAATGGGAAGGTTATGGGTTCACATTCTTGGTGGGTTATTGCTTGGTGGGTTGTGAAACCTTGAGCAATAGCTACAGTATGAAATCTTTACTCAAGATGCTTTGCTAAAATATATATAGTACTTGTATTATTATAGGTCCAAGTCTAGATCACTCAGATCAATGTGTAGTACATAATGACAAGCTTGGTTGTGTGTCACCCAAAGTAAGATGTATTAATAATTATCAAAGTTTTAATCATAGTGGAAAATGTGAGTTGAACATATGAGTATCTAACAAACAACATAGATACTGTAGCTCCTGATTGTGTCTGACATGTCCCACGCAGACTGTTGCAGTCTAGATCTTAGTAAGATCTTGGAAGATAACTTTCAATGCATTTGTGTTAACAGCTAAGGTCTCTAACTGTGTAGATTTTAAGTACAAGAGAAATTTAAGCACACAGGCAGTATTAAAAGCATTTCCATATCTTTAGATTTTTCCCCTTACATCAGCATAATTGGAGAAGTGTCAATGTCATGACATACTGTATATGTCAATGTAATTTTTGTTGTTTAAAAACCCTAAACTATCAAATACATAATATTTAATGATCGTGGTTTAATGTCATGGATATACAATACATAACTTATATTTTCTACAGAGATATATTTCATAGTAGCTGCAATGGGTGATTTAAGCAAAGGGTAAGATATTTTATCACAGTACTGAACTAAGAACTTCTCTTGACCTTGTAACGCTAAAAGCCCTCATCTGCTTTATGATGTGGGAAAAGTCAGACAATTTTAAAGATGATTCTTTTACCTAAAGTCAAAGTTATCACCTGGTCATCAAGGTATCCATTCCTGATTATAAAAGAAGAAATGAATTGCTGATCAAGCAATGTAACAAAAAAAAAACTACTGTCTCTATACATTAGAAAATCCATAATGCAAACTTCTATAGCAGAGAAAGACTCAAACAAAATTTTAGAATGCTAACATTTTTTGGCATTCTACTTTACAAGCACAGAATATGTTGTTAAAGATCTTAAATGTGTCTTTTGTTTGCCCATCTAACTTAATATAAAAATATTTACAATAATGATTTCTTAATAAATAAGCTTCAAATATGTGGGACAATATTTGGAACTGTATGCCTTGGACATCTACAGTAGCTCTCTTTGAGTTAAGCAGAATATCAATTTTTCAACCTGTTTAAAAAGATCACATTTCCAAATTAAAATTCCTGAAAAAATTAGTCAGTCATAAGTGTTCAGTGTTCTACTGATTTAACGTAAACTACAGCAACTTTCCCTTCTACATAACAATGCAAATTGGTATTGTAGGTAGATTACCTGATATTCAAAAAAAGCTTGACAACATTTAATATCATGTTATATGTGTTTTAATTAATGTTTTGCTAACATTCTCTGCTTTATCATTTCATACAGTAAGTGTTTTTCTTTGTACATAATGAAATAACTCTTCCTTATGTTCGCTACAGAGTATGTCACAGCCAGATTTGGCAGCGATAACTCGGAGGGTTATGCTCTTTTCACAATAGATGACAGTCCTGGGCAGAACATCACCATTTCAATGTTTGTTCGTACCCGAAGATATACTGGATTACTACTTGTTCTTACAAACAGCACCAGCCACTACCTCAGGATCTGGTTGGAAAATGGAAAAGTAAATGTCCGGGTAAATGACTTTGAGACTCTCTCTGGAGACCGTTTCATAAGTGATGGGCACTTGCATTTACTGAGCATTAAAATCGAACAAAACCAAATGGCACTTTATCAGTCTGTACAGAAGCTGAATTACACCTCCATCCATACAGTGAATGTCCAGCTTGGAGATCTTGTATATGTTGGTGGCTTGGCTGATAAAAGGATACCTGCATCCTTTGGAGGTTATTTCAAAGGATGTATCCAGGACTTGAGGATCAACACCAAGCGACTCGAGTTCTACCCCATTGGAATTCCTCTAAGTTCCTACAGAATAACAAGCCTTGTGAACGTGACCCGTGGCTGTTCAGGTGACAACGTTTGCGATGTAAGTCAGCAAGGTGTCCCTATTGTTAATCCTCTGTGGTTTAACCAGCACAAATGAACTAAAACAAAATCAGCTGACCGCGTTTTCCCAAAAGATGATTTATTTAGATTTCATTTAGAATGTATGCATTTAGATTTTATGGGTCTAGGATTTATTTTAAAATCATTTGCCAGGAATATCGCTTTCGCAGGTGGAACATATACGAATCACATTTTTGGATCTCCGTTCTGTTTCACACACCTTGCTATATAACCGTTTCCACAAATGCTGTAAATGGTCTACAAAGGAAACATAATACAGTGGATGGGAAGCATGATGCACTGTAATACATGATACAGAAATGTGTATCATTTAGCAAAATCTGAATTTTATGCTGCTGTGACCAAATGATATTTCTCATGAACAACAGGCAATGGTAAATTAAGTTCTTTGATAATTAAAGGCCCTATATAAATACATTATTATTATTATTATTATAAGCAGCCAAATCACCCTGCAACTCACAACTGGTGACCTACTGAAGCTAAGCAGGTGTGAGCCTGGTCAGTACCTGGATGGGAGACCTCCTGGGAAAAACTAAGGTTGCTGCTGGAACAGGTATTAGTGGGGCCAGCAGGGGGCGCTCAACCTGTGGTCCACGTGGGTCCTAATGCCCCAGTATAGTGATGGGAACACTATACTGTAAACAGGTGCCATCCTTCGGATGAGACGTAAAACCGAGGTCCTGACTCTCCGTGGTCATTAAAAATCCCAGGGCATTTCTCGAAAAGAGTAGGGGTGTAACCCCGGCGTCCTGGCCAAATTTCCCATTGGCCCTTACCAATCATGGCCTCCTAATAATCCCCATCTATGAATTGGCTTCATTACTCTCTGCTCTCCTCCCCACTAATAGCTGATGTGTGGTGAGTGTTCTGGTGCACTATGGCTGCCGTCGCATCATCCAGGTGGATGCTGCACATTGGTGGTGGTGGAGGGGAGACCCCATTACCAGTAAAGCGCTTTGAGTGGAGTGTCCAGAAAAGCACTATATAAGTGTAAGCAATTATTATTATTATTATTATTATTATTATTATTATTGGGCAGGCTGTTATTATTATTAAGCAATCAAGACATTTTATTATTTCCTACAGAATGCACATTTTGTAGTTAATAGGCTTTCTCCTATGACAGGAGTACTTCCATAACGCTGAGTTTTTTCCTACTCAGACAAACCCATGCCAGAATGGTGGAGTGTGCTATGCCATGTGGGATGATTTCACATGCACCTGTCCTCCTAGTACAGCAGGAAGGACATGTGAAGAGGTCCAGTGGTGTGAGCTCAGTCCCTGTCCTGCAGAAGCTGTCTGTCAGTCTCGTCTCAAAGGGTTTGAATGTAAGCTCCGTTAACTCAACTCATTTGCACGAGTACAAGTATAATCCCCATTGTTTTTCTTCTCACAATAATGGCAAAACAATGAGCTGAAATGAGGATGGCTATGTATTGTATGGGAGACAGATTGACTAAGACCTGACACTAAGATGTTTTGCAAAATATAGATATAAATATTTAGGTATAAATACAAAACCTTTTCAGTGTTATGATTATCTAATTTAATTATGTGTACTGTGCATCACAACTAGGGCACACACTGAGATGAGAATGTACTATTTTAACCTTAATTACAGTGCATACTGTATGTACAGGTCTAGGTTTGGAATTGTTTAATTCACTACAGCTGACTGAATCAGATCTTATTAAAGAGGTAATGGGAATTAAAACATGTGTACATGTTCTTGATATTGGTTTGGATTAAAATAGATTAACCTCATTGGGATTAATGATATAGATACTTAGTCACTTGGAAAGGTCTTCATGAAAAGACAAGAATGATATTATCATCAAAGTTCTCTCTAATCCCCATAACAATATTTCTTTGTACATGTGGCTAGCACTGAGAAAGTATTATATTTTCTTGCCAAAACCCAGGTATAAGACATACCTGGATGTACACCTCAGAATGTATAAGAAATATGGACCAATGTAATATATCTTTTTTGTGTTTGTACTCAGGTATTTGCAATGTGACATTTCGTGAAGACAGCAGCGCACTGTCCTACAAAGGTAATGGTAAAATTTTCCGCAATCTCACCAACATAACCTTCAGTCTACGAACAAGGAAACATGAAGCTGTCATTCTCCACGCAGAAAAAGGTCCAGAGTTCGTTACAATCTCTATCCAAGATTCACACTTGCTGTTTGAGTTAGTCAGTGGAAATAGTTTTCTTACGTTAAGCATGAAGAGCAAGATGCCAATCAATGATGGGCAATGGCATAAAGTGATGTTTTCTATGCTAACACCCAAATCAGAATCCTCAGAATGGGTCATGGTGTTGGATAATACAGAAGAACCATCTTCCACAAACGTTGCTGCTGGAAACTTGAATTTTCTCAAGGAGGAAACAAACATTTTCGTGGGTAGTTTAGGTCCTGACATGGGAGGCAATCTAGCTGGGTGCCTCAGTACCATTGAAATTAGTAGCATTTCATTATCATACTTTGGAAACACAGAGACTCATCTTCCCCGATATCAGCAGGAACAGTTCATTAAAACGTCTGCTAAACCAGCTATACTTGGCTGTTCTGGAGCTAACGTCTGTGCACCCAGCCCTTGCTTGAATGGAGGCAGCTGTAAGGATCTTTTCAACGACTATAATTGCACATGCCCCCCTGGCTGGACTGGACTGAAGTGTGAAATTAACATTGATAACTGTGCATCCAACCCCTGTATTCATGGCAATTGCACTGATAGAACGTTGGCTTATGAATGCAAATGTGACCCAGGCTACACTGGGAGAAACTGTGAACTGGAGATAGATGAATGCAAAAACCACCAGTGTGGTAATGGAGCCACCTGCCTTGACGGAATCAACAGATATTTCTGTTTATGTCCTCAAAATGCAACTGGATCCCAGTGTGAGTAAGTATGTAAACTGAGTCATTTTATTCACCAGCATGCAACATAACTAAATAAAACCATTATTTTCCATAAAGTTCTGTTTTATCTCACCACCCAACAAACCTGGGACACTCAGGACAATTATTAGTGAAAAACCGAAAAATAACTTTCAAATTTCAATTTCATGGAAATATATACGTCGTAGTAGTAGGAATGCATTACATTCATCTTTATAACTTCAACTTGTGCATCCTGATCAATATACTGTTTTGTTATTGTGATCCGTAGAACTCAACATTTTTCCAGTACACAGAGCTTGTCTACTTTTTATAGGATATTTTAGTCATTTTCTCAAATTCCTTGTTCTATGACAGAATCATTTCAGGTTTATAATGTAGTCTCTGCTTTAGTATGAAGACGCACAGATGTTGTTTTCTGGTATAGGGCAGAAATAATATAAAGAACAGTGCAGCTACCAGCATCTTCTTTTGAGCCATTAAATGAAAAAAAATGAGACTATGTTATTAAACCTAAGTTATGTTTAATATCTTACAAGGATTTGTAAGGACAATTTCCTGTTACACTATTTCACTATATTCATTTTTGTCACACATTAAAATTCGATTACACTGTAGCCATTTTTGATTAGCCTGTCCTAAACATAATGGGATTTGAATAACAAAAGCATAAAATCCAAGCAATCATTTCAGAAGCAAAATGTTCGATTTATGTTAGAAATGGGAAAAGCTAAAACTTTATTTTTATTCTTATTTGCTTTTCTAAAACAAGTTTCACAACTCTTTCACATGTCATAGCTAATACCACTGGGAATGTTCTTCATAACTTCCTAGCAACCAATATTTCTTTTCCTTGGATCTGCAGTATGCCTGGCAGCAGTGCCTTGGGATCACCTATAGTACGTTATTGTAATATCCAGCGCTGCTTCATCACAAATTATGAAAGGAATGAAACTTATGAACCTGTCTTATAGAGCTGTAAGGCATAACTTAGATCCCCTATGTATAAGAACTGTTTATAAAATGTTTGTTTTGAAGTAGTGCCCATTTTTTATAAAACATACTTTTTTCTTTCTTAAGTGTGAAAATTGAAAAGGTTTCATGGTACCTGCCCGAGACTCGGTAAGTTATATCTTAAAAACCAAAACCAACGTTTCCCAACATTTAATTATTTGGTCCCAAAATGAAAAGAACACTCAAGGCAGACTATTTAAAATTTTCTTTATCTGGGAACTCAGTTTGGATTTAGGTCATTGACATACAATTTGGTATTTTTATGTATGTTTATCCCTGTGAACTATTCATCCCCATTTCCCTCTTCATCCCTTTGTTGTTGAAATCTTTGCCTTGATGGAATTGTGTTTTTTTAAAAGAAAAACATCCATTAAGACAAAAAAATAATCTAACATGTTTCAGTACCCTTCTAGAAAAACGGTGAAGGCTTAATGCAATTTTCCGGTTGAAATTTGTTGAGAATAAAATTACCACAGCAAATTTGTAATTTCTTTAACCCCATCTCTTTTAAAATCCAGGTCATCTCAGGATTATTAAGATAAACTTTGTGTTTATGTGCTTTTCTAGCAGGGTACTGTCTACACACTTTTAAGCACAGTAGTTGGTTCACATCTTTTTATATCTATCCCTCACAGTATGTATCCTTTGCCGGAAGCAACTTCTGTTCCAGTGGTAAGAATGTATGTTCCATTTTTTAACCTTTATTTATCCTCCATATTAATTAAAGTATAGAAATTTCTTTCTGTTTTGCTTTGGGGCTGGGTAATTCAGTTAGATGGTGCAAGGCTCTGACAATGTCCAGGTGTATGATTTGATCCCTGCTATTTCTATTGAAAGAAATGGCACCTACAATACAGTATATACAGCTGAGATTGTAGCACTGATGCTGCCCACTGCATTTCTTGATTGCATTGTGTAGCTATTTCTTCTTGGTTTGATCAAACTATGACTTCTAGTCTTTCAATTTATATACTGTCCTACATTACCTATTTCCCAAAAACATACCTTCTTTCATACAAAAAATCAAATGCTGTTTGGCTTCTAGTTTGAAATACACTTTTAATACTTTAATGATTTTTTTTTCACATCATTAAGTACAAACATATAGCACAGAATGTAGAAACGTCTGTTTTTTTTTTCTGAACAGTCCTCAGATGATTCCCCTTTTCATAAGTTATATAGTACTTCCATAAAATAAGTTAAAGACTTCTCTGTTAGTAGAATATTTAGGAAATTTGTATTTTCTTTCAGTGATTATAACCTACTTGCAACAACTATAATTTTGATCTGGGCTACCTTATATATCAAAAAAGGAACAAACTTACAATTTCTAACAATAGTTTGATTCTTCTGTATGCTTTATGTTTTTAATGTTCGGAGTCGTTAGCCTTGTCATTTTACCACCATTTTGAGTCATCATGTGATATTCTGTAGCTCTCATGGATAATAAAATTGAGAACTCACTTGGTATAACAGGAGATATTCCTCTTTGTTTAGGAATTTAATAGAATATGTTTGCATTTTTAGATATCCAATGCTACCAGTCTCAATCTGCAGAAACAGTCGAAGGAACTATACCTGTTTCAATGGAGGAAACTGCACAGATGCAGGAGAAAGCAGCAGATGTAATTGCCAGTCAGGTTTCGCTGGTGACTGGTGAGAATCTTCTCTTTGCTACTGTTATCTGTATGTTCTGGAGAGCAATGTACAGTACATATTCCTCATGTTGTCAAAGCAATCTTCAATTACAGTACTTGGCACTCAGTGACTTTTAGTATGTACAGAAAATATGGCTACCATTTAGATATTTACTAAACACCCCAGTGATGAAGATTAAAACATGAGAAATGCTTCAAATAAGAGGGTGATATTTCATATGTGATTTATATTTCCCGATCCTAATGTTAATTGTCATTAGACTTACTGTATATTAGAAACACTCAACTCTTGAATACGTCCTCAGCTTCAGAACGTTCCTGTAGATGAAATTGAAAACATTTTGAACTGACAGCTACTGTATTGGCAGGGTATTCATACCAGTGCTACATTTCTGTTTCAGGTGTGAAATAGACGTTGATGAGTGCAAGTCTAACCCCTGCCTAAATGGAGGCTTCTGTCGGAACATGCTTAACAGCTACCAGTGTATCTGTAATGTGAGCTATGCTGGAGAGCGCTGCGAGGTTGATGTAAGCGACATTTCCTTTTATGTGTCTATGTTGCTCTGGCAGAATCTCTTCCAGCTCCTCTCTTATGTCATTCTGAGACTCGATGATGATCCAGAAGTGGAGTGGGGGGCAGTGGAGGACTGATGGCAAGGTTCTTTTTCATCCTATTGTGCCTCCAGGAAAGTAATGTCCAGTGATGTCCACTAGAACGTCTAGAATAATATATAGTAACAAAAGATCTTGCTCTATTGATACTATGCATAGATTTTTGAGGTTGCAACCAATAATACAATTCAATTCAAGCTTTACTGAATATGGGGAAGTGTGAGCACATTTATTATGAGTGAAGGATCAAAATTATATCTTTTCTCATAACTAGATTTTAAAGTGAATCTTTAAATTCACTTTAAAGTGAATAAAAGTGTCTTCATGTCAGGGTGTAAAGATTAATCAGTTGTCTTATTTTTGAAGACTGTTCCTTTCTTTTTGCACAGAAAATGTACAGACAGTATGATACTACTGACAGGCATTTACCCAAAGTCTTGTCGTAAGATACTTCTTTTATTTTTATATTTTAAGGATTTTTATTCCCTTTTCAGTAAAAGATAAAAACACCCAACATTCCTAGTTTAATTCCAAAGGAGTACAGATAAAACATTTTTTATGGATTTTTTTTAGTTATTTCTAATGCAATTTCTTGAATAATAATCACTTCATTCTTCATTATAATCAATGGGTTTAGAAAAACAGGGAATTACAATGCAGACAGACTATTGTTAATGTTGTTCTATATTTAAATACCTTTCAGTGTATTTTTTAAACCTCATTTAAAAAAGTCATAACTTGGATGGCTTCTCTAACATTTACTCAGGTATCATGTTGTAGAAATATAACACATTATGATAAAAGAGGCTTCTGTGCCTTAAAGTATGATAATTTTCTTTATTATGTATTTATATGATATAAAAGTACCTGTATTATATATAATAAAAAATAGGCAATATATTTATAAACTAGGATTTTTATCATGGCTATTAATGACCTATCTGAACTTAGAAAGCAAAAAAAAAATTATTCAACTTCATGATAAAAAGAAGATAAAGTTTATTTAACATTTTGTGTGAATACTTGCTGTGTTTCTAAAAAAAAAATTTCAGTTGTGCAGCAAACCAATCAGACACTTCTGCTTCAGTTCTAATAATCATACCAAATATGGTCAATTTTGTGGATCGATGGGTTGGAAGGCAGTAATGAGCAATGGTGAGATGTGAACTATTAGAAAAGTTTACTGTGGTATGAATGGTAAAAGAGGAGCGATAAATGGTAAGGACCAACAAAATCACAGAAAACACGTTAAAACGTTGGAAGTAGATGACTGGTGTCAGTATGAGAAAAATGCAAATCCTATGCATTTTATCATGGTAAACTTTCTCAAGGAAACCTCCAAATACTCCTGAAAATTCCTTGGTTCTAAATCAATATTACTTACACTAGTATTTAAATTATAATGCATCCAATTTGTTTTTAGACAAAACTGTCCTACAGTTTTAATAAATGATCTGAGGCTTAATATGAAGGTAATAAAGGTAATTGCTGGAAATGATTTAGTTTTTTTTTCCCCAAAAACACAAACATTGCATTGTACTGTAAATATTCATTAGGCTTCCGTAAATGAGGGTTTTAAAAGTGTGGATTTACTGTACAGCTGAGAATGTGCTTAGCTCATGCCTATGAATTAGAGCAATAAGCAAAAATAATTGTTGGCTAGACTGTCTCCAAGTGGAAGCAAGGTTTGGCAACTCAACAAACTAAGACAAGTCTAGAAAAGACAGAGATAAATAACCAAGGGACAATATGAAATCAATCAACATTACCTAGGCAATTACATGAATCATTATGTAAACCTACCAATTAAACCTGCAATTAACAGGCTTACTAAGGTCAGGTGTGTTTCATTCTTTAAAGGATAAGGAAAACACCTCTGGAATCACATCCTTTTGTCATATACTGTACTGTCTTCATAAACATCTTCAGTACATTAAATGTGTTTCTGCATTTGTTACTGTATATATATGTGTGGAGCAGAAATGCTCTTTTCTTTTCTGTTTCCTGTCTTGTTCTTGTTCCATCACTTATCTTGTCAGTGTTGGTCATTGAATAAATGTTATTCCTATCTTTTTGTTCCTATTTTTTTCCTTTTCTGTCTGCTTGTCTTTCAAAAGTTATACTCAGCACTGCTGATATTCCTGACTTCATCAAATGTTTAATCAGCACTAGTCAGTCTACACAGCAACAACATCCATTTTGCTTTAGATGATAATGTTACCATTGCGTGCTTGTAGGTACTGTACATTATAGTGCCATGTTTCTTAATTATAGTCCATAAGCAAAATGCAGTTTTCAATGGCATTTCTTTGAAGCCAAACACAGATTCTACAACATCAAGAATCTGTTTAAGAAGTAAAATTAGTTGTTTTACTTTGTTTTCTTGAATTCAAGAAGCTCAAATACCATTCCTACTATTCAGTAGTTTTATATGGTAATATTATTTATTATTGCATTACTTGATAAAGTATCAGGAAAAGACTATAAATAATTCTAAATTGTTCTGAAAAACTATTATTAACTTTTGGAGTTTTTATTCATTTTAATAAATAAAATAAAAAATAACGTTATGCATTCTGTTTTTTCATGTTACGGGTAATATAGACTGAAGTCTGGACAGTGTCCAAACCTGGTCCTTTCCATTTCACACTACTTTAATACTTTATCGAATAAATATATACAGTACATATTTATTATGCAATATATATATATACGTGTGTGTGTAAACAGAAGACCAATAAACAAAAGGACTAACTAAAAGTAATTTGAATTTTCTAATAAGAGAATATAATTGTTGATTTCCCAAATCAAAATATGAGAGAAAATGTTTTCTCCACTTCTACAGAAATTTCAATTTTAATCATTTACATTTTTCAACAAAAATACAAATTCTAATATACAATTAACTCAATTAACTTATTGTTAATTAACTAATGTTCCTTAAAGTATTAGAGATACATTTTTAAAAAAAAGTAGGAATCAAGATTACAATCAGTGTCTTTGCAAACATCTGAGTTGGCTATTCAGCCTTTGAAAACAGGTTGAACCTGACTGTTGAAGAATAAATTAGCACAGCTTCAGGATCTGTACACAATGGCTTTAATTGTGAAATAAACTCCTGCTTCTGGGAAAAGTGCTCTCTGAAGACACCCATTTTCTCACTGCAAGGTATCATTACCATTTGTGTGCCACAGTATGAAATAGCAAAATTGTTGCTTTGTAAATATTTAATTTCACCATTAAAAACAAGCTGCTCTAAACAGAGGAGAAAGACTTTATGCATTGACAAAACAAACTGCTACTTCAATACAAAAGTGTGCAAAAAGAGATGAATAGTATGGGTATGTTGCAGGATAGTTTGAATGGAATGTACAAGATTCTACACTGGAATCTACAGTAGATGGATTCCTGTGGCTGAGATATAGATAGAATAATATAAAGAAATCTGTACAGTAGGAGACCATGGTGTAGCCTACAGAGAGAGCCTGCATTTACTTTGTGAACTTTTGCCTTTGTCTCACAGAATAAATTCCTTGTAGTCTGTTCCTGTCTGTGATGGTACCTTTGGTGCTTTTGTTATGAACAGTATCTGAAAAATGTTGAGAAAAGCTCTCAGAAAAAAAAAGCTTATGGTACACATATAGGTCTATTGTGAATTCAGCTGGGGTATTTGGGAATTCAGAAGTGAGATAAGCTTTTCCATGTTTGAAATGTGAAACTGGAGACCTGTGAATGTGTTTGACTTGAAAATATGCAAATAATGCATCTTCGGCAAAAACAACTGACACATGCTTCTCCAAAAATGCAATTCAGCAAAAGTGGCAGATTTAAGGGAAATAGAGGCTTTTAAAACAACTAGATGCAGCAGACTCCACTACAAAGAACACTACTCAAAATCAGGAGCGCACTGGTGTACATCTAGAGACTGAAGAGTATTTGGAGCTAATACATTTTAACCTTTATATAAGGAATATCATGACTCTGTTAAAAAATTTGTGGGAAAGAAATACCTCCAGGATCCAGTGGCTAACATATATGATTTTAACTTTGAAGCTCAACTTCTCATTTCTGGAAGGTAATGGAATAATAATATATTCTAACTAAATAACTGTTTGTTCAACTAAGCATCAAATGTAACATTAAGATTTTGACTATTCCAATAGTCCTCAATATACTGTTTTGAATATTGGTATCAATATTATTTATTTATGAATGAAACGTAATTTATAGTTAGGTGCTATTTTTAAAAGATTTTGAATTGAAAACATTTTTAAGTATTTATTATGCTGCTGGTGTAATTCTCTTCCAGTGTTTGCAGTGTTGATATGATGGAAGGTATCTGGTCCTCCACTGTAACTGCCTTGTCATGTTAATTAACATAGAATGAAAATGATAAATTCACATGTGGTAGTATATCTTTCTGTTCATACATTCTGAAGACACAAACACAAAAGGAAATATTTTAGCAGCACCTATAAATGCAGTTCACTTCAATCATCATTTTGTCTAATATTAAATCTGGAAAAAATCTCTTGATGGTGATGTTTACAAAATCTTTAATAATTTATTTAGAAAAAAAACCCTCCAAAACTGTGAAACTGACATTCATGCAACAATTAATGCTATACATTTACAATGATTTTAAAAATACTAATAAATGTGTTTTACAAACAATAATTTCTCAACAGCACAGACCGAGACTGCTACAACACCAGTCTTTACTACGGATGTAAGTGCTTTAAAAAATAAAACGGTTCATATTGAGAATGATAGCACAAATAGATACAGTAATTATTCCTTTAGCAGTTTTTCAGTGTAAAAAACAAGATCATTGTATTAAAAAGCAAACTATAATTTATGGAACAAAAGCCTAGTTTGGCAATTAGCTTTTTTGCTTTGATGTATAGAAAATGTAAATAGTCTGTCACTGCAAAATAAAATATAGACAAAAATCAAAAAACATCAGGACTGAAACCCTCCAATTCTTTAAACGCCTTACCAAAAACTTTTAGGGGAAACTATGAATAACTACTATAGGACACACTTTCTCATATTTAAGAACTGAGCATAATTTACACCCTTTTTAAAGATCGATCTCAGTTTGTCAGCTTGCATTCCATGTATACAAAAAAAGATTTTGGTAGGCTATTTCTGTAAACTGTACAGAGTGAATATGCATCATCCTGCAGATCGTTGACATCCATTTGTGTGATTTTCCACAGAGTGAAACTCCTCAAAACAAACCCCACTTAGCCGCTGTTCTTGCCCCTAGCCTCATTTTGGGTGCGATAACCATAGGAATCGTGCTAGTCTTTACGATTATCAAAATCCGAGAGAAGCGGCAGTTGGAGGGATCATTCAACCCTAGGAGTCTGGAACAAGCTGGTTCTCAAGCGGACAAGGGAAGCTGCCCTATGAAGTTGCCTCCTGTGGAGCGCCTCATATAAGAAGCAGTGAGGGAGCCGACCAGCAGGTCTTTGTGCCCTTTAAAAGCTACCTGTGGAATATCAAGTTAATCCAGGTACAAGAAATATAGTGTGACAAAGACACTCAACAAGATGACACAAAGAGGGAACAACAGACCTAGAAGTCAAAACTGAGTTAATATAACATACGTCTCTAGAGATGTGTTTGAAGGCATTTTTCACATTATTTCCCTCTACCCTAAAAAAGCATTGAAATTCTGGACTATACTTTAAACATGATAGAATTATAAAATGAACTTTAAAAATGGTTCGTATAAAGAATGATAGCTGAAATAGATAATTGTTCCTTTTTTAGTTTTATAACATACAAATCAGGACTATTGTATTAAATTACTGGATACATAGAACATATGGAACCAACTTAGGCAATTAAGCTTTCTGCTTTGATGTATAGAAAATGTAACTAATCTGCCAATCATTGCAAAATTAAATATATATAAAAAATACCCAAAATGTTGCCATTGTTCAAATTCTATTAGAATATTGGCATTTCTCTGAACAACAATCTACAGTATGTATTGGGATGCAATTTTCCTGCTTGATTTTTGAACAACGTTTTTTTAATTGGCATGAAAACGTATGGTTTTATATAAAAGAAAAATGAAACGGATAAGGAATTTTTCTTACAACAGTATTTGGAGTTAAAGAAAAAAAGGATTGACCTTTCCATCTCACTTTTGGTCTAATGCTCAGACAGCCTGGTCCACACTGCACTCATTTAAACTAACCATGATAAAAATTCTAAAATTCAAACACAAGATAGTTTCCATCTTACAATTGCTTAAGTCAGAAGTTGAGATTTCTGGATATCAGACCAAAGGGATTCTCTAAAGCTGCAGTCAGGAATCAAGGATAATGCTATATCTGATTTTATATCTTAGCAGCTTCAATTTTGGGGCTGTATCTAGCAGTTCAAAATATTCACCCTGACTGATTTTCTAACATCTTCTAGTTGAATACAGACAGCATGACTTCTGAACTCCTGCTCTCCATATGTTTGGTCTCAGTGGCCCTACTGCTGGCCCTCTTCCTGGCCACCACAGCGTTCATTGTTGCCATGAACAGGAGAGCCACCCATGGTACTTACAGCCCCAGCAGGCAAGAGAAGGAGGGATCACGCTTGGAGATGTGGAATATGGTCCAGCCTCCACCCATGGAAAGACTTATTTAACTCCTCCTTAAAAACTGTTCTTTGTTTCCCGCCAGGATGCGGGTTAATTGCACTTGTCATCATCAGTTATACATTGTGGAATTTTCCATTCAACCCATCAATAGCCTCTCAGAACAGATTTTACTTGTTTTACCTATTTAAAAAGTGAAACAAAAGAGCTTGGCTTGAACACCTTTAAAAAGGAACTTACCTGCAAAGATGTTAAAAAAAAACTGATCAAAGACTGACCCTAAGTATGAGAAGAAGTACAAAAAAAGAAATAGTATGAATATACAATGGATGTAGTATAATACGTTACTGAGTTTTTTTTTCATACAATTCATACAAAAAAGACAATCGACCAAAGCTGTTAACTAAAAAGGGTGTCCAAAGTAGCTCAACAAAGAAAGGAGCAGGTGATCCAGCCATTGCTAGAGTGAGCTTGGATCAACCAACCAAGACACTGCCAGAGGTCTCTCAACCTTTCAGGTGCCTAGGAGCGTGTGGTGATATCATACCGCTCCATCGATCAGCTCTAACTCACTTTCGGGCTCTGTGGAGCCTGCAATATGTCAAAAGACAAATGGGCATTGCAGGTGGGCATGTTAAAGAAGCACGCCTGTATTTCTTATTCTCTCCCAAGACGGTATAGGGGCACTACCAAAGAGCCAAGTCCTAAAACACAGACAACTCCAAATTGGGTGTAGAATAAAAAAAGGCCAATTTCAAATTAAAAAGATGTATGTATCCTGAATTGTCAATTTTATCCCTTGCACACTCTAGCAATTTCCATCTTACGTCCACAGAAAAAAGAAATACTTTGGGTCCCTGTCTTAATGTATGACATTAGTTACTGTATGTCTGTTTTATTTAATTTTCTACTTTCCTAGCAAAGATAAAGTGGAGTAATTGTCAGTGTAATATTACTTTCAATGTTAACTGCCCTTTAATTTATTGTCTCGTGTTTGCCTAATGTGAACAGTTTGTTGTGTTATTTATGCTGAAAAAAGGAGGCTGTATGCTTTTTTTACAAAAAATAAATACTTAAAGACCTGACTGTCACAATATACATTTTCTAAACTGTTTGAAGATATATTTTTTATATGATTTCAGCATTGTGGAACAGCATACTTTAACATACTTTAACATAAGATGAAAAGTATAATACATATTATTTGAAAAATAAATACTACTTACTTGTAGTATAGAAGAAACCATAGTACACAAAAACATTCTTTTTCACAATTAAAAATGTTTGTTCACGAATATGTCATTACTGGAAGCTATCATAATAACGTATGGTTTCACCATACACTGTATGCCCCATTTTACACAGTTGGTTTAAATGATATAACTAAGTCTGTGGTCAGTCTTAAGGATTATAAACCACATACTCTCATTGCTTGTGACGAAGTGATGATGTGCAGCATGTTTCACAAATATTGTTAAATCAATGAACCTGCACTGATATTATAGTCTGAATAAAGCCTAATTTCAATACACTTTTTTGCATGTAATAAACAACTTCATGTAATGCCAATAAGTATTGTATTTTTAAAATCCTTTTGTTACATCAAATGTTATAAGGTTTTAAAATGTGCACTGTTATCATAATAATAGCTACTAAATGTGAAAATCAACCATTAAGATATATTTTTTTTTAATTTTTGGATAAATATAATTCGAGGCAGACACCTCTTTACACTGTGATAATGACAGGATTGTTATACAGTCTTGCTTTTTTTTAATGTTTATAAGTTACATATTTTAAATATTTGTTTTAAATGTAGATATATATAATTTTTGTCATCTAAATGCCTTGACGTAATGAGTACATTTCTAATTGTGATTTTTTTTTTCCATTATGGAACCAATGTAATAATAGTAGTAATACCTTGCAATGGTTCCATGCTTTTCATTCCTGAGGGTTTCAAAGTACTTCACACATAGGAGGAGACCCACTTCATCTACCATTGAAGTGCATCTAGATGTGGTAGCCATTGTGCTGTCTGCCCCACAACACAGCAGATCAGGTAAAATTACTTTAGCAGTTGATGAAAGCGACTTAGGGAGGCCAGATTGTGCAAGTCCAAAGTGGAATTTATTCAGGAAACTGGGACTTACACCCTTACTGTTACAAACACTACAAAAAATGAGGAGCTTGGTTTAACAGCTCATTCAAAAGACAGCACCACAAATAGTCCATTGTCCACTCACCACATTGGTTCAGACATTACTTACAGTATCTACCTGCTATTCCTCTAGGGTCTGCAATTCTAATATTGGCAAGGCCCACCGCTGCTTAGCCACTGATCAGGTCAGGCAAAGGTATAACCTAAGTGCTCAGAAATGCACCTTACATTTTCACTCGCCAAAAAACAGTAACAGCTGCAATCCCATTTAAACTTTGGCAAAAGTGCAAACATTTGATTTAAATTGTATTTCCTTTTGACCATGCAGTATGTTAGAAATGCTAATAATGCTAATGATAAAGACTGAAAAGTCTAATCATTCTCACAGTTTAATTAAAGTGATGCAGTTGTATTTACTTGCATTAGAATTAAGCCTATTCCTCCTCTGTCTTCGGAACCTCATCTCAAATTTATAGCTACCCCAAGAAGGACAGATTACTTATTAATGTAAAATAATTGCAGAAAAGGAGCAAGTCTATTTACACCAACTGTACTAATTATATCTCCAATATATTTTAGATTTAACGTCAATCTGGAAACTCTTGTAATCTTTATTTCATGATTTTGTTCATATTTAATTACTAAAAACTTGGTTCTTAATATTCTTAAATGTTAAATGGTTCTTAAATGTTACTTTCTTTCAGTACAAATCTGCTTTTGATATTATGGTTCCAACAGACTGAAACAATGTTATATAAAATCAACTGCCTTGCAAAATAGTAGTCTTGTCAAATACATGCTAAAGAATTCAAATTATCACCAATTCTTGATTTTGTCTTTTTTATAATTGTGATTGAGCTGTTAAATCAGGGAAATGTGATGTACAGAACATAATTACTGGTAAACTACTACAGAATGAAGCATGTATTGCATCCTCAATTGCATATACTTCTAACTCCTAAAAAATGTTCTTAAATGCATCTTCCTAAAATTTAAAAAAGAGACAAATATTAAGCATCCAAAATTTATTTTTTACAAAGTTCACAGTGAGCACCTTTAGGACAGAGTTAATTTTTGTACCCTTAAATACAACAGTACATCAGAGATGACACTGTATATATTTGTCTACTCTCAAATCAGAGCATGCATGTGTCAAAAAAATGAAAGAACTGGTATCAGTACTTAATATCAGCACTGTAATTCAGCATAGCTGTGAATGTCCACCTTTCAAAAAAGTTTGTTCATTTTAAATTTATGTAAAATGTGTACAGTACAATCTTCTAACACCATTTATTTCAGAGAGCACTGTGTGTGAAGTAATCATTGATATGCAACAAATATTCTTAGCAATCATAGATTTTCTTCATGAACTTACAAATCTCAATATCACCTTGTACACTGATTACACAGAAACAGTAATATTGTATCTAAATGATCAGAATGTTACAGATCAAATGCAAATATTCATTGTACCTCGTTCGAGAGGTTCTTAGGATCAAGATTATAAAATGTACCTTGAAATATGAGGCAACCGGAACAATTTATTTTTCTGACCCAGCATTATTATTAGCAATTGTGAACCTAATATTGAAAAATGAGAACGTTTTCAAATGAGACAATTTCTCATATTGTGATATTGTGTCAAGTAGACATTTATCCATAAAGTGATCGTAATGTACTCCAGCTATAAAGATATTCAGTAAAAATCAGAATTACAGAAGAAAAAATGCTAGTTTTCGCTTTTAAGTTGCAAGGACGATAGGGCTGCATAAAGCAGGTAAGCAACATTTAGCAGTAAAAATCCAGGAAAGACAGGAACCTTGGAAGGAGACCACAAAACACAATGAGAGTAATTCATAATGATAAAACAGAATCATAAACTATATGCACACAACAACAAAAAATTTAAGCCTACAATGGGGAATTTATAAAATGTACATTTTAGAATGTCCAGGGACTCAGATCTGGTAATAAAACAGCTTATGTAAAAAAGGGAAAATATTATTGCATTGTTTAAAATGAGTTGTTATGGTCTGCATGTTGCTGTTTACTTATCAGCTTGCTAATTTGCTCATATAAAACTGTGGGTGCCCAGGGTCTTGTTTTTCCAAACTCAGGAAAAATACTTCTGAAAAATGGAAGTTCACAGAAGAAGTGAGAGAGTGCATCTGGCCAAGGGCAATTATTTCACATTGTTTTTCCACAATGCTTTAAAATGTTTTTTTTTTCACAAGCAGGAACTGTTATGATTAAAAATTTAAGGAGTAAAGGCAACCAAGGTATGACCAAGAATGAAGCATAGAGGTACAATGTCAAAAACATGCAGACAAAAGTACAAATTTTTCAATTACAGCAATAACCTTCAGCAAAGCAACATTAAATTGTGATTGTATACACAATAAGCACAATTAAACTTACTTTTGATAAGACAAATATTAACCTGGACATTTTTAAAACCGTTAACACAACAGCTATAAAGGGTAATACTAGAGCGGCAATAAATCAGTCTTTTATCTTAAGTATTTTTATAAACATTGAGTTAATTTAATGGTGTTCATTTTTTAAGACAACAAATGCTAAAATGTGTTATGGAATTAACAATTTAAGCTGAATCTTACTTCCGTTGGCAAAAAAGGTACCCTACCCAAAGAATATTTAACTGAGAAATCTGGTTGAAGTAAACCATATACACATATCTGGGAAATTAGTCTTTACTTTTCTTCATAAAACTGAACCTCACTCACACAAGAGTTGTTTATGTTGGAAAAGCAAAGTCTGACTCACACCTTCCTTTCTTAGAGATACAATAACAATAATGCTCAATACATAAAACTGACAATATATTAACCTAATGGAACACAATGAGATGGTTGCGAAAAAAAGCACCAAAACAGAAAACATTTATCTGGCACTATTTACAGATTTGCATCAAACGAGAAAAAAAACGTTATTAGATTTAACCACAAACCTGGTACCTCAAAATAATATGAAGAACATTATAAAATGTAACATACTGGTATGATCCAGACTGAAGTACAGACATAAAAAAATGGATCGCATACTCCTGTCGGGTTTAAAGCTACTATAAAAACAAATATTATCATTTATGTTTAGGCATTCCAAACTAGATTGCACAAATATGGACTATTGATCCAAACCTATTAAAATTGAAAATAAAACTGTAAAGAAATCATAATTGATCTTTTAAAAGTAAAGCGTTGGAAGACTACCATCATATTTGCATCAAATAGCATCATTCATTGTAGGTCTTTATTGGCATATATATATATAGATATTTGTATTTTATGATAAAAACTTATATAAGGCACACATTAAGCCTTAATTGTAACAACAGATACAACACCGATGTATCTATTGCATTTACAGTATTATGCCTTTCATAAGAATACTTTTCAAACACAATTCAGAAATACTGGATGTTTCAACACAGTTGAAAACAAAGCAATAGGACATTTTTACAGTGAGAAATCATTATGACTACAATCACAATATTAGTGTAGCAACATAAATAATGACAAGAACACTAAGACTTCTAAAATAAAAACCAACAATAAATTAAAAAGGAGGAATCAAGCTTACTTCTACCAACTTACAGTGCAAACACTGTGCGTTATAATTAAAAACATACTACTCAAAAGGTTCTTTAATGTTGAAACAAAGGGCAGGATTATTTTATTAGAATAATGCTTATTATTGAATCATTTTATTCTAAATGGGTCTTGATTAAATATATTGTTCTCAATCTTCTCCATCACACAAAGACAGTTACATATACTAAACGACCAGATAGTGTTCATGGCAAGTGTAACTGAAGATTTAAAATAAATATTCTTTAAAGCTCTTTTCACAATTCCATATTTTGGAAGATGTCACCTTGTAAGCGAAGACTACAGTCAGACCATATAGTGAAATTACTGATGTTGCCAGGAAATGCCCTTGACACTGTTCATTGGCTGAAGGTTTAAAAAGTAGAGGTCATCACAAGTTTTAGTCAATAAGTTCAGAACTGTTTTTTTATATGTTTTCTCACATAACCAGATAATTTGAAAATCTGAAGAAGATGAAACATGATTCCACATCAGTGTTCTCACTATTTCAGCCCAGAGCCGATATGAAAACAGACCAAAGTCATGACCTATTTATCCTGCATGTTGAACAGTTGCTTCAATCATAAGCATAAATTTATAAAGGGACAAAAAAGACTATGATATATACAGCTACGTTAGAAAACTAAAATTAAATATGGACAAATGTCATCTATTTAAGAGAATCTGTTTACTTTAAAATATCTCCTTCAACTCAGTAATTAAGGGACAAGGCTGGCAAATTACAGTTAAAGGCTGCAAAATTACAGTTCAAGTGTCTTATGGTATGTAACATTAATTAATTCACTGAAAGCAAACATTTTGCCATCCAAATGTGCAGTGCAAGCGGATTAACTCCAAAACCACATTTAGTGGAAATAACTGTAGGTCGTATCTTCTCCATAGGAGATTACTTCATTAAAAAAAGCTGGTGTCTGCACAATGCTGCTGTCTTATTGTGTCTCAAACATTGCTCATTGTAGTAAAATCTAGCACTTCAGGAAGTGCATCATTTTGCTACTGCAGAAAGTGATATTGTGTGCAGTTAATGTATATCAAGGTCATAGGAAATTGCCTCTTGACTATATAAACTTGACTATAAATTGCCTCTTGAAGATATATTCACTAGTAAGAAATTCAGCAGGACAACGTCTAAACAAATTAATAAAATGAGGCATTCCTTTCCTGAGAACTAATTCTTTAAGTTGCTATTTCCACTCAAGGTTTGGGATGGCACATTAAATAGAATGACGGCCTTTTTTCTCCAAAGAAACAGAGGAGTATGACAAAGAGACCTAAAAGAACTCATGGAAGGTCACTCTGGAAGAGAAATGCGCCTTTCAGTTATAACTACACTTGCTCAAACATGTATTTTCTAGTTTATCTACTGATGGGGTGAAACAACCAAGGCTGATGGTGCCACAACAGAAGAATGCAACCTGAGAAATACACCGGAAAACCATTTTTAATATTAACTAATCACTGTTATACATCTATTGTGAATATTTCTCATTAGATGTACATACAAATGTACTTTAGGACAACTGAAGAAAAGCATCACAACAGGATAAATACAGGTTGTCCTGAACGTCAAATTAGATTAAAGTGTCCTAAATCTAATATGCAGAAATAACACTGTGTTGTTATTTCAGCTGATTATAAACTTTAAGGCATTATCTTATGGCTTATCTAGTATGGTCTTTCATAATTTCATCTGTATAGAAAACACAACCTAATTGTTTTTAATAGCATCTTAGATCTATTAAGATCACTTCCCATTTCAAGACTGCTCAGGCATAACACAGACATAAATTTGTACCGCTTCAAAATCGTTAAAATAATCTTTTGCAAATGAAAATACAGTATAAATTAAAACTCTGAAAGACATAGAAATAATGAACACATTGGAAATAAAATTTAAAAAAATGAAAATGTACACACTAATTGAAAAAAATCCCTTTTCAGCATCTTGCAATATGATTATTATTTTTAATGATAGTGTACTAAAACATATTTCCATTTGAAAGAGAGGAAGATTTTTTGTTCTGTGCTAACATCTCAATTCAAAATCATTTGAAGTTTTAACTTCCATCTAAAGGCCAATAGGTAAACTAGCTTGTTTCAAGATCAGAATTTTCTGGAGAAGCCTCTTGTATCAATATCAACAGTACAGGATGCGTTTGCTACATCTATTAATTACAGTATGTTCTTCATCCAGAGGGGATAAATGCAAATAAGCTAAAGAAACTAAAAATGTAATGAGATGGAAGAAAATATGTTAATAAGTTCCCTGTGCCTTAGGGACTCTGGGTATATAAAGCTAATATTTCCCTTAACCTTAAAGTTTCTGTGGCATAATCATATCTCCTCTCTAGGCTTACTGTTAACCTCTGAAATCTGTAGATCAGTGTGAAAAGCAGAACTCAGGTGGTATACAGACTCAATCTCTTCCAAGAGACCCTTTTCATCTCTTCTAACTACGAGGTCTTCTTCCTGGGTGTCTCCCTTCTCCCATGGCACTAAAATCGATGGCTGCCGCGCTGTCCGTTTGCCGTGCTCATCTTGGAGGGCATTTTCTGGGTGGGATTTTAGTGTTTGTCTGCGTAGCACATTTCTGCGGACGATACTACAGGAAACATCCTGAGAATCCGCTGGTGAAGCAAAGTTAACAGTGATTTCTGGCAAATCCTGATTTTGAAGAGTGCAAGGCAACACGCTCTTTTCTTCAGTGACTATGTGCAAAAAGTCCCTCTGGCCCCCACAACTCTTCCTCTTTGGGGACGGGGGTAAGTGCTTCCCATGCAGCGCACTGTCATCCTGCCCCAGATTCCAACCCCTTTGTTCGCTCTCACCTGTGCAGAACTGGGTAAGGTTACTCTCACTAGGTGTGTTCGATTTGTTCTGCAAAAAGGAACAATGAAAGAAGTTAAATAATGAAGTACAGAGCAATTTGTCTGAGTGTAAATGCCACACTGTCAATAGTTGCAAGATTGAGGTATGTTCTGTTAAAAGGAGGATGATTATCATAGGTTGTGCATTTCAGATCTATACATAAATTGCATATGATGTACTTCCACAGTATAGTTATCTTTACTGAGAGACACTACAATGAGTATTGCAACCATTGCATTTGTTTTGTTTTTAATGTGTCTCAATATATATACACACAAGTGTTGATGCGAAAGACAGATAGGGGGCGCACTGTTGATGCTTCTCAAAGCAAACATAATACCAGGGCAGAGAATTCCTCCGGATGAGGTAAAACAGGAAGAGACAGGCAAAAAATCAGTATTACATTTTACCAATACCTACAATACATATTTCAGCATTTTATGGAAACTTGAGAATAACTGAGAAAAACAACAGGTTTTCAAAGCCCTACATCAGCACTGAGCTTGATTACCAGAAAACACAGGGCAAAACCAAAGTTATTCTAAAGGCAAGAAAATTCAAAGCAGCTCACCGCAGTCTTGTAGTCAATATCATCCATTGATCTGAAGAAATCTAAGCTCTTGGCTCCCGAGAGCTTTCCATGATCAGAGCTGTTTGTGCTTAGGGTGTCTAAAATCTCCCCAAGCAAGTCCATCTGACCAGAGTGCTGTGTGTCCACGTTCAGTTCATTTGAGTCCGAGTCATCACTGTCACCATTATATGAATGGAGTTCTCCACTATCTTCTGAAGAAATCCTAGAGACGGAAAGATAGCCAACAGAACTATAAAGTTCTCCCACTGTACAAATACAGAGGCAAGAATAATTTGCAAGTTCATGATGACAAAACACTGACTGGAAGTTTAAAACTGGCAAAATAAAAATTTTAACTACTTAATTAAACAGCTTGATTTAAACCTCAGAATTGGATACAGATTTTGAAGTGTGGAATTTAAACGCCACCAGAGGTCAGTCTTGATACAACCAAAGAGAGAAATCATTTCTTCCATTGAGTTTCTTAGCTGTTTGGGCTATACCATATATACTGAACGGCATTAGATCTCAAACTCCTTTCTTGCATTTTTAATTCTTATTAATACATAAAGGAATAAAATCGAAGAGTGATAAAATGGTATTTTTGATAACAATGTTACTCAATATCACATCACATTTAGATTTCACAAAAAAAGTAATTCACAGCTTAAACAATTGCATAAAATAATTCTGAAACTGTGAATAGTTATACCATTTTATGAGAATGGTTTGACATTGCATGTAGTGCTGTAATTACAGTACTTAATCTGCATCACTTTTAAAGTTTAAAAGTCCACATTCAAATTATTACTGAAAAAAATGGTCTCAATCGACTTACGTGGTTTAATAAAGGAATACAATTTAAACAAAAACTAAAAACTAGAGGGTGATCAGGTTGGAGTTTTAGCCCAGTTTCTGTTACGCAGAGGGTATATGAGTCTTCCATGGATGGGTCACTGCTTCACAGAAATGGTTACCCTGGAGCAGTGCGGGTAAAACACTTCTTAAAAGTACAACAGCAGTGTACATAACAGAAACTGAACAAACGACCTTCCAGTTATGAGCTCAGAGCACAACCATTAACTCTGCCCTGCCCCAGAAAACATGAAAGTGGAAAACTGTAGATCTGATCAAATTCAAAAGAGCTATTCAAGTCTACAAAGTACTATAGGGGAAAAACATTGACTATTCTATGATTCATGCTTATTATTTAGAATTAACTCACGATAAGTGTTTGCCTTTTTACAGGAGGAGCAAGAATGAAACACATCTCTCACAATGGCTGAAGCTCTTTTCTAAGATACGAGATCGGTGGTTCTTAACTTGGGGTGCTTGCACCCCCTGGGGGTGTGAAAAGCCCTTTCTGGAAGTGTGAGACAAGCCAGATTTTTTTAGAAGGTAAATCACCGAAAACACCAATTAAGCCCTTTAAAAACATTGAAAAGTGTGTGTCCTTTTTCCACGTATTCTTAATTCTACTGCAACATTTAAATACATGTATAATCTCTTTCATTCAATAGTTACGATAAATCTTAGGAATAAAAACAACAGCCTATTTCAACGATTTCTGATAAGGGGTGCAGGAACATATTTTGAGAAACCAAAGAAGTGCAGAAGGCCAGAACCCAGGTGCATGCATAGTGAAAACTACTACAAATCTGCTCACTGGGTAAAGCTCTATAAAATTGGAAGACAGATGAGAATTACTTACTTGCTTGCTGTATCAAGTTCATCTTCATCTAATGCAAAGTCTGGACAGCCCATAATTATGGTTGTTTTTTTGTAATAGTTCTGTACACAAAAATAAAAAAAGAATTATAACTATTTAAAACATTCATGTTTCATAAAATGACTCATTAACAGAAAGACCACATCATTATTATGGTAACTTTACAGGTATTTATTATATCTATGTCTTTGCTGCTCAGAATGATCAAGCAGCAAATTTACTACTCATGAAAGTTTCTGTAGCCCACTATAAAAGAGAACAGAATTCTTTAGATATTATAGCCTTAGGCACGTGTCTTTAAAACCCCTTGCCAATGTCATGATGTACTGGATCCCAACATGACCTATCTGTAAAATAAACCACTTTAATATTTGTATTGTTTTACAGCCGTAAAATTGTCAGATTTATGGATTGATTTGCAACAGTTCATATCAACTACATAGGAGTTACTTGTAATTAACATCATTTCTTCTAAAGACATACATACATGTTTAACTATCACAAGGTACTGTAATACCGAGGTTACAAAAAAGTAATAAAAATCTGGAAAAGCCTTTTGTATGAAGATTAAAAAAAATCTTTGAAAAGATACACAATATGTGCCTTCAGTGAGAAGGTGACAGCTGTTTTCTTCTTTATTCAGTTATTACATTCATATCAACACTATGCACAGTAAAGAACCGCCTTACAGACAGGGTTAACTGTCTCAGTGAAAATAGTGGAGAAATGTATGTGCTGGCTGGCCATTTAAGACTCTTGCCATTCAAATAAACAAGAACATATGTTCAAAACTGATTGCCCTGCTTTCTGGTAGCTAAGAGCTATAATGAAAGTGATTACAGAGGGCTTAGGTTGTGAGTCCCAAAAATGTTTTAATGGATTCTTATGTCAGAATCATAAATCTTGGCTACAAGCAGTATTCTGCAAAGCGAAATTGTAAATGCACCTGCAAACTGTTGTCAGATTCATTTAGGAGAACTTTACATAACGGTAATGACATGCTGTTTGCAGTTATTTATCCTTTTAATTTCTGTAATTTAGCATATTGTGGACGGCACAAACCAAAGTAGTTTTATGAAAACAAGGCGAGGCTACTCTCTTTCCTTCATCATTAATGTTATAGTCAGCATACCTCACATGGCCTTTGTAACCACAACAAAGGGAATTACTCTGGTATTTATTTTTCTATTCCTTACAAAAAGCTGTGTTTAGAATAGCTTTAAAGATTTTGAGTAGTAGCAACTTTCATTTTGTATTTCGAGACCACTCATTATATATTTTAAAAAGTACAAAGCAAAAATAAAAAAGATCAAATATTAAAAGATCATGGCATAAGCATCATAGTGTAAACAGAAGAAAGCACAACGACTACATTACAAAATTGTTATCATTAAAAACTAATGCAGTCAGTGCATAGCTGAATTTTATATAACTAAAAAATACCTTTGTACCTTATGAAGGAATCATTTCACATGATTTTCATCTGCATAGAAAACAGCATTTTCAGAGTCCAGTCTTTTGGATACTAGCAGGTAGTAGTTAACTTGTCTTTTATCAGTTGTCTAAAACCATAATAACAATATAACAATGGCCTTATAATTGAAACTAGATGTTAGGTTGTACTACAGCAAACACAAATGTCAAACGTGGGGAAGGCTGGATTTTACTTGATCAGAGTCAATAATCCCTCATTTCAAACTAGAGCCAATTTACAGACAGAGGTGCAAATGGAAAAATGATTTTCTTTTGTAATGGATGACTCAATTTTTCTCCCACACTGAGTTGATGTGCAGCTTGATCCAAGAGGAGGAAAAAAAAAAACATAAATGAAATAAAAAGGCAGGGCCATTTGACTGAAGCTGGCCAAACCACTAGCTTGGAGGGGAAAAAAAATCTTATTTTTATCCCCTTAATTCAGCCAAAAACATCAGCTTTGCGGGCTCACTTCTTGGTGTATCCCACTGTAGCGTGCTTTACTAAGCAATGTCTCGACTATGAAACACACACCTCCTGTAGGTTATGCGCAGGGACTGAATTGATATTACAGTATTACTGATTTACTTTTCACACCAGCCATGTGTAGATGGTACTGTGAGTTGCCAAAACCTTATTAACCGATCCAACTCCACTGATTCCTGTCTAACACCTCCCTACAGACACAGAAAACAGACTGAGCTATTCACGTCTCGTGAACACACACACACACACGTTATTGTCTTATACAAGTGGGAAGTAATAACAGGAAGTCAAAACAAAACCATGGCAGCAGTATTGTTCTAGGGGAATAACTTGATATTTTTATGTAACATGCCTACACCAAAATAGCATATTAACAGAATTCCACTGTATAAATCTTTTCCTTTTAAAGAATAAATGGAAGTAACATTCTTCCATTTTTTTTCCATTGCTTACTGCACAACAAAAAGTCCAAGGCAATGACAAGATTATCTAGAATTTTAAAATTGCTCCATTCCTAATGGGTACATGTTGATTGATTTCATGTTTTTATAATACTAATTCATTCTGGATTGCAAGCCTCATTTTATAAAAACTGGAACCATTAAGATTTCTGAAGTTCAGAAATAAACCTTTTTATGACAGTCGATTAAATAAAATGACTATGGAGACTAATATTACAGCCAATATTTCTGCTCTGCAGTTTAAAGGCAAGAAGTTTATGTTATTTTACATATGGTATTTCTGTATCCTGTTTCCTACTGATCTTGGGTTTTGGCAGTCTGGATTATGATATGCCTGGAAAATGCAAACAAACCACAAGGAAATGAGCCAAGTTTCTACTTCAGCCAAGTCTTTTTAGTTCTTCAAGAATCCCTCAAATAAAGTCATTAGTGGTAAATCAAACAAATGAAGATCCACTACCCTGAAATTCCACTAGCTTAATCTATTTTTTTAATGAAAATTTGAGTTTTTTACTTAAAAATGCTACGGACCTGAAACATTTCATATTCATTGCACTATTAAAGATATACCAGGAGATGGCAGTTTTGGTACAGAAGGGCAAACCAGTTTTAGTATTTCACTTACAGTATCTTAATATATCAAAAACAGTAAGTACAGATATACTATTATTTGAGTTCCTGTCAATGAAAAAGGAGAAAGTAACTGTCTGACTTGAATTCAGGCGATAAGATTAATAAAAAATAGTACTTAAAATGTTCAAATTTTCATTCAAAATAATTTCTACTTATCAATGCTCTATACATCTAACAATTATTTATTAAATTTAAAGATGTTAAACTACACTATTTGAAACAATATTTCAGATACCTGCACATTTGTTTATCCTAACAAGTGGTAATTAAGATTTACATTGATTAGCTCAAGTGGATTAATATAAATGTTTCTCTCTGCATCTTTTATGCTTGGACAATTGGCTTACAAAATAGCAGTTTATGTTGGACCACACTTTTTTAATATTGAAATTTTTTTTTTTGCCATGGATAAAACCTGACAATTTTTGGGTTAAGTACCTCAACCATTTTTGAGTAGAGGTAGTGTAAAAATACGAGAACTACAATGCAGTTAGGTAGAAATATTGACATATGTACTAACACTATTTTCACTGTTTTAACTTTATTGCAGAAAAAAAACTGTCTGGAATTAATTGACCAGTATGGAGCAGCAAGAGCAGTTTGTGCTGCATATTGATAAGAATTTAATTTCTATGTGTGGATATAAAACATTATTACAACTTGTAAGATGCAAATCTTTTTTTTTTTTAATACGTGGGTAAAGCCTCTGTCTTGGTTGACACAGTACCACAAATCTTGTCACGTCTCAATTTTTCCAACTCTGGAACGATACAGTACCTGCCATGTATAAAAGATCAAAATGCATGGTGTTTGACTAGGATAGTGGGACATTTTGGAAAAAAACATAAATTCATTAAATCTCCATAGGTTTCTGCGTTCGGAAACCTAAATATAACCCTCATAAAAGATTCTGACTCTGACTGTATACGACAGCAAGAATCCGGCCACTTGCTGTTAAACATGCACAAGTTACAGTCTCAGCCCTGCTTATTCCTTCCTTTCTACCTGTCTATTGCCCAGAAATGACCGAACAGAATACGAGTAATATTATTAATAAAAGGTGTGATGAGTAGTTCCAGACTGCTCATTGTCAGTGAAACAAGGAGGCAGCATGCTGGGAGCAATTGAAAACAGCTTGGTGAAACTCTCCAAAGTGAGGGAGTTTCCCATTCTGTGATAAACCATCAGGAAAAATAGCACAGTTACTATGACTTTTTATACTTGTACTTTAACGGCTAAGTCAACTGAGAACAAATTCTCATATATAATGATGACTGGGAGACCAATTTATATAGAAAATGATTTACTGGAGCCCTACGGTATCTACTCCTCCATGGTGTAACCTGCTCTTATAGGGAGACTGCATGGGTGACTACATTAACACAGTATTGACTCCACTGTCTGGAATACTTGTTTCTACGTTATTCTTTCTTTGCAACAAAAGCAAACTGGTTTTTGAATAAATAAATGATGTTAAACAAGACAATTGTAAAACTAGAGTAGAAACTTTTAATAATAGTACAAATTTATGAAGACAGCTACGATGTTTTCTTTCACTGTCATGTTGCTACACACCCCATTCTAGCTATCACACAAATTGTTCCTTTATGAGATGAAAATGCTGTCCTATTTTATTTTCAATGCTGAGGCAACTATGTAAATATTAAAACATACAAAATAGACCAATAACTACAGATGATAGTATGCCTTTTCAGCCACATATTATTGTTTATACCAGTACTGACATAAGTAAAATGTATTTCAATTATTCCATTTTTAATATGTAGTATTTTTACAATTATCATTCATGAAATATGTTTGGAGGATACATTGGTTTCAGTGCTCCTTAAATACAATAACAAAGGAGGCAAATGTAGTAATTTTGTTAATATGCAAATAACATTATATAAATCGCTAAAAATGATAATGGACAATAACAGTAAAAGTCAGGGAGTTTTCTCAAATTGCAACACTGAGGAACAAAAAACAATTTTAATTAGCAATAAACTTGAATCAGCCTTTTTGGTTCATACTTTCAAAGCAACCAATCTTTATTATACCGAGATTTTGTGCTCATCTTGGCTCAATGCTATCCATCTGTTCTGCTCACTTGTGCGGTATCTTAACTAGAGAACAATTGACTGTGGCAGCTCCCCTTATTCTCACATGTTGCTGCTCCCCATAGATTTGTGAAATCTTGAAAGAACCACAGGTCACAAACATCGCTGTTAATTTTATTAAGAAAATATAGTAACGACCCCCCTTTTGGGGAATAAAATGTTGTTTCTTTTTTAAAATATTTCAGCACTACAGTATATGTCCGAAAAGGGGATTTGAATAGTGCTGGGACATTATTTTATTAGCTTTTCATTAAACCATCACTAAAAAATAATGGCAATACTGCACATTGAATGCTTTCCTGACTATCCCATTTCTAATGGCTTTGGACATTTATATATATATTTTTTTTTACTATTTACTGTACATCCTTTGATTACATTCAGGATATAACCATAAACACAAAAGGTTTTATTCTGTCCAGTTCTACAACACTTTCAGGTACTGTACCACTACATAAAAAACTGTAATATAAAACTAACAATTCAATGTCTATATTTGCTTTTGAAATAAAAATTGTATTATTGGTAGAATTAATAACAACTGATACAACTCTTTCAAGGCTGTTTATTTTACTAGCTGTAAAGGAGAAAGTGGATGTGCACAAAGAATCATTAATAATTGTGTCAGTCGAGCTCACCTAATAGATATGAAGCATTTCCCCAATAAGGACCTCGACACTCTGTGGGGAAGTAACAGTATCCTCTCTGGGACACTGTGTATCAGCCCTCTTACCATTATAATCTGTGCCCACTTTGTCCCCAGAGTCCTGTTATAACGCTGTTGAACAGGGATCTATCACATCCACGCAAAAGCAGGGAGGAGCTTGGCTGGTGCTGGAAAACCCTAATTGGAAGACCTTTGCAGCTACACCTTTTTGGCATTTATTTAAGTCTCATCAACAGCACAGGAAATAGCTGGACTAATTAAGAGGGAAACCTTCCAAGGCAGTTTTTTTAGATCAAATCTGAAATTGTAGGGTATTCATTGTTCTACAAAGCGTGGCAAAACAATGTAAGGTCTAGCATTAATAAATGACAGGACAAGCAGAGAGGACAGTGTCTCGGCATCTTCTGCTTCGAAATAAACATTTAGACAAATGTTCTTAAGTAGCCGAAAAAGGGATTGAATTATTACTATTATTATAGGTACAGAATTTAAATTACTGTCAGCGCATTAAATTTGCTAGGTATATCAAATAAACGTGTTAATACATAACTAAATGTGTTACAGTGAAACTAAAAGCTGTGAGTAATAGAACAAAAAAAAATATTTCCACAGTATGTAAGCAGTGTTTGTACATAAAAACATCATAACTTGAGGCTATTCTAAATTTTCTTTAAACTCTAATAAAAAAAAAAAATTGAACAGCTAATATGAATTCTAGCAGTGGGCCACCTCATGAAATAAAATACCACAACTACACTCCTGTTGAATTTTTTGCAGGTGGGTCAGGTATTTAATTTTGAATCAATTAAATGTGATTCATGTAGTTGCAACAACTACATTTAACTGGATATTTCTGCAACTTTTAGTTAGCTTAGCAATGATAAAAATAAAATAAAAAATGATAGTTATATGGAAAGAAAATTTGTTTTTATCCAAATTTCTAAATTCCAATTTTTTCCCATTTTAGCAGAGGTACTGTAAACAGTTTTGGGCTATTTTGTTTAATTAAATATCTTGGAATTCTAGTGAACATATATAAAAATCCTTTGTTTTGAATAATTTTCACTTTTTAACAAAAACATACTGACATTTAACAAAAGTAAACTGACAAACACTGAGATTTAAATCATTTCATGAAGTATTTATATGTGCTCAAGCCAGGTAGTTATAGAGACAGATACAAGGAAATCTCAGTCTGATAACCATGCCACAAACAGGAGGTTTGAACCGAAGGGCATTCAAAAGGAGCACATATTTTTCTAAATGGAAATTTTAGCATCTTCCAGGACTCCTCCAACACACTGCACTTGTGCTCATACAACAAAGTGGCACCCCAGGTTCACAAGAATCTCAAGGGCAATAATCCATAAGACCATAATTCATGCACATTACAGATACACACAGCCTCAACTGTGTTGTGAAGAGAAGTGTGGATCTGAAATGCAACAATCAGGTGTAAATGCAGTGGCACGTTCGCAAGTCTCCATAACATCCACTGGACATTACCCACAGCATGGGCAATGGGAAACATGCAAACCAGTCATAGGGCTTGCAAGGTCAGTCATCAAATACAATGGAGAGTGCACATTCTAATTCTCCTTTCCTTTGAAACATTGTCCCTTTCTACCCTCATGTCCATGTTTTCAAAGTTCTCAGACTATGATCATGCAGGGGTGTTCCTCTGTCAGCATTATAAATTGTAAGTAAACAACAATAAGGATCAAAGTCAAGTGTTCAGTAAGACTGGGATCAGGGGAATGCTATAAAGCTAATCTGCAAGGGCAATGTAACAAATCCATTCTGATTCATAAAGACTCTTACAGAGGCATATTCATACTCCAGGCTATTCATGCTCATAGTTTAATCTTCCCCAAAACAGCAGATTTGGTCGGGTCAAAGGTGTTCCAACACACACTGCCCAACCAGAGAAAAGAAAATGGAAAGAGAACCAGCCCTTCTGGTCTGTGATCTCTTAGATCCCAGAATAAAGATCTTTCAAAGCTTTGTATAATAAGGAGCAGGGGCACTTATGGAGAAAAAAATGTCAAGCTGTCAGCTAAAACCTCTAAAAATAAATATTGCTTTAATTGTAATACATTTTTTTTACACAAATCTAGCAGTTTCATGGTATTGTTTAACCTATTGCAAAACTTCAAAGCAGATGCCTTTCTGATAGGAGTTTGAAGATATTCACTACAGTATGTGAGCAATTCTTAAGAAAAAAAATGAGCTGTAAAATCGCCCTTTTCACTGCTTCTGTACATCATTAGCTTTTGGCCGGGTACTTTAGGTATTCTGCATGTCACTTATGTGCAATTTTGCATTTTGACAATATAGCTATTTACACAATGTCCATCCAGGCAATGAGGTCCCAATGATGAAAATCTGACCACTGAGTACTAAATCAATGTCAGCATCCTTTAGGTCCTCAGAATTCACCTTGGAGTGAAAAATCAATGCTAACAGCTCAGGTTCCCAAGGCTTTCACAGATATCGATGTTCTGGGAGCTGAGAGCCTGAATCATTTATGGAAATCAGTGAGCGCATAAGTTCTTGGTGAGCAATCACAGTGTTCTGCTTCCCGGCTCTGCAAGGAGTGTGACAACTAAGGTGCCGTTGGAAAGGACATGCTGCTTTGAGCAGCACTAAGAGATAGGCCCATTACTGACGGAGCGTGCTTCGTGGACAAATCCCTAATCTCCAGCCTCTCTTGCTTGAAAGTCAATGTAGGTTTAAATCTTTGCTTCAGACTATTTTAATGAGGAAAACAAGATGCTGACTCCATCGCTTTATCAGTCATGTTATAAATGATATGAATATATACATTCTTTTCCACAGATGTTTACATTAACTATATGAATCTACATTCTTGTTTTCCTGTAAACGGAGAAAGTAAACAGCTTTTTTTTAAAATCCTTCACCTTCAGGAAGACAATGGAATAAGCAGATCTGTCTCAATATATGAAACATAATGCAAATTTGTGAATCAGACATTCTCCATCAAATGTGGATTTTTTCTTTCTTGAATAAAAATATAACACTGCATGTAGTTTTTTTTCCTAATAGTAAATGTAAGGTTCTAATTTCATTGCAGTGCATTTTCAATAAATAAGAAACAAGTTAAAGTATTGTACATGTATCTAATGACTGCGGTATAGTTAATCTCCATGCACCACCATCATCATCATCTTAAATATGGATCTACCAAAGTCTCAAATACAAGCTAACCAACATTGCCGAAAAGACGTTGCCTGAATTTAATTAAAATGCGACAGGCAGTCATTCCTTCTATAAAAAAATGCACTTCCAATAAAAATATTTTGTAATGTTCAGTATATACTTAAAAGGAAAATAAGTTCAAGATTCTTCTCTTCAATTATTTTAAAGTCATTGTCATCATCTTCACAAAATCAGTAAGCAAAAGAATCACTGATTCATGTGTTATTTTTTTTCTGTCCCAAGTCAAACTATCTATGTAGTGCTTCTTGGTCCCCCAGTCAGGACCAACACCTCAAAAGAACAGTTCCTCAAACTAATGGTGTCCTGGATGTTGGTGTCTCATTATAGAATGCCATGCTGTTCCACAGAAGAGACTTCAAACAATCAAGCTCTTTTCAGGAGAGTCTTAGAATGTGTTTAGGAAGAGCTGAAGGAATCAATCCCCACAGGGAAAGAGGAGAATGAAAACCCTGAGTTTCTTAACACTGGTAAACAATAAAACAGGTATTGTGTTTGTATGTGTATGGAATTTTGTGATCTCTACATTCATGTGGGCTTTTGCCCGGTGTTTTTGTTTCCTCCTAACCTCCAAAGATGTACAGGTTAGGCCCGATAAGGCACTCAAAACTGCCTACTTTCAACAGGCCATTCAAGTGTCTTTCGTACTTGGGAATTCTGTTCCCAGTACAACCAGTAAAGAGACAAAAAAAAACAATCAAGTGAGCATAAGGGGCCAAATTCCTTTTCAATTATGGCTCTTCTGCTCTATAGTATAATTAATTTCTTTGTGTCTTTTTTTACTTACCTTTCGCTTCCTGACTCTTTTTGGTGATAGACTTTTAGTACTAGTTGGAGACCCTGAACAAGGAGCTAGATCTCCTTCATCAGCCTCCTGCAAAGAAAACATTGTAAAATTTTCAGCAATTCACAACTTCTTGTCACTGGAATTGACAATTTTAAAAGCTTTCAAGGCTCAAATTGAAGTTTCTGTATAGTATGGAGTAATTAAGTTACCCAGGTTGCACTTGCATATTGAATTACTATGGGCTATTTTTGATATACTGTATATAAACACTGTATACATTCTTTGTATTCTCATTTCATGCAATGCGTACACCACTTTTACAGGATTAACAAGGGAGAAATTAATAAATGAAAACAGACATCTACAACTAATATACCACTATTAGTAGTGAAAGCCTGCTCTTATGTGCACCATATCCAAGTTCTCAGCTTGACAGGACAAGTTCGGATTGCACCATCAAAGCAATCACTCTCATGCAAACATACATCTCGTTACAATAACTTTGAAGAAATCAGTGGCTCATTGATAAAATATGCAAACAATAAAGGGCCCTTTCACTGCCTGTATGACATGACAGGCTATAGCTAGAGGGTTCGTTTTTAAAAATGTATTATACTGAACAAAGCACTAAGTAGATTTCAAAACCGATTAAAACACTGATCGTATGAGATTCTGGAGAATCACATACTCCATGTAGAAGTACACGCATATGGCAGGGAGCATCACAGAATTTCAATAGCTTTCGGGCTGATCTCAGAATCAAGGATTTTAGTGTGTGAGCAATTTGAGATAGATTTGGTTTAACCTACTGTATACATATGTCTGTGGGAACAACAGTCAGATCATATGAGGTCATCGAAACCCCAAGTGGTCAGGCTCTATAAGCCAAAGAGTTGCTACAGAGGTAAGGCTGAGGTGTAGGGAAGGATATACAAGGGGAAAAGGCTGTCTAGCCCTTTCTCCTGTAATTCTGTTACAAACTTCAAGTTATTTCAGTGGTTTACCTTTTGTTTTAACATGCTCTTCACCTCCTTTATTCCTTGCTTGGCATTTCTTTTGGCCTATGGAATTGAATGAGTAGATCACAATTAAATTGCAAATACTGAACTGTCAAAAAGATTGAGCATTCATAATGTTTCCAATAAAATAGTTTCCAGCGATCAATACTCCCTGCATCATTTTGCCTAAGCAAGGAAGGATACAATTAATATTACCAGCATATAACCTACAGTAAACATACTTTAAACATATACAGAATGAAACAAAGCTTCATTAAAAAATCTGCAACAAAATAATTACTCAATATTTTGGTATAAAATGGTATAATTTGGTATAAAACAAAAATAGACAAAAAAACTTACAAATTTATAGGCAGTTTTCATTGCTGGACTTGCTTTGTTTACTGCAGTGTTAATAAAAGCACCACCTTTCTATGAAGAAAAGAATAAATGTACATCAAATGCAATATTTATATGGCTTTTTCACAACAAAACTTGGAAAGTGCAGGCTTATTTATTATAAGAAATGACATTAATTGGACATATAATAATATTATATATTCATATAAAAATGCTTTACAAATAGTACACTACCAGCTATTAACACCTTGTATCTTCATGTTACAGGTCAGGTTTAGTTACTGGGGGTAAAAAAGACAGCTATGAGAAAAGAATCAACTGCTTTTCAGTAAGCACTAATAATATTAGCCTATTTTACTAATATGTCTTCAGATAATTGATACCAATAAAACACAAAGATAATATAAGGGTATTTCTGGACAAAACAGAACCATCAATGATAAATTAAAAGATATTGATTCCCCTTCTCCAGACATACAAATAAGAAAAGGAAGCACACTGCTAAAAACCATATTGCGGAGGTCTGGTGAAAAGAAATATAAAATATTTGAGATTTTGTGTAGTTTTTTAGTCTAATTTTTTGTTCCCATAAATATACAGTAGGTGAAAAGTGAGGTGAAATTTTTCAGAATTAGCAGAAAAAATATAAACAAAAATGAAAACTTTAGATAAAAGATCATGAGGATATTTCTCTTTCTCTGCGAACTAAATTGCATCACAACAAGCAATACAGTATGTATTTCTCTCTAATTCTATTTTCTATCCTCTATTTAGGATATGTAATTACTGTATATGAAAGACCTGCACTACATTTACAGTACATGTAGTGTATAACTTCAGTGTAATAGGAGTGGTCTATCAGAATATATTTAAAGCAAGTTGAGAAATTCACAGAATGTAAAGAATTAGATAAGCGTAGTTATATGATCTACTGCACTGTAGTCAGAATTTATAGTTTATAAGTCTGTTAATATATACACACAATACTTTTGTTTCTGGGATAATCCGAGTGCCTGCTAGGTGTCAGATCTGCAATGGCTCATCACCTTCAAGGTTTCCATTGACATGTTCTCCAAACCAGAATGCTAAACACCTCTTGCTGAATTCTGGCTAACCATGCTCATCCCATGACACAAGTCCACTCTGTCAAAGGTAAATGATTCAGAACTGCAGAGCATTTTGCACTTAATGTCTTGATGCCAAACAGTTTAAAAAAAGGAAGAAGGCCATTTGCACTCAACAGATTTGAACTTTAATATACGTATGTGTTCTGATCCCTCTCAAGTTTAACGAAAGACTACGAGCTGGTGGATACTGAGCAATGATGTGTTTCCTGCCAGAACAATTTAGAATCCTGGAAGACCAGCTGCCACATCAAATCATTGCTGTCTGGAAACCTATAACTGCGTTAACACTTTTTTAGAATGTGCTTCTATTGTTTTTATACAACTATTTGTATTTGTTCTCCTATGATGCAAGTGTGAAATAATATGATGGATTAATTACTTTTGCAATACTATAAAGACAGGTGAACACCAATAGATTCTTTAACAAAGTGTAACACACATTTACTTCACCAAACACTCCAATACAGGGGGCATTTCAATACAAAAATGCTCTACTCACCAAAGAGGAATGTGATCTTTTTTAAATGAACTAGTAAACCACTTCATTTTAGTTAGGATATGGTTATTCAAGGAGAATTGTGCTGGGACTATTTCACTGGGGACTGATAAGATACTACCTGCATCACACATATACTCTTGCGTATGTAGATGAGGAATGTAATATGATTGTGGAACCCACAACATTCTTGACTTGTTTAACAAAACTGTACATAAAGATTAGTGAAAAGCAGGAATATCTGAAACCAAAAATGTAAAAAAGTAAAAACCCTTTCATGTTTACTCTGTTGCTTTTTTTAAAAAAAGTTATAAATCAGGTAATAACTGTTTTTATCTCAAGTTGTCCTTACCTTAACTGTTTGCATCCATTGTTGATAAGACCTAGAGTTGCCTAAAATTAGAAGTATATATGTAAGAATGATAATATATTTAAAAACATTTGTATGTTAATATTGATAGTACTCGTTTTGTACCTGTTGCTAATGAATGCATTCTTGTGATTGCTGACACTTTTATTGCAATTTAACCAAAAAGTGATTTATCATTAAAACAGAAGGGAAATTGATGCCTACACATGAAGAGGTAATAAACATAAAGACAATTAAAATGTTTCTTTTGGTGCATTCTTAATGAATAAAATATACTGACAAAGTTCCTGGGTTCCTAAATTTCTGGTTGAAGAGATTTAGGACCACATATTTATCTAAAAAAGACAAATTGTTAAACAATTTGTGAAATGCAGAAAGTAATATTTCAATGAAAATGAAAAAGTGATATTTATAAAAGCATTGCTAGTATGGAGAATAATCCGTGTTACACAAAGAACATAAATAGTGCTACTTACTTCCACAAAAACCACCTTCCGTGATTTCCTCCTCAAAGATATCTGTGAAGCCCCTTCCTGCGTTCAATTTTGCTAGTCTGCCTTCAATGAACTATAGATATAAATCAAAGTGCAGGTCACATTAAAGGTAAACGACAAAATATTTTTTAATCCTACCTGTTCCAGACATCTTCACAACTTAAAAAGAGTGAAGAATCTTAAAATTAAGAACAGCTGGTCGATTAACATTACAGGCCAGCATGTAGCATGTCTAGTGTCGGGAAATTTAATTTCCTCCTTTGTCACACAGAAGGGATAAAACATTCAATAAATCATACTGTGATTACCAGTTTTAATGTTCAGATTTCAAAGAGACAAATAAGCAAAAAATAATCACAGTTGAGAGCAGGAGATGTATTTCATGTTTTGAAATTACTCAACCTAAAAAGGCAACATTTTCAGAAATGTTTTAGAGCCTAAAACATTTTAGAGCCTTAAAGCACAATATTTGTGTATTACACAGGCATGAAATTTTGGTGTTGCATTGTGTTACTTCATCCACACAACAAAACAAACATTCTGGTGGCATGCTAGATTAATATAACATTTCTTGCACTGGATCTAATTCTGGAATCCTTGGTTCTATTCTGGGTGTAAAAATATAATGTAACGTAATTACGTAATACTCCCTCTAATCAGAGCAATCAGATTTAATGTACACAATGTCATGTGCATCCCAATTTATATTAATGATGACCCTAAAATGCTCACCTCACTAGTGCTTCACTTATCTGCATGTCAGCTATCAAATAACATCATAATATCTCCTGTATTATCCCAATAAAACATGATCCACATACATTTTGCATAGAAAAGCAAAGTCAAAAAAAGCAAAAAGACTCCCCCAAGGCTGTTAAAAATCAACAGTAACGATTCTGTGGAGAAATGAAGCAAAGAGTTTTCTTTCTTGGTTTACTAAAAAAACAACAATAAAGGTTCTTTACACACATCTTAGCGCATCACACAACACTGTGATTTTACATATATACCTTTTAAAAAGGATTACAAAATTTTAAAAGATTGTATATCTTTATGGCTTTTGAAAACAATAATAAAAACAGGCAACACGCTTAAAGAGAAGACATATTTCTCAATATTAATATACACTGTGATCTCACACTATTAGTTCAGGGATGGGAAGTGTCATACACAGCAAAAAAAAATAAAAACACAGCAAGCTCTGCCAGCAAGTGATTCTTGTAAGTGTTGTGGAGAAACTGAAATGAATCAAACCTTATTGGAGAAAAAGCATGCACCAGCAACAGCAAAATGGATAAAAATGAAAGAAAGCAGATTTTCAGTGACACATTTTTTGCTTTCTCTTGGCAGGTAGGATTTATCTGGAACAGGCTTATTTCTAAATGGATGTACTGTAGTTCATGGTCAGAGCAATGAACATCACTGGACTTTTTCACTGAGGTTAGGAGAAGATAAAGGCACCCAAAGCTACTGCATAGCTGAAAATAAGTCTTTGAACTGTTTGTCACTATCTTTTCTAGGAAGGTTATGAATTTCTTTCACGTCAGAAACAAAGGCTTGATTAATTGTTATTCTCATCCTTCTGTGAAAAAAAATTATCTGAGGCTAACCAAGGCACTAAACTTTAACTGTCGATAAAAAATAAATTCATGAAGGCAGGCTTGCCAAGTACTAGTATTAACAGTTTACATTTCTTAATCAAAAGCAATTGCTGATGGTAACATTTTCTGTAGGTACTGGCTTAAGAACAGTACAACATAACAGGGATTCATTTTAATTAATGGTTAAGATAGTTCCTTTTGGTTTTTATGTCATTACCTTTTAATTTACTTTGCCGCTCACTCTAGGAGTATTAGAAACTCTGTATATTATATGGAACATTCAGTTTATCATATTACCTTTTTAACTCATCTGACACAGTAATGAGACTAGGAACTGTCAAGGACATGTCCAGCAAAATTATTTCTAAGCAAAGTATTCGGAAATACAAAATTTCATAAAAAACAACGAAGCTTCTAGTACGGAATAAAACAATCTATAAAACTGTATGCCTCCTTCAACCATATAAAGATTGAAAAGTGTAAAGTATTCCACTAACACACTTTAATGGATTCATTTTTTAGGGTTTCATGCAGATAAAAAAGGAATTAAAAAATAAATGTTTTAGTTGTCCTGCTTCAAAGAGAACAAAAGAGGAGGAGTTTTTTTTCCCCAACATACAAATCACTTTGTTGGCCAAAAAAAAAACATGAATTGGTTTTCAAAGGGTTAAACAGTCACACAATCATATAATTCTATTTCTGATCCAAAAAATGTGTATTTTCTACTGCACAAAATCTTTACCTGTTTGAAAAGTTGAAGGTTTACAGCCATTTCCAGGAAACTTCTCATTGCGCTAGACCGGTGATTTACAAAACTTTCTTCACAAAAGGTGACTGGCTCTCCCTAATGAGGAACAAAACAAAAGTGACATATGATAGAGATTTGGCTAATAATGATTCTTGTCATGCAGTACACTGCAGTGTCATTATTCTTTTAAAAACACTTTTTTTTGTTTTGCCACCTGTCTTTGTACTTCAGTTTTTATTGTATTCAAACGTCACATATTCCAGGCAGTTTTGAATCATTCAGTCTTGCTAACTGTAGTACCATCATAGGCATATATGCAAAGGACAATGATTTAATGTTGTTCAAAATATAGCCCATTTTTTTAGGAATTTTAAAAATTACTTTTGTCCTGAAAAAGAACACTGTAGAACCAAGGACTCATAGTGGAATTAAAATATTATTTACCAATGAAAATATATCTCCCTAGACAGTGTTATTCCTGTAATCTTCTTATTTAGGAGTAAATCTTTGTCTCACATACACAGGCGATATAACTGGCAATGGTGCCAGTAATGAGCTCTGCAGTCAGAGATCACATTCAGTGCTACTAATGAGCAACAGGAAACAAATTTGCTATCAGAACTCTTGTTACAGAGAAGTATTTTCATTTTTTTTCAACTTTAGAACAAAACTGAGCTTTCAAGCTAAGAATTAATGATACAATAAAGAGATTATACCTGGTCTTTTATGTGTTAAAAGTTACAATGTTAACCGATGACTTTACAGGCAGGTGCAACAGAGGAGCCATTACTAAAATCTAATTTGGTTTACGGTAAGACAGTACTGTACATACTGTACCATCATACCATAATGAAAAAATAAAAAAGATTCACACAGATTCAATGGTCAAAACATTAAGAAAAAGAAATGCGAGAGCCAGTGAGGATATACATCGTATCTAATAAAATATAATTCGCATTTATATTACTTCAAATAATTATTATTCCTGTGTAATAATATTGGCCTCTGTAGATTTTACTGTATAACTAAAAATTCCGTCAAAACATAAACTGGATTCACCGTGTAGGTATTTATGTCAGCCAAAGAAACTAGTTCAAACACACCTGCCAACACGATGAGCTACATAAAAAACCTACAATAAAGCATGTGCTGTTTTTTATATATATATTAGAGAGTTTTCAAAATAAAACTTTCAAGTGTAGTCCAAGGGGAGCTAGAAAAAATTCTGCAAGCGGGGGATTATGAAAAACCTTCCTTTTTGCAGGTACAGTTTAGAAAGCTGAGGTTCTCGAATCACTAAGCACTAAATGAAGGCCTGTGCTAAATCTCCATATATTTTACAAAGATGATCTGGCAACATCAGCAGTTTGTTCATTTTGTACCATATCCCAGCCACTCTTTTTTCACTAATTATTTATAATAAATAATAATTTAGTTTCAGAAACTGAGAGAAAGGGTAAAATTAGACACCACTGGTAGAACGAAGCATACTAAGCTGTATATCCTTTCTAATCACGTAGCTTTGCACTGGAAAATGAATTTTTGATTAAACACTCAATGAAAATGTATTTCTTTTGATATATTGAAGCAGCAGGGTGGCAATACAGTTTCTATTTCTCTCCAGGGGATACCCTGTTTTGTATGTTTGAGGTTTGAGGATGTCAGAAAATACCGAGATTCCACATACAGCTGAGCAAGTCCATGTCAGTTTTAGCTTAAGAAGATTTCCAAGTATGAAAGTAAGCAAAGAAATGTGAAAGGTATCATACCAATACCACTTCTCTGTAACATAAGAGCCAAATTTTACATGTATCCTATTTCATACATGAAAAAGTTAAAAAGGACCTTAAAAAGGCTTTAAAGAATGCACTAAATATACATTGTTTTGCAATGTATACCATTATTAAATAATAATACGGAGATCTCTTCTTTAAAAACTAAAAAATGACAATAAATAATTCCTTAATAAAAGATGGATTTAGAGAAAGAAGAATGTGTGTTCAGTAAAGGGAAAAAAAAACATGCATGTTCACAGTATGTTCTATAAAGATATATAAAGGTAAATAACATGAGTGCAAACAATCCAGTACTCTGTGTAAAGTAGTGGTCTTCACAGCCAAGAAGACTTAACGGATGAAAAATAGTGTTCATTTTACTTTTGGAAAAGTGGAATTAAGTCTAACTTGTTCCTCCACAAGGGTTAATGTGCTACAGTGAGAAGCAACACAAGCTGCAATCACTGTCTAAATTCAAATGATTCTTTACAACAAAAAATAAGTTTGGGAATTCAAACAAAGCAATACTAAAACTTTTCTATACTTTATATTAATACATTTTTCTTGATTCATTGGTACTATCATCTCACCACTTTCCACTTTCCATTTTTTTCTGCTCAGTTTAGATTGAGGACAAATAAAACATTAAATATTCATCTTAAAAGGTGCTCTGAATGCACTACAAAAAAACAGGATTTCAAAGTCTGCAGTCCAAATTGAATATATCGAGGACAGAAAAAATATAACTTCAGTATCCACACCACCATTCATAAGGCTATTAAAATTGTTCTAAAAAAGAAATGCAGTTTTAGTGAGTTATTGGAAATCTAAATGGTAAGTGTAAGATAATTGTTGCAGTTAAAAGTTAAATAAAGCCATGAAGCTATATATATATTCTTCTATTCATTTTGAAACAATAATTGACACAATAATTTAGAAACAAAGACAGTTAGTGTTTACAGATTATGTAGATGCATAAATTATGGTTTCCGATTCTCCTAGCCTACGCAGTCCAATTATTTTCTAAAGCTGAAACAGAGGCTTTGCCAAATATACTATGTTACACTGAGAATGAACTGTAAAGCAGTTTACTAGAACCTTTCAAAAAGTTAATAAAAATGGAAAACGGAAAAAAAACAGCATAGTACTGTGTGGCTTGTCAGTTTTCTAATGTTCAAAGGCTTTGGATCACCTGAGTTCACTAGTAGTTTTACCCATTTTCGGAATAACTGTCCATTATTCACTGGCTTTCCAACATTCTGTTTTGAAGACACAATGCACATTGAGTTCATTTTGACTTAATAATGGTTTGTCTCAGGCAGCAATTGCTGCACAAGAAATCAAATCAGCTCATTAGCAGAAAGGTTATCATTGATGGCTGTACTCAAAAAATGATTATTCAATGGATGAATAAAGTGGTGCATTTGTAAAAATATATAAATTTGTCCGTTTACTTCATATGTTGCTAATAAAAAGGTAATAATACTATTAATGCTAATGCTACCAGTAATGTTACTAAAAATACTAAATCCCTATTAATGGGACATTACAAAGAAGTGCAATTTTCTCTCTGCAGAGCATGTGTGAATCTCCATTCTGCCCAGTGGGTATTTCACCACTAAAGCATTTACACCTGTGTCTGCACACCACAATTGCTGTAATCCATTAATTAACTTGGAATTTTAATTTTATTTTTTTTCAGCCGAAGTGGCTGCTAAATGAAATCTTACAGGTTTGTATCTCAAGGCATCTCTGTAGGATCCGAACAGCGCGGCCTGAGTCCTCAGGAAGGCCCTGGCAACTCCGCTGCCTGTTGCTGTGGACTGCTTCTTCAACTTACTTTTGAGTGAGGAGACCTGCGTGACCGAGAGGAAAAGTTAAATTAACACCTCTGAAATTGGTAGAGAGAGACACAAACTCGATCGGGGTGTGAACCGTCACATTTGCAGGTCAGCCAAAAAAGCCTCCCTTCTTCCTGATAGCTTATCTGTTGTGCTGTGGAGAGCACCTGCTGGTCTGTTAATTGAGAAGAAGGCAGGGGGGTGAATGTGAAGCACTAATGCAGAGTGCTTTGTGCACTCTCTCAAGGCCTCTTGACATAAATAAGCTTTAATTATTTTCTCTCTGATTTGTTGGCCATTTTTCAACAGGTTTGCTGCAGGAGCAGAGCATGTGCCAACTTGCTGTGGGTTGATAAAAGATGTACCCTGTAGATCCATGAGGGACCCATTTCTTAAGAGACACTCAAGTCCTCCTTATCACCTTTTTCTAGTATTCATCACAGGAGTAGCATCAGGCTCTTTGCGTTTTCAGGAAAAAAAAAACAAGGCACTAATGTTTTCTTGCGTAATGTTCCTAAAATAATTAAAAATAAAAATCAACTAAGCCTAAAAAATTAATTACCTGTGAAATTTATTAGGTCAAAGACTCTGTAGTCAGTTCAGTGCGTCTTCTAAAAATCTACAGTGAACATGTTTATAGTACCATTTTCCACACGTATATTTAGCAGGTTTCAAGCTATATATACAGTATAACATACATGGTGCAACAAACAACAGACACTGACATTTTAAGATCAAATGATATAATTCAGCCTGATGAATTATCATTGTTTTGTTTTTGCTATTTAAATATAAATGTTATGTCATTATTAATATGAACCATGTTATGTATGGCACAATAAACAATCAAAATATGGAGTAGCAGTGAACTGATGCAGGGAACCTACTGTATCTATGCTAGGCAGCCTTACAGAAATTAAAGTCTATTAAATGCAGCCATTTGTTTTCTATGCTGTTCACTAATTTCTCAAAAGCATAAAAATCAAACAATGTTAAAATAACACATGGAACACATCTACTGTACATTAGATCAGACTGATTTAAGAATATGCAAAATAATTACTAATTCATACAATTCAAGTATTAATTTTTGAGCAAAAACCAAAGGATAAAAATAAATATTCTAGATTTATTACATTCTACCTTTCCTGAAAAACAAATTAATGATAAGCTCCTTTAACCATTGTTTTTACTGTTAAAATCATCAGCATATATTGTTTTTATATTTTTTATAGGATAAACTTCTAAATTGCACTTTTTAATAATCACTGCCAATTGTATTACAGACAAATTTAGATTAATACCTCTATTTTGATGGTGGCACATACAATTTGTCTTGTATGCAATAATGGAAATTGAACTGTCAAACTAATTAACTATTATATTTCTGATAATGCTAACGAGAACTGAACGAAGCATCACAGAGAAGCTTAGCTCTACAGGTGATAAACCTATTTGGCAGTGACATTTTTTAGTGTAAAGTCACAGTAGCTATGATCTGATCAAAGAGAGAGACCCCCATTGGGTCCAATTATAACTATAGTATTGTAGAAAAATCATTGAGTTATGATATTTATAATCTATGCAGAAAGGCCTTTCCAGTATAGGTCTTTTCCTCAGAGCTGTGATCTTTTCAATTTACATCAAGGGAAGATAGCTCTAGATAAAAGTCTGGAGTCCAATTCGTTTAGCCCACAGAGGGCATACACTGTGGCTCATTAAAGTCTGTTCCATTAACTCCAGCACAAGGCTTGAAGTGCGTAATGTAAAGTGTGTGGGTCAAAGGTTACACAGAAAACAGATCTCCATTTAACTTACCAGCTGGAGATGATAATTAACAGGTGCATTGCTGTTTTTATACAGGACAATACATGACAGATCTACTGTATGGTGAATACAGTATAGAATATTCCTTAACTCACTCTAGAAATCCATTTCAGAACTTTTAAATCTTTAATGTGCTTTTATATTAGATTTCTTCTTTTTTTAAGAAAACAGCTACATAATTACACAGCATGACAATTCATGTACAAGGTTTTGAATCAGCATTGTAACTACAGTTGGACTAAACACACAAACGTCTGACATCACCACATAAAATTAAATCCATGGTTAGTTTTCCCACTTCTAATTTTATAAAACTTGAACCTATGCACACCAAAAAAATACACTACAAAATCCTACTACAAAAGGCTTTGTGGATTTACTTAAGATGCATATCAATTACGTGTTAACATTTTGCATTTATGCTGGAATATCACAAATGAAGAAGATTCTAATTTTTTTACAAATATGATTGGAATTTTGTGTACACTATGAAATTTAAACTCCTTCTATCAATATACTTGGCTTTTAGAAATGGTATAATACTGCTAAGACACTACTCCAAAAACCATGACACTTACATCTTATCAAGATATGTTTCTTGGAATTTCTTTTTTAGATTCTGTGGAAAGGAGACCATTGGGAGACAATTAAAGAACTACAAAGGGGAAAAGTTTGCTTAAAAACCTTCAGTATTCTTTTGATGTACAGTACTGTATTCTGAAGTGCACATATACATGTATACAATCTTATTCATGCACAAGATTGAGAAGCATTCAAAATTTCACTTTTTGTGTGGTTAATACAGTAGGTGCACACAGGTTTGGTTTACAGTATTATTAAGCCTGCATAAAAACTGCCTTCGTCAGAGAATAGAGAAAAATAAAACAACAAAATGTTTAATATGATTCTTTAGTAGATAATCCCTAAAGCCAATGATGAAAAAATTTAGACTGGTTATTGAGCTGTTTTAGCCTTGATCAGAGACAACTATGACCTAATTCATGTGTTGAAAATCCTCAAAGCCCCCAGTGAACGTCTTAGGAGTACAACCAAAGGATACACGTGTAAACTACATGGATGTGAATGTAAAACTGAGAACAAGGAAAAGTTAAAAATGTAACTCAATTGACTGTGCCATCTTATGACCAACTTCTTGTAGTTAGTTGGGGAAAAAAACACCATCTGCTTTTTCAGTTTAGCTCAACTTTCAGGTCTTCTTCAGAAATGTACTTGACAGTTCCCACTTTACGTTCCTAGTAAAGTAATATGACATAAATGTTATTGGTAATTATTGCTTTCCCAAATTTCAAACTAAAAAAAAAAACAAAAGGAAATTAAAAAAGAAAAAAAAGCCGGAGCAAAAAATCAAAACCCAAAAAAAAAAAAAACAGCATTTTATTTAATATGGTGATACTTTAACTTTATTCCTCTGGGCATACACTGTAACAAAGTCTAGTGCAGGAAACTAAGTAAAGGAGGTACTTGTGTGTTTTTATTTGCTGTACTGGGGAGCTGGCAATGGGAGCTGTGGAGAAAGCTGGAACTAATAGGATATCCTCCTGGGCCTTCCTATTCACATGTGTTGGGCTGCTTTCTGAGGCAGAACCTACATGCTGGATATGATATACAGTATATACAGACAGGGAAAAACAGTCATACAGATACTGAGCCACTTAGAATTATACAAGTTACATCATGCCAAACTGCAAAGTTATTGGTTTCAGGAGTTGATGGTACTAAAGAGTCTTCAAAATTGAGAATAAGCTGTCCTAAAGTAGACTGCAAATAATGCAATCTTTTGTAAAAAAAAACTAATAAATTGAACATCTATATATATAAAGAAAGGCAGAGTACAACTGCATTTTAACGAGACCTCCTTAAAAAATTATTAGTAGTATTTGTTTCTGCAATACGACTGCAACACGAAATAAATAGTATTTAATACCACATCTGTGATTTCATTTACTATTTATATTGTACAACTATAAAATGAAATCTCTCTAAAATAAAATCTTTTAATTAAGAATGACAGTAATCTTTGGTTATTGTATTGATTCCACTTCATTCTTTCTCTAATAAAGAAAAATATAAATGCAGAACATATAAACAATACAGGTCAACAATGCTTAATTCAATTAAAAATATTGTTCAAAAACAGCTTGATGTAATTAAGGTAATCACACTTCTGTGTCCTGATCTAAATAATGAAACAAATGGGGGTTACTTTAAGAGCAAAGATGTTTTAATGTTTTCCAAATTTTAAAATTCTACATTTTCCAAATTCATGGTCTTCATGGTCACAGTTTTTTTACCTCTAACATACAGTATGCATACGTGTAAGTCTCCTGTAACGCAGAAGAATTGTATTCCATAATATGTTCACACCAATCTGTTGAACAAAAACACTTGATAACACTTGATATTTGTATGTAATGGTTTTCAATAACAATTTGTTTAGAAGCTAATTTTAAGTTTTAAACAAAAATCTTCAAAAATTAATTTCTAAGTATAAGAAAACCATTTTAAACCCTATTCATTTGTTAAAAAAAAATGACACAAAGAAAAGTAAAGTACACCATAAGCTAAACTCCAATCTTTAATAAATAAGATTTTTATATGAAAATCCTGAATAATAATTCAGGAAAGAGCTAAGATTCAGAATGGTGAGTCATTAGATTTATCATAAAAGTACAAACTGTTAAAAGTTTCTTACAAGAAATTATACGGTCTGCTCTGAGTTTTCTGTGTTTCCAATAGGTAAATATTCCCTACAACAATTCAAAAAAGTAAAAACTACCTTCAAACATATTTTCAATAAAATATATTTATTCAAAATACTATATAAAATTTAGAATAAGGAACAGTCAAGAATATATGAATGTGAACATCTTATTTGTTTGTTTGATACTGGTTTAATACATGTGTTTCATTACTTTTATACTGTATAGTGAGCAATGCTAATAACATTTGCAGCCACATGCACTATATAACTACCACCCATGTCCAAAGAATTGAAAAGGAACTGTAGGCATGTTGTCATGTGATGAATGGAGATCTCATAATAATTTTGGCAGATGATGGTCTATATGAAATAAATTAGTTAGCTAACACTATCAATCTTGTGCAGGCGTCATTACAGTTATCTAAAAAAATCTTTAAACCAAAACTTTAATCATTTCATTTAAACCATATGGCAACCACTAATATTAAAAACATAATAAAGCAAAACTGTCCAGAATTTTAAACTTATTTAATCAAATCACTACATTTTTCTCCCTTAAGGACAGTACATACTAAGCTTTAACTCCACCTTGGCCTACTTTATATCTTTGGTATAGATAGAAATTTTAGAAATTTGATGACAGTCATTTTTATTTTTACATTTTAGAAATGACCAATGTTAAACCATTTTAGAAATAAAATGCTTAAATAAGAGCAGAATGAGTGCCTGATATATTTAAAAACATTTCTGTTTATTTTAGAAACATCAAGGTCATTGCAGTTTGGTAACCACATAAGACATCAATAAATTTCAAGGAAAATACTATTGTTTCTAATATGCCAAAATAAGAATTTGCTTCATCTTCACAATTCTTTAAACATATTAATGCCAGGTTATCAATTCTATTACAAACACAAAAATAAACAGGAAGAAATGGAACTTGGAAGTTTAAATTCTAGAGAAGTCATAAACAGAAGAAAATGCTGCAAAGCATAAATCGCAACATTTTTTAGAATATATAGGCTGCAGCTCCTCTGAAACCCTGTATTGGACAAAGTGGATAGAAAATGGATGGTTGGATTTAGAACATAAAAACAACTGTAAACAATTAGAAATTATAACAACAATCCTGGCCATATGTAACTGCATTTTAATATGATTTATGAAAATAGTTTTAACTCCATATTTCAATATTTCAGTCAGAGCCTTGAAAAGAATGCCCAAACATTTTAAAATTGAAATTAAAATTTAAAATGTTATTTTTTTATTCAGCTCCTCTGTTTTTTTTTCTTAAAGCTCAGATTGTTATTTCTTTATAATGTAGTCTAAAATTTCTTTCATATATTGAGAAAAAAACATTTAAGACTGAACCATAACTTTCTGTTACGCAAACTTTTTGGTTACCATTTTCTCTCTTAGGTACTTAATTTTATCTTTCTCATTATTCAAAGACAAGGCTTTTTTCTACTATATAATACTGTTAATCATTTAAATATGTTTGTCTGTTTTTTTCAATGCCATCAAATGATTTATTTAAGTTAATTACCTGTGCTGCCATATAAAGACATTACTAGAAAGCACGGTGATGCCAATTTCTGACAAAAATACAATCAATAGCAAACAAACACATCTTATGGTTTCAATAAGGGACATTTCCAAAATTATTATCGCAAAATTGCCACATCCTTTTAAAGCTTATACCAATTATTCTTCCTATTTGTAAATCTTTAAAAAAATTCAGAACGGAACTGCTACTGGCATGGTAGCATTTCTAATAGTCAATAAATCTAAAATATTAAGTGTGAATTTTGGAGAAATGGCTATTAGGCTGAGGACAACACAGAACACAGCATAAGGTCTTGAATGTAAAAAGGGCAAGTAATTCAGGACAACTGTGACCTCTAACCCTTTCCAAAGTAGGGCCAGTGGTCAAACTATCATAATAATAAGGTCCACATGGAACCAAAGCCTTCTAACCTATAATTACACATATCTCCAATGGTTTGCCTTAAATTAGTATGGGTGCACGTTCTTGGTCTGAAAACATTAGCAGTTTTGGTTTAGGTCCATTTATTTTAATAGCTGCAAAAAATATTATATTTTCTGCCTTAGAATACACATCATTCTGAGCTTGACATCTGAAGCTCTAAGAATTTTGCCTTTAGCTCAATTTACATTAGTCTTAGAAATCAAAAGATTAATTGTTGAGCTTGAAATAACCATGTATTGTATGTATGAATGCATCTTTTTCAGGATGTTGGCTTCATAGAACAAAATGTAAATTCAAAGTATTCTTTTAATTAATACTGATATTTCTAAATCTTTTTCAGTAGCTTCTGAATTACATAAGATTTTCTAAAGACATTTTAGAATAAATGAACTCAAAGTCTCATTTGTTTTTCGTATTCAAACATAAAACTGTAAATTACTCGATCCATCTCCTGTCTTCCACTGGTTCTCTGAATCTTCTAAACATTGTGGGCTTCGTTTTGTGTTTTAATATTTTTCAATTAAAAATGTCCTCACAAAAAAATGGAATGCATCTCCCATATTCAGCAAGTGTTTTGCAAGTAAACAAAAATAAGTTTCCTTTAATTAGTTAACTAGGTAGAGAACATTTTGTTCTGCATTTCCATTTGATATCCCCAATGGTGAGCTAATAAAAAATGTTGCTGCAATAAATACATTATTTGACATTTACGTATTAGGTTGGGTAATTTAACATGAAATACAGAATGCGTTCTATTATTAGTCAGTGAAAAATAGCATTGCAAGATCAAAGCCAAGAAAGAGCTGCCACTTAATTTATCAAACTATGTAAACAAAAGAATCCCCTGTCATTTTCAAAAGACCTAACTCCCTTTTATGACAAACTCAGTTTGCAATTTAATTTACAAATAGAATCCTGAGTAAGCAGACATGGCTAGGCAAACAGAATCGGCAAACAGTGGGGCTTTTCGCTCAGGCCCCCATATCCCAGCGGGGTACAATGGATTAAATTGAAATTGAAAACATCCCCCCAAAACAAATAACTACTGAATTTTGAAAGAAGGATGAAAGACAGATATTTCTGACCCCAACTGTACAACCATTTCCCATTATACTGACCAGTGTCATCAGATCATTAATTAAAGGGGAAAGCACTGGCAGGTGGCAGAGAAGCAAGAACTGATAATGGGCCCCCTTCTTCTTCTTGCCTTCAGAAATCAAGGTCTTTTCTTCAGCAAGACATGCCACTAGGCAGACAGAAATGCCTACTTTATAATATAATGATTAAAATAAGATGAAGAGACTCCTCTGTTCTAGTAGCTCAAATGGCTAACGAACACCACTGGCTTTTTTAATTACAAGTTGTGCAATTGCTAAACAGTGATTACGATGTCCAACTGAAGTTGTTAAGCACTTTTGAAATAATAAAGAAATTCGTGCTGTATTTGATATTCTTCAGCAATGTATAGTTATAGCTGCTGGTTATGTCCCTGAAAACATCGGCAAAAGCATCAGCTTGTTTCTGCATGATCTTGTTAGCACGGAGCAAAGGGACAGAAGCAGGGGGCCAAGACATCTGAGTGGACTTACCACGTCACTAGGCAGGCTTTGCAGGTCATCAAATGGCGTTTCCAGAGTGTTTGTATCAACGTTTAGGATAACTACATCTTCCAGCGATCTACTTTTGACTTTCTATTATGTAGAGTAAAAGAATACAAGAATGGAAAGATTATATAAATGAACACAAGGTAATGAAAAGGATATATAGTTTGAAACAAGGTGTCAGAATTTAATAAAAACAGAAGCATGCAAAAGTAACTGCCATTAAGTTGCCTCAGCAGTTCTAGTAAACAACTACCTTCAGAGCAATTACAAACAGCTTGCAGAGCCTAGACTCTGGGTCAAACCGTTGAGATTTCTTTTAATATTGTAAAGTTAATCAGGATAATAAACTAAAAACAAAGTGATATATATATATACATTTACAGCACTATGCTCTCATGAAGAAATGTTTAGTACATTTTTTTAAACATTTAACTTTCAGAGTGGCCACCTAAAGAAGACATTTTATAACTGAACTAAATGCAATACATATTATTACAGATACATGGTAGTGAAACCTTGTTGTCATGTAATCCCTTTAAAAACTGAAGATGACAACATTCTAAACTAAGGGTTTATATGTTATAATTGTCTTAATAAATACTGGATCAAAGGCAAAATAACAAATCACAGTTCAGTAAATACAGATAAATTAATAGACGATAATGATCAGGTATAAAAAATGGCTAAATATCTATTAACTGCTTTTCTAATACAGGATTAAGTAAAGGAGATTATGGTTTTCTGTGAAATACAAAGCATACAAACATTTAAACCAAAAAATATTGTTTAGTGTGCAACATCATAAATCAACAAAATGTTATGCATTTATTCTGATACCTACAAATTCAACAATTATTTTCAGACTGCAGGTGGAAAAAAGCAGAGGTATGTAAAATTTTAGTTTGTCATTCTGTGACAGTTCCTGCTATGGAGACGCATGCTGATTTTATCTCATTATGTATGCCCAGATATGGTACTGTCACTAATGCGATTTGTGATAAATACCGGGAGTTCCACAATTGTCAGGCATATCAAATTTAGACATTCTGCTATAGGTCTGCTCCCAACCGACGCAGCATCTTCAATAATGAAGCACAAACGCTTTCTCTTTTACTTGTAGTAAGCAGGCAGGCTGATGAAAACGTATGTCACTTCAATTTATTCCCTGTTCCATGCTAGCTTGTCCAATTAAATATTACTTCATTATCATTTCAAAAGACTTAATATTTTAATTCTATAAACTGGTAGCAAAAGCATGTTGAGTTCAGTACACATGCAAGTTACTCGAAAAGCTATACCCTCTAAATTGCAGAAATGGCAGACTCCTAAACTTGCAAGTAGAAAATTCAATTCACCAAAGCACTTTTATCAATCATTATATATTTACAATGATTGCTATACACAATATATGATAAAATAAACTTGGCCCACTTTTAACAAAACCGTTTACTTTTAACCTTGGAATTTAAAAGAAATACCCACCTCTAACAAACTGAGATGAACTCCAACCACATATGGCATAGGGGCACTGTGGAAAAAAATAATATACATCTTCAGCCACTGGTACTAAACCTGTTTGAAATTAGGGGGAAACATCTTGTAGTACGTACTACAAAAATGCTGTATTTGCAGCATTCGAACACTAACCTAGATGGTTAACATTTCCCATAATATCTTATTATTCTCAAGTACAATATGTACATTCACATGCATTTTTTGCCACTGAACCATTAAATAACCTGGAGCACTTTAGCAAATGAAGACAACACTGTACAAATTCTTTCACTTTCAATTCTACTGTACTTCCACAAACAATTCACATAAAGCTACACACAGTTGAAAGTTACAGCCTGTCATCCAAATATTATGATTGGACAGAGTGACAAAGGAGAAAATGTCAGTCTGAATCATATAAGGAAAGTTTTAGAAATTTTAGAACACTAATCAAAAGGAAATGCCTATAAAGAAAACTTTATTAGTGTACTACACTATTTCCTGAAATCATTATTGTATTTTATTACGTTATATTAAGGTATTATTTCATTAGTTTAATTGGTAAGCAATTTGTATCTGACTCTTGTATAAAGGATTCTGTGCTCTTACTAACTAGCTAAATCTTATATATTTTGTGAGATTGCTGCTGGACCTTTTCAATCAAGTAGCTAATAAGTCAAGATGCCCTAGCTGTAACATCTGCTAGATATGACGGTAACATCACATTACTGTATTCAGCTTCTTCATTTCAAGCAAAATTTTGCACGCTACAGGATTTCCTTCTTCTCTGTGCTATAATTATTGTTGATTGCAAGAGTAATTACTTTATGAAAGTCTAAATTTAATTTCATGAAAGGTTTCTTGTTTTTTTCCCCAACATTAAAAAGGAGACCACCCACTTGGATTAAGTCTCTGGTCTTTTTCTTAGCCTGGCTAAATTATGCCTCATACTGCATTATTAACATTAGTGAAAATATTCAATAAACATCCATTTGATCTTGCAATTTAGCAAAAGCCGAGATATGAAAATTCAATAGCCAAAGCTAACCAAAGATACATTCTCGGTTTTAGAATGGTAAACTAAATGTGTAATGCAGACTGATAAAATTAAATGAATTTTGAGCTGAAAAAATGTCTCTATATATAGTAGTAAAGAACCAAAATACCTCGCAAATATAATTACTTAAATTAGACTCATCTGGCTATGCAGCTTTTGTAACCATTTGCTAAATTCCTCAAAAAGAATTGGGGAAAATTAATGTTTTCCAACTCTAGGAAAAACCAAGCTTTAAGTACATGAATGAAATATTTTAAGAGAGGAAGACAGAATTAAGCTGAAAACCATTCCTGATAATAAAATGCTTCTGTGTACAGAACTGGCCTGTCAGCCCCACAAACTGACTATCACACAATGAGTAGTCGATAGATTTCTCACTTGTGGAGCGAATCCAGGCAGTGTGTACTTTACTGCATGATTCCAGTTTTCTTCTACAAGATAATGGTCTGTCTTTTCAGTTAGCATATAGAACAATGTCATATTTTTAACTGGAAAACATGGACCCACAGCATGTAATTAACAGTCAAAAGGCTAATATTTTTGTCAAACTTTCCCATTAGTAAAATGCTAAGGACACTATGACACATTATTTTACCTAGTTTATTTTAAAAAATTAATAGATGCAATTTATAATGACCCACTGTACTGCTTTAAGGTTTGACTGCACTCTAAACTCTAAATCAGAGGTGGATACAAATTGTATATGTGACCACATGTAAACAAACAGATTCACTTTTTCATTAATACACAATAATGCAGAGAGGTTTTAAATATATATAATTTTGAATAAAACAAGCCTAGACATATTACAGGTAAATAAACATTTTGAGGGTATAAAATCACCTTTTTATTAGAAAATGATGGGTAACACTGCCATAAAATTAAAATAATTCCTTTACTTTCTCTCATGCCAGTAGGAAGGTATGGTACCTCAGTCTTGTCACTGAACCTATTTTAGCTAACGTGGAAGGTATAATCCCTGAATGAGGCATTACTGGGTTTTTTAAAATACGAACAGTCCTTAATGTGATTTTCTATACAGTACATCACATAGCAGGTGATGCTTTATCTCTCCTTCCATCAATACCCTACGTAGGTATTATGCACAGGGCACTATCTTCAACAAACATGCCACCTTCTTTAGTAAAATGGTCATTAGCAGAGAAAGCAGAAGTCCAGCTTGCAAAGTCTTAATTTATTGGTCTGGATTTAAGCTCCATTACAAAGTTCCAAATTTTTGTTTGTTGGTTACGCATGGTTCAGTGAAAATTCCTGCACTTATTAATGCCACATGTAAACAAGGTCACTGTCTGGGAAGTGAAAACTTGGACCCACTGGAAAAACTGACAACGTTCAACATGACGTAAGAGCACAGTAGCACTATCTACTGCAGTGTACAACTCGCACTGTGTGGGGAGCGAAGCTCTTTGTGTATTGTTGGCCTGTCATTGTTCACCATGCTGTGGATATAATGTCTGGTAGTTCTCATAGACCCCCTCATGGCCCCATAAGCAGCTGATTACTGAGACTCAACTCTCACACTGTTCTTCACAGTTCAAGGTGGCATTTTTTGTTTTGGTTTCGGCAATCCAGGATGCCCATGAACAGCCAGTCAGTTAAGAATGGAATATCTACTTCCTCAGCCTTCTGGATGGCTTCTACCAAAGTTCTTTTAACCACCTGTGCATTTCCTTCCTCAAGCTTCAGTTCTTTTGAACTTGCTGGTTACAATTTTTACAATGCACAGACTGAAACTCCCTCTGGCTTGTACCTATGCTTATAAGTAGCAATCATGTGCTTATAATGTCACAGATATTGCCTATTTTGCACATGTGGATTTAAATTGGTCAAATGTGTGTGCATTTCTTTCTTGTTTGTAAGTCTGATATTACACAAAGAGTTATATCAACCTCAATTCAGCACAACGTCTCCATATTTGTTGATAAACTTAAGCAGGTGGTTGATTATGTACATTATGTGCCTGATTTCCCAAGTTGGTAAAAGTACTATTTATTGCAGCTTTCCCAATTAATTTTACAATAATATCAAGTAGGTGTACTATTGCCACTGTTCAGATTTTTGAATTATTATACTTTTCAATGCAAACTGATTTTACAGATCTTTGGCTTCAATTTTAATACAACATTAATGAGCACTGTCCTTATTCATGAACATCCTCTTTACCAACAAATGCTTGCTTGACTGACTAACAATATGTGCAGGCAACCAGAAAACGGTGCAAAACAGAAATGTCACAATGAAAACAAATACTGGCATAAGATGATACAAATAAATCTCTTGGGTTCTGTGACAATCTCAAATATTCCAATTTTTAAATGATGAAGAAATACAAAATGGAGACCAAACAAATTATTTTCTCAGTGATATTGAAAGTAGCCATTTCTAGATACCTAAAATCTTCTAAATTCAGAAAACAGGCTAATTTAGACCACATTTTTTTTTTCAATGTACAGCACAAATATTCTGTTTCATTAGATAAAGAGCTTTGAAAAACCTACAGTCTGTCTTGGACATTGTGAAATAATTGCTGTATGAATCATTAAAGAGTAGAGATTACAGGTTTTATAAGGTGTCATTTAAATTACAGGGTTTCATATCCAAAGGTGGTTGAAAAGGCATTAGTAACCTTACCAGCAGTAGTCCAAGAGATGTGGAGGAAGCACAGGGATGTAAATGTGTTGCCAGTACATTGGAAACAGCATGGCAGCAGACCCATGAACACATGCAGTTAACTAAAGGTTGAAAGCAAAGAATACAAAAAACAGAAAAAGACAATTTGCTTATGGGTTTGAACTGCTATAAACGACAGAAAAAGAACATTGGAGAACTACTATTTTGAGAAACTATCACGCATTTCATGTTTTATTGCATTCTAAAGTATTTGCAGAAACAAAAAGGCTCTATTCCATTTTCCAAAACATACACACATGTGGAGGATTTAAAATTGCTTTAGAATTCTGATGTGTAATACAGCGTAGCAATCAGCAAAACAGATTATTTTTGCTCATGTTCACAGAACAACAACTGATTCAATTCATCTAAAAAACACTATTATTAGAATGTGGATTTATGTTTCCACAACTTGCATTGGTGGTGCAGTAAAGTAGATATTTTATTAAAAGGTTTAAGAGCGACAAAAAGGAAAAAGAAGGGCTAGCCAAACAAAGAGAAAGGAACATTATTGACAAAAATGAATGAATGGATTCCAGTTTATGAAAAAATCCTTATTAAAACAAAACCAGTATGACAATTGCTGTCTGCATCCATCGGAAAATAAACCATTTCAGTGTGTTTGTGAACATTACCATGGATTATAATGACCTGCTCGGCAGTTTGCTCATCCTCTAGATTAAAATAACATGATTAAATATGGAAAAAGAACAGAGGTCTGAAGGCTCCTTGGGGATATCATTAGGGCAAATTGCCAAAGAATGAAACATGAGCTAGCCAAGAGAGACTGCAAGCTGAAATAATACCAAGGGACCAGTATGTTCGACAGTTGGAGCTTCAGTAATGTGTGAACTACAGCTTCTACTATCAGGAGACCCTGCTCACTGACACACAGAATGTCACAATTGACCAGCAAACTGGCCAAGCTTAACAGCTACACCGCAGCAAGCAAAATAAATCTTTCTTTAACACCAGTTTGTGCATCTGTAGGGCTTATCACTTTTTCTATTCTTTTTTTCCTACACTGCATTGCACTATACTGTATGCTATGCAATTACCCCTGCCATCACAATAGTAAAACATTAATTAGCACTAATTGGCTTGCTTGATATAAAAATGTTCCTGGTGTGTTAAACAATTGCTTTGAGATAAATATTGTGGATAATTTTAGAGTATAGATATATATATTTCACAGCTCCCAAAAACAATCTGTATTTCTTAATTCCAAACAACTGAAGGTATAACAAGTTACATTAAAAAGTAGAATTTCTAAATTTAACAATACAAAAGCCACCTTCATCATAAAACAACAATCAAGTTGTGCTCATTGTGAATTTCAAGTGCTTCCATTATAATTTAATTTTTCATGGTTCTTGACTGGTGGTAATGGGAATCTTGGATACCAAAAAAAAAACATCAACCCATCCAGTTTTAGAATGTTTTATTCTGATAGTGCCAACAAGCTGCTGTCTCATCCCTGAGGAGAAAACCTTTCATCAGTTGGTACCATGAAGTAATGGCTCAGAAAACCTGGGTAACCAACTCCAATTATTTCAACAAGGCCTCAAGGCAAGCCCAATTGGCTTGATTTATACAAAAGTTTAAAAGGGATTTTAGAAGTTGGATAAGGGCAGGAGAATAGATAAACATTGAGAAGCAAATTATATGTTTGATTTTTCACTCCTTTACTGTGCAGAGATAAGGTCTCATATAGTAGCAAAACTAAGCAGTAGCACAATTAATTTCTGTCAAACATTTTCAAAATAAACCTCACCACTGCTCCACACACTGTTAGGAAAGATTAAATCAAAAGTAAAAAGGAGTGAATTTGGAGATCTGATTTGCTTCTCTAGGGCTCCATATGAATTCAGTCTCCAGTGCAGTCTAATAAAATATTTGCCAGACTAATAAATAATTAATGCTTCAAGCCAAATGGCTTATGAAATCCACAAAGAGATTTCTACTTAATATTCAATTCAGTGCAGAATTATATATACACTCTTCAAGAACAAATGATAGATTATACCTTTTTAGTGCCAGTTTTACCCTACTGAGAGATTTCTTATTAATTAGCTTTGTAGCTCTCCAGTACTCAATACCACCTTCACCAAAACAGACCATAGCTTCAAAAGTTTAACGACAAATCAAATATTTTATCAAGTCACTCATTATCAGTATGTCAAAAGATGCATAGACTCCATTGATTGCTCTTAAAGAATTCTAAATGAATGTATCCTAAATTAGAAAAAATCTTCATTGGATGCCTAATCTGACGTTTTTCTAAAATTACATCTTTAGATAGCAAAAAAAAAATGAATCGATCTTAAGAAATGTAAAACCTATTTTGTGTCTGCCTTTGTTTGCCAAATCTGCCTATAATGTGTTCACCACTTTGTTTGAATTTTTTGTATTACTTTTGGCATTCCATGCAAATCCAGAAATAATGTGCAAAGAGCAAACGCATTTTGTTTCCAAGCATGGAAAAATAAACTATTAATATATCTATGTAAAAAAAAAACACGTTAAAAATTGAGTAAATATTTCCTGAGAACCAGAAAATTTGCTCTCTAAAAACAAAGGTACAAAGGCGCAGTGATTCCTGCCAAATGCGAACAGAAGAAATTTCTTCTGTCACACATGACAATGCTATACTCATCTGAACCCAGGGAAGTGCAAGAAGCTTCCTTATAGGCCTTTTATTTAAACTCCAATTACTGCCGTTCCTCCAGTTTCTGTCGACAATTGTTTAGTGTGAAGCTAAAACCTGCACAGGTTATCCAGTAACAGGCAGGTGGCATTTTTTTTATGGGGGGAGGGAGACAAGAAACAAGAACAAGATTGCAAAACAGCCACTTAAAGTTGGTTCTGCACAAGCAAAAAAAAAAAACAAGAAAGGTGGTAAGGGTTTTAAAAATATCTAATAAATCAATAGTGGAATTTGGGGGGAGAAAAAAAAAACGACACTGCAGACAATGCACTTCAAAAAGGAATGTCTAAACCAAAGCAACCTCTCTGGCTACCACTGCAGGCCATGAAGGATCTGCTCTTGTTAGCATAACACTGACAGCATGATGAGAAGGCTCCTGTCAGACACAGGCCAGTCGGGGTCTCAGAGACGAAATGTACAGCCCCAGCTGACTAGTTAGAGAAAGTCTGGTGTGGTACAATTATACAAGCATATGACAAGCCTGCATGCTTGGCTGACTTGAGAGCCAACGACACGGCTTTAAACAGTGGTACTTCTTACCTCTGGTCACAAAACAGCAATAAGTCAACTGATGCATTGTTGTAAAATCATGATTTATTCCTTTGCTTTGAATACATGCGAGTATGGAGTGATGTTCTGGTAGACTGGCACAGCAGGTTCACTGGGGGCCTAAACATTGAGGGCCTGCCTGCAGCATGCATAATATATGCACATCTTTTTTTTTCCAAGCAGCTCACTGGAACAACTGCAGCAGGTCTAGCTGGACAGAACCTTAGCTGAGACTAAAGCCTGAGATATAGTCTATTTTCAAGGGAAAACAGGGCTTGGCAAAAAAAAATGCATATTTTCCCCCAAATAATTTGCTAAAATTTAAAAAGTATGCATAATATAAAACTCACATGAAGTTCTACTCACTGCAGAGCTTGATTAGCTTTCGAAAGTTAGCAGTACATTTCATGCTTTTTAATGAAGCAAAAAAAAATTGTATTATACAATCCTTAATGCTTAATAAACTAGGAATGATTTGTCTTTGCACACTGGAAAAACTAAATCACTTAAATGTGAAAACCTTAACCAAGAGGCAAATATTTCATAGTTTTATACTCTATATGTCATGGAATAAGTGGCATGAGCCTGATGATTTGAAAGAGGAAAATTCTTCAAGATTGAGTAATTTTGTAACCTCCTACAAAGAAAGTCTTCTGGGAGTCCTTGAATCCTGTCCTGCCTATTGCACACACTGCCCTTAGATAGTGAACTGGAACAGCAAAGATAGAGCTGGGATGACATCACTAGCCTATTTTCCATGAACTGTCATAAACATTTGGACTGCAATCAACCTCAGAGATAAGGGACAACTCCCTTTAAAGTGTGAGCTGTTTGACAGGAAGTATGCAGAAAGCAAGTAATATAAGTGATAATTTAAGAGTGGCTGAAAATGAAATTACACAATTATTTTTGTACTATACAATGTTGCCATTTGTTTCAAGGTCTTCTTTAACAGCTTTTCTTTAGGCTATATTTTATACCCATGGCTTCCATTTTCAAAACTCTAATAAAGTTAATCTAAATGTTTTAGCAATTAATATGAAGCAGATATATTATTGCCTAAGTGTTATGTTAGCCATGTTTTCACTGCAGACTAGTCCAGATTGTTTTATCCTGTAGAAATGTGGATGTAATGTTCTAATGATCCGTATATTCCAGTAGGACAGATGTTAACAAGCAATTAAACTATGCTTTTTTCGACGTCTGACAATTTACGCTTTATACTTTATTTTAGCAGGTTTGTGGAAAAATTCTATACTAGCATTGATTTTACCTGTCTGAAAGTAGTGTTACAGTGTATGCAGACTTCTTAACAGTCACTTTTCAAAAGGAAAAAAAAAATAAATGCACACAATCAGTACAGAAAGCTATGGTACATTTAAATGTTATATTGACAGAAAGCTACTTTAAGATTAGGAAGGTGATCATCTTTAAAATTAAGGTGCTTAGAAATCCCATAATGATAAAACTTGACTATTGTATTTTACCCCTCTTCAAAACAGAAAAATATCCATTAATATAAACCTTAAAAATGCTATAAATGCAACTATCCACTTGAAACACCGCTTTTATTCTGTGCGAAAATCACATCTTCAGAAGCCTTTCACAGAAATCACCATTAACTTGGTATTCTTGTCCTGTTGCTGCTATGTCACAAAGATGAATCCACCTATAATCAGCTGGGGGCTGTTTTTTAGTCCTATCCCACCTTGACTTTTTTCAGATTGCTTTGTAGAATAATAAAAAAATCGGTAATAGCCTTTAAGGGTTCTTTCACAGAGCCAACACGGCATTCAAATGAACTAAGAAGACTGAAAGAACTTTAATCTAATCTTAACAGGCCAACATTTCACCTGACCTGAAATTGTAATTAAACTAGCTTTTTCTATGAAAAATCCTTTTGTGCACAAGTGCTTATATTTTTTTTTTCTAGGGTGTGATAAGAACCGCATGTGCAAGTCTGTTAAATCTGAACATTTCTAGTGGCTAAAAAATTGAAATGTGAAAGCTTCAAGGGTACTTACAGTGCTTAGCTTGCTTGAGGTAATGATGATGCGCCGTTCATGCAGCATACTGGCATAGAGTTGCAACATGTTGTTAACATCCACAGCAACAAAGTATTCAGTAATATTTCTCTGTCATAAAAAAATGATAAAAATATTTTGATCCTCACCCATTAAACAACTTCTTAGAGCTGTGTGTGTATATACACATAGAGAGAATATTAAAAGGTATTGTTATTTTTTCCAGAAAACAAAACAACCTACACTTTCAGGAATTGTGGGAAGTCCGTTAATATCAGGAGCTACGAAGTATGAATGCTGTAAAACAGGAAAACAAAACCTTAGAAAAGAGATACAATCTGTGTTGTTGGGAAAGTGCAACACTTGATTCAGTTAATGTTTATATGATTTTTCCCCAAAATTAAAGGTATGGTAATGCCCACATCTCATATTAAAACGAAACACATCTACTGGCTTTCTTTACGCAACAAAAAAGTAAAACACTGCGTTGAATAAATTGCAGCTTTTATTAAGGATTAAAGTGAACTACATCAACAGGATCAGAAGAAATTCGCACTTTTAAAGCAGCATGGTCTAATGTTCGGATCAAAGGACTCGAAACCAAGAGAATGAAGGTTTGATTCCCAGCCTATCCAATAACTCCCTGTTTTTCCTGAGGCTAGTCCTAACTTTGTTGTGCTTCAATCATACCCATCTGTAGAAGCAAGGTAAAGCAAAGGCTTACGATAGACACAAGTAGCTAGATTCACGTTTTTCTTATGTTTTCTCTCTTTCAGCTAGGCTGTCACTGCACCAGACAAACAGTGATTCCAACACAGCTGACAGTGTTTTAGGAACTGTATTCTGGAAATGATTAAACTGAAAAGTTTCTTCATATACATGATTTATTAACTTTTCCAAAGTTGAATTGCCATGTACCACAGAAACTGTTCACATTAAAAATAAAATAAATCGTACAAAGTCTTATATGTAGTTCACTGCAAACAACAGTAGGTATATTTGCAAATGGAACAGCTTCCTAGTATCTTCCCAAAGTCCACATCTTCATCATCTTCATGCTTCACAACAAAATAGTTTACTTTTTCTTGAGCATTACCCTGAGTTCTGCACAGACAGATGCCAAAAAATGCCTGGTAGGGTAATAAACCCTAAACTGCGTTGGAAAACATTCAGGGTTATTTTCTCTCAGTTAGTATAAGCTCATAAAACAGTACAGGAAGTAAACCAACCACCAATTAAAAGTTTCAAAAGAGCAGGGAAGAATGAAATGATAGCATTCAAGATTAAAAACTGTACTGTACGTACTTAAGTTCACAAAAAAAGGTTTATTTAAGAATTGTGTATAAAAGATTTACAATTGGGAAAGTTGACAAAGCCAGTATCAACAGATTTTTTATATTTTTGTATAAATACCCTCTCTCTGCAAAAGGTAAGTTCTTTTTAACCGGAACAGCCTACATTTCCTAATAGCCTAGTATGCAGTCGTATTATGCATTTCTGCGAGGTAAGAAGGGTAGATTTAACAGTAGAATACTATCATATCTGTCAACACTGAAGTTCACAAAGTGAACTTTCCTTAAATATTTTTTGCATTTCTTTAGAAATACTTAAAATGCATCTATAGACACAGAAATCATTTCTCAGAACACTGAAACCTGAAGTCTGTTCACCATTAAAATCCACCACAGCTGTCAAATCCTTGTGCAGTTTTTGAAAACATATTTAAGAAAATGGTGTATTTTGAAATCAATTTTTCATTTTGTTTTCGAAATATTTGGAAATACAAAAATGAGGGCTAGAGGGAACATTAAAAAGGAGATTTATTTAAGCTACAGTTGTTTTCAGGTGTATGAAAAATGCAATATTTTACTCGTGCTGTTTTAAAAAGAGAATACAGTAGTGCAGTACATTATTATCAATTACAAAGTTTGCTTTCCAAAGTGGAAAAAGCAAACATCCAGAATGAACAGAGATTTTTATTTTTGTTATATTAAGGATAGAAAAGACCATTTAGTAAAAATTTAAAACCTTCAACTGCCCCATGATTAGTGCTTAGATTAAAGAATTTAGATTTGCTGCAGACTTTCTCTTTACACTCACCGGCTGCTGGCTTTGCTGTTGTTTCACAACCTGCCCAGTGGCAATGTGCAACTGCTCATTCTTACAATTTGAAGAAAAAAGTAAAATAAAAAATTCACACTTGAAATAAAAAGATCAATTTCTAGCACTAATTTCAAAATAAAATGAACTTTGGCTAAATTTTAGTTTCATGAAATATGGGAGACAATTAAAAACATGCAGTGTTTATAGGTGCCTAAGTTGTGGCGGGCTGAAAAATGGAAGTATAAATGTTAAAAAAAACCTTGAACAAACATTTTAACCCAAACCATTATGTAAACTACAGACAGTACACTAATAATTCTTCAGCTTTACATTTAGAATTTCATTTAAAATGTATGTATGCATACATAAAATAAATATATGTACTAAAAAATGATACTGATGTTTCAGTTTCCCAATTGGGAAAATAAGTGATTCGTACATGAAAACATGCTCAAGTTTTGGTTATTTAATTAAATGTTTTTGTAAAAACACACAAGAAACAATGTAGTAAAAGTATGTCTGCACCTGCATGACATGGTGATCCCTTTGTTTTATGTTTTTCTTAAAATAATCTCTTGATGATTTAGTAAATAAAACAAGTGTGATTATTTTTCTATATACTGTACAATCCTTCTTTTTACTAGGAAAGACTGCAAAAGATTTAGATAATTTCTTAATCGTATATCCCATTTTAAAAAAGATTTCTTATATGACAGTAGATGTTTGAAAGATTTTAGAATTTTATTATATAAAAAGGATTTAACACTATAGAAAAGGAATTGTAACTGTTAACTTCCATGATTAAAACATGATTGATCCACTCATTTTCAGTGGTTTGTCTACAGACTTTTAAGGGAATAGAAAACCTGGGAATAAATGTGTAAAGTACTGTATCATGAAGTACCATAAAAAACAACCCAGTCTCTGTTCATATCATACTGCATAAAACAGTATTTTTAGAGAAAATAAGTTATTTGAAAATGTAGTAAAGATGAGAACTCTCAGACTGCTGAAAGTAGGCTATATAACACACTTTGATCACAACAGGAACTGCATCACAGATACTTCCTCTGGTAAATACAATGCTAATACAGTGCAACACTGAATCCTTTGTCATGAACTGTAAATCCAATTAACAGGATGAAAAATAGAAATCTACTCTTATTAGCGGGCTGTGTCACTTTATTTGGGATCCAAATGAACTGTGTGGCCATCTGACCACAGTACAACCGTGCTTTTATACTATTATACAAAAAAGTTTTCCTTTTCCTGTACTTTGCATATCAATAGAATCACAGCTGCCTGCTGGAGTATTTTCTGCATATTTCTATTGAAGCATGCTTTGAGTTTTCTTACTTCAGTCGAGATACATGTTTCATAGCACAAATATTTTCTATACTTAAGTCTTACAACATTCTACACCGTGTAAAAGACAATTTCAAGAAGCTCCTTTTTAAGATACATTTTAGACATATTCCAGTGAGGACATTTTTGAAAAACAGATTCATGTTGAAGTGTTGTAAAAACTTTTTTTTTTCTTTCACTAAAGTTTGTTTAGTGTATACATCAATTTGTTGCTACAAGCACCATGGCATATTTTGATATATCAGCTGTTTTCGTCAGAGGAATCAATGGATTAAAAAAAATGGCTATATACTGGAACACCTCATTTTGACCAAAGGCCAGTCTCTAAGTAAAAGGTTGAACTTCACAAATATGTACATTCAGAGTGACAGATAGACAGCTATAAAAACATGTCATTTTACGATTACAATGAAACATGATGAGTTGTGAAAGGGCCCATTAGGATAACAATGTCCAGTTGCTTCTTATCTGATACCTAAGCTATTAAAACCACTTCTGCTTCAAAACAAAATGTCAGCTTTTGCCTGCTCTGTTAATACCTACCACACTGAGACTGACAGGAGTTCTTGGCTTTGGCACTGGGTGGTTGTACAATGATTTTAACATATCATTCAAGTCAGTTTCCTGTAGGAAGGACAAAAAACAATACGTAAATGCCTGAGTGCCCATAAATTGCAAATGTTAAATTCATGGAGAATTCTGCAAGAAAGAAAAGCCCACTAGAGTAAGTTTAACAAGAGATTCTGTGGTTTCAAACTACAAACTAAACTGCCATGCAAGCTTATTGTTGATGTGATGATTTATAGAGTACAGTTGTTGTTTTTTTCAATTAACGAAAGACACTCACTTGAGAAGTTTTAGACATTTTTTTAATCTGTTTGCCACAAAACTGGCTAAGATTGAAGACAGAGTTCTATAAATTGTACAACAGATTATACCCTTTTTCCCTTATAGCCATTGTGGTTAGAATTTGAGAAAATAACTTGTCAAGACCACATTAAAATACACGAGGATTTAAAACATTTTCCCCACACTTTAGTAGACGAAACAGTAAACAAAACTGCACTTTCATTCCTCTGCACTGGAACTTTTGCATAACACTGGAACATTTGTATACCATAAAAAACCCATTAACTTTACATTAGAAGCTATTCAATGCTTTGCAGCTGATGTGATTTTGTATTATACATTTACACAAATATAGGTATACAGCATGTATTTTTCTTCAACCGCAAAAGCACTAAGTAGCAGATTAAATAAATACTGTTTTAGAACAGTTTATAACCAACTTTATAAGAAAAAATCAGAAAGGTTTAAAACAGAGCTTCCCAACCATCTGTCTACAGGGAAACAGCAATGGTACTAAAACTAGTTAAAAACTTCAACATGTCATCCAGTATTTCCTGTGCCCTCAAACTCCAAAACATACTTAGCTTGTGATTTGTTTGTACAAGAAATCTTACACCCCTGCACTGTGTTCTCAGCAGCTTTTTAACATTGCTACATGACAGCCCACTGATAGTACAAGTTAAGCTTTCAGACTGTTTCTTTCAGGGGATGATAGATGCTGGCTCATCAAGTCAATATTTTTTCTATGAAAACTGCTCATAATCATTTTCAAAAGTTTTGCTTCAGCAATTTAATTTTCCAAGACACCAGTATTAGACAGGAGCTCTCTTAATTTGTTTTCTTCTCAGTAGATCATATTTAAGTATTTAATCTAACCTTTTACCTCCTTATTACTGAAGCATCAGTAATAAGGAATTTATAACAGGCTAATCAATTTTTCTACAACAGATTTATACAGTATACAGAATTATACAGACATCTGATTAAAACACATTAAGTCCATTAACACTGACATGAATGCACAAACCAAAAATTCAGTTTTTGTACTCTTGTTCTTTTCACTTCACCAGCAGCATTAAACCTTACACATCAAAGAGTAAGAAAACTTTATTTCTACTTAAGAGGCTAGTGTGGGAAGAGAAAACAAAAACAGCCATAAACAATATTAATTAAAAAATATTTGTATTAAAATCCAAAAATTCAAATGCCCAGGTAAGCACTAATTGATTTATGAGTGTTACATTTACGTTAGTAGGTAATTACAACAAAAATATGTTGCATGTAATGTTAATAAGTAAATTACAGAAAACTGTTTTTTTATATAAAGAAATTCTTACATGTGAATGTACCTTAAGCAGAATGAAAGAGTCATATCACAGTATTTATCATTACTATTTCTATAAATTAGGCTTCTCTTGAGAACAGACAACATTAAAAAATAGGTGGGTAGCTGCGTCAGCATGCGTAGGCTGCAAAGGAACAAGTAATAGGTTTATTCCATGCTGAAAAAAAGAAGAAAGAGAACACAAATTTTCGGCCGTGGAGCCTTCTACAGGTGTACCTGTAGAAGGCTCCACGGCCGAAACGTTGTGTTCTCTTTCTTTGTGTTCTCTTTCTTCTTTTTTTCAGCATGGAATAAACCTATTACTTGTTCCTTTGCAACATTAAAAAATGAACAGCTCACCTGATGTTTTGCTAAGTAGTCTGCCAAAGTGTTTAGCAGCTTATAGTAAATCTCAAACCATGGGAGATAACTGAAAGCAAAGAGAAAAGACATTAACAAACCAAACGCTTTGCACAAACATTTCTATATGCCAACGCTTTACAAGTTTACACATCAAACTTATTCATCCTGGTGTTCTCCACATATCTTTAATTTTTACTATATTACAGTACACAGGAAAACCAAGTTTGCTAAAGCTTCTAAAGTGACTGGCTCCCACAATGCAGACAACATTCTAAACTGCTTTACATTAACTGGAATGATGCCTTCTGTTTACCAGGTGGTTGCTTGGGCATTTGGATAATCGTTCATGTACATAAGATGATCATAAAATGGGTATTTTGCTCTGTATTTCTGTGCTTCTTTCCCCCTTCTGTACCGGTTGTCTGTCTCACCCTCAAATACTTGGCTATGTACCAAGAGTACTTCTTGTGAATTTCCAGTATATCATTCCTTATTAATCCAAGTTATTTCATTATACTCACTATTTGGTATCTTAGGAATTTCTCTTCTTAGTGTAGTTTATTAGATATAAATGTTCTTGTGTAATAACTAAAAGATAAAGCAATTCACTACTACAAACACACAGCTAGATGTAGCAGAAGTGTACATACACATTTTAAGAACACTTTGTTTACATTTAATTATAGATTTCTTTCTGTATGGGGCATTTAAAACATATTGTGGTTGAATCTTGGATAAGAAATGTTTCAAAATCATTAAATTAAAACCTCACGTTTTGCAAAATGGTCTCACATTTTACACATTCTCTTAACAACGAAGTTGCTCCAAACATTGATCTAATTCAACCTAAAACTGATCTAAAACAACACATAATGCACTGTAGACTGAAAGAGAATAAACTATTCTTTATTTTATACAACCAACTTAAAATATTTTGCTCCACATTCAATAATAGCCTTGTTTAACCAGTTCATATAAAATGGAATATGGAGTTGCAAGCTTTAATCCAACCAAATTAATATTAATTATATTACAGATTTCCAATCTAACTGCTTCCTACATATTTATATGTTGCAAATGTCAATGCAAAACCCAGATGTTAAGTTAAAAAAAGAAATCAGTTCCATTTAATACATTCCTTCTTTCATTAAATTATGATAGGTTTACCTAATGCACAAGTAGTAAGAATCTACAGACAAACATATTATGTACAGAACTATTAGTGGGAAGCTGCATCAGCATGTGTAGGCTGCAAAGGGACAAGTAAAAGGTTTATTCCATGCTGAAAAGAGAAGAACGAAAACACAACGTTTCAGTTTGTGGAGCCTTCTTTAGGTGTGAGCTCATAGTTCCTTTAGAACTATTAGTTATCCGTAAATGTTGACTGGTTTTAGAATGTGCCTGGATGCACATGTGCATTATATATTAAAAGTACAAGCATGCATTCAGTCTGAGAAAACTAAGCTCCAGTTTTCTGTCCAGGGACCACACACTTTGTATACAACTTGTAATGGTAATTGATCACAATACAAAAATTTGGAAAAGCCTAACTGCACTCAGCTCTTCTTTTTCTTCTTACAAAGCTAAAACAAGAAGCAAACTTGGAAGAACAAAAAAACTTTTTAAGTGACAAACATAGTCAAGTGATCACAGCATGCTCCTTCACCAAATAAGGATATATTTTGTAAAGGAATAAAATAGTTCTAGTACTGGCTAGGGTCTTTCAATATAATATAGGTCAATGGGTACTCTGTAGACTGGAATTAACATACTACAGAAAATGGTAAAATGTTATAATTATAATTTTCATACACAGCATTTTGATGCATTAAATAAAATATATATGACAATCAGCAAAAACAAAGACCGTTATAGCCATAAACAATTTACAAATGTCAAAAAAATATACAGTCACAACAAACATACAAAAATAATAAATCAGTCAAGACATTTTTATACATGACTAGTTAATATACTACAGTATCTACATCCTCAACAGTGAAGCCTAAGAAAACTATAAATCCAAACCATTATCTATCGTTCTCTGTATGACACCGATGCTTAGAATGCAAGGCTCTTGACTTTTAATCCCTCATTTTTCATTCCTGAAAGGCTTTATAAACAAGAGTATTTCCCTGTCAGAAAACTACACAGAGCTTCCAGACTCTATCATAACTGTAATATAAATGAGTGGATCATAAGTTGTTTATTTTAAAAGTAGATAAATTATTGGTTTATAAGCAGTGACCCTTTACTCATCAAGAGATTAAGGGAGGAATACTCACCAAGGTGGGTGATTTTTAACTTCTTTAATGTTATAAACCATAAATGCTTCATATTTTTAATAAACATTTACACAAATCTTAACACTCCCACTCTTCATCATTTGTGGAACATCTCTTTCTGCTCCCCACAAGCCCATATATATGTAATTTATCTTTCTATGTTCTACACAACCCCCGTGCCTCAAGTGCAAGATTGTTCTAAGTAAAAGTATGCATCATAAACTTATGCCTATAGATACACTTGGACAAAAGAGATGACGCTCTTTTTCGTAAAATGTGTTATTGGCACACTTTACCTGAATTTTTAATCAATGATAACTTTTAAAGTTTACTGAACAATGATTAAATAAATGTTAAAAGAAGCAAGTTAACTACGGAGCCATAATCAAAATTAATGTCTGGACTCAGTTAAATTCACCTGGAACCCATATTACTATTCTTCAGCATAAATATTCCTTTTCAATAAAGCTGGAAGGAATAAGTATACTGATAATGTTTCTATTCGTGGAATTGTATATGTTTACACAGCAAATTTTTAATAATCCCTAATAATTAGCATCCATAGTTTTCCCCCCATCTGGCTAGTGTAGTATTTTACTTGTCTAGTTTATTTTTATTCTTTCTTAAATGGGTCCTAAATCACAACTGATTCAAGAAAGCTACTAAAAGTTGGCTTTAAACTTGTTGCTAGTTCTGTCCGAGATCTGGTGAAACCTTAAGGTTTCAAGGTTAAAGGTTAAGTAAAGAAAAGGAAATGTTTTCTGTCAAACTGCTAAGTGACCACTAATAGAAATAAACCTCCAGCCGGAATCTCAGTTTTAGCTATCAAATAAAACAGAGGAAACCATCCTAGAGCTTCTAATGTCCAGGGGCTACTTTTTCAATGCAGAAGAATGACAAAAAAATGTGTAAAATGGAAAGATTTAGCTTTTAAAGTGGTTTTGCCTAAAGGGACCCAGGGCTTTAAGCTTGCTCTCATGCTGCAACACTACAAAGGTTCGACCACATAAAACTGTCCCACTCATTAGAGTGTTTCCTTATGTACGCAGAGGTGACAATTTTATAGTCCCAACACTTCAACAATCAAACAGAGGCAAACTGTTTTAATGACTTTCTATTTTGTTTTCAAGAGAACAAAAGATTCAGTGTGGATTTGTTTAATAAATGGCCATGTTTTAATTAATGGCCGTGAGCTTTATACACATATTAAGGATAACTTATCTGGAATGGAATATATTCTATCTTATGGAAAAACAAAACCCCTCATTTTCATGACAAACTCGGCAAGGCAGAACAAAAATATTACTGGAAAACAGCTTGTCCGTTTTAATGAAGCCATTAATGAAATTTTAGTAAAAGGCTAATCCTTACACCAACCACATTCTATCATGATATCTAGGAATTGATATTTACATATGTATACTATTCATGGAAAATAAAATTCTGCAATAGGTAGGGTATTATTGTTTCCAAGTACTTTTCAATAACAGAAAGATATTTTTCATACTGACTCGATTTGAATAATTAATTACTTCTGTCTGCACAAATTTAATCCAGACAAAAAATGACCTTTAAATAGCCATAAAGCATCCCATGTTTTATAACCAATAACTTTCTTCTACTGTATGCTTTATATTATGAATGAACCAAGCCATGCAAACTACTCAGAATGCATAATGCATTTTATACATCATATGTCAACTGAATTACAATGTAATGCTCAATGAGAGGGACAGGGGAGCCTTCTGCTAATTGGCACAGGGACCATACATAATTATCGCTGAACTGTCTCTGCCATCCTTCTGTGCCAATAGGCACACAACAAGGAAAAACAAAGGCAGTCTTGACTGTGGCAGCATGAGTGGTTTATACAACAGTTTATCAACTCAATATTAAATCCAAATCCTCCAACAATATTGTGGCAAATGCTTGTAAATTGGAGTTATGTCTTCATTTTATGAAAAAATAATGGAGCAACAGTTTAAAGAGTTTTGCATGTGAACACAAAAATAAAGTTCACCGATATGAATAAATGCTCTCATTCCATGTAAACTCTACTAAAGAATTTTCTGTATTGAAATACTAAGAATCATCAAGTATCCATCAATTATACAGTACATGATAACCTCATGGCTCTCACAGAACAGAAAAAACATTTATTTTGTTGACTTTCTAATAAGGTACACAGAAATCAACTTGAAACTAATGATGCAGTATTAAAAAGCTCGACATGAAATTGCAATTAAGCAGGAGGTCCATTGAAAAAACAAACTGCTGTAGCCACTAATGCTTAAAAAGCTGAACACGACATTTACAAAACTCCCATAATACCTAAAAAATAAAAGTATTCTAATAAAGACATATTATAAATCACTGCAGACTGACACAGCTGTAAATCTTCCACCCCTTTAAAAAGGGGAGAATGGTCACAAAAACATATGGTAACAGAAGACTTCACGCAGGTTATTTATAAAAAAAATATATAAAATACTTTCAATGAAGTAGAAGGCGCCGCATTAGAATTTGTAGAGTTTCGCCATACCACCATTTAAATCTCTCACAATATTGAGAAGCAACTTTAGGTATTTTAGAACTACACGTTTTCAGAATTTGTTCATCCAATTTGATGTCAGATTAGTTTAGGCCATTCCTTCAATAGAAAATCGCACAATGAAAAAAATAAATTGAGACATCAGCTTACCTTAGTATACAGATGCAGACCTTGCATCCCGACGTCAGCCGGCAGAACCCAAACCTCTGTTTGCCTTCAATGTCTGTTAGCACAAAGGTAAAATGCTGTCCCACCTGGTTTTGGGAAACTCTGTAGGAAGTTTGTAAGAAAGAAAAGAATCTGTAAGATGTACGATTTTCTGTAAGAAAAGAACATTCAAGCGAAACAAACTTAAAGAAGTGACTACTTCAAGAAACAATGACAATGTAATAATTCAACAGAAACCAACTGTCAAACCTGTAAAGGAAACCCTTTCCACTTAGCACTGTTAGTATCTAACCAACAGCAATATTATGCTTAGAGGGTAACTTGTCATAAAAAAACTGCGTACAAACTATAAAAATAAAAGATTTCAAGATTGAGAACACTGAAAATACAAGTCCTGTTATACTAGATATAATTGTCATCTTACAGACAATACTGTATTGTGAAGCAGGTCTTATTTTATTTGGAATTCAATGACTGAAATAACATGTTTGAAAAACAAATCAAATGTTATGAAAACATTCATAAATAGCATGAAAAGATATTCACTAAAGCTCATTGTTTATAAAACAAAGACAAAGCATTGAAGTAAATATTATTTTTTAAATGAGACCAATAATTATTAATCTGGCAATGTGTCTTTTAATGCTGTTTTAAATGGGATAGTTGATACTTAAATATTCCTCGCCAAAAATACAATGTTCTGATCATTAGTTAAAACTACTAGGATGCTCCGCTAGTTATTTTTAAGAATACGATTTTACCACTAGATGGCAGCAGCAGTGCTTAAGCGGAAGGTCTCGATTATGACATTTCCCAACCCCCATCAAAAAGCTGTACAATGGGACTTTTTTTTCTATTTTTTTCCATGAGCTTAGTAAACATTAAAGGGCAACTGCTTTTGAAACCATATCTACATGAATACTTGTGCTGGAAAAGAAATTGAACACTAGTATCCCAATAAAATGATCAAATATATCAGTTAAACGATCCCTAGAGAAAAGAACAATTTTGTCATGATCCTAACAGCAAAATTGACCAGACAACCAGAAAAGTTGAAACAAAACAACTACCCAAACAGTACATCTATTAGTAAAAGTACTGAAAACACAACTTTCCTTACATTTAAAATGTATCAATATGTTTGCTGTGGAAACAAAACATTTACATGTGTAAATGAAGCATTTTCACATTTTCTCACACAACAAACTGTATATAATTCAGTTTTCCAGTCCAAACTACTGGAAACACATGCATGCACATTTGAGGCAAACTGAATGAGACCGCAGATACTGTTCGGTGGTTCTGTTTGGAACATTTCACTGTACCTTTCAACGTCAAAGGGGAAGCAGAACTTTGGCACACTTTGCAGGACTTCCTGTAAAAACAGATTAGAAAAAATACATTAAAGACCTGAAAGCCTTGAATTCATCACAGGGTGATGAAACTCTTGCAAAGTAGCCAAAACCTAGCCGTAGTGCAGTGCTTTTCCTAAAAAGAAAAATAAAGAAGAGTGGGGTAAGGGTAATCCTTAGTTTAAGTAATTAGCCACAATTAAGTTCATTGATTCTAGCAGCAGATTTAAAAGTATGCTTTGGCAGATTGCAGTGACAATGGCTAAGCAGTACCAGGAGTAAGAGCCCTGGCCTAAAGGGTATTAACGCCCCACACCTCCCCAGTGGGATCCCCTCACCAGCAGCATATGGATTTTTACAAGAAGCATTGTACCATATGGGTAAGCCACGTCTGCCTGTACTTGTACCACAGCCTAGCCATGGGGAGGTGTTACTGATCCCCCCGCTCACAGAAAAAAAAAACAAATGCTGCCACAATTAAGAAAAAAGCTTGAAAAGAAGGACGAGCTCAGACAATGAAAAATAAAGCTAACCAATTCATTATTTTGCCAGTTACACTGCAAGCTGTAGTCAGTGGCATTTTTTTTTCTGAGAGATGGAAATGCCTGTTCTATGTTTCAAGTGTTAAATTGCTGTGTTGCAATAAAGCTGTCGCAGACATCTGAGCTGGTCCTTCATATGCATTCAAGACTATTATTAACTATTATGTACACAAAACAGTATGTTCCCAGGTACTTCAGTGGTGGAAATGCATATGGTGCGCACTCCATTTCTGTGCAAATGAAATATTTTATGGGCAAAAAAGGTTTGCCATGGCCTCACCTGCTGCAAAAGAAAGACTTTTCATTTAGATTTCTTGCAGCATTTTAAATTATTTGCCGCCAATAATGCACATGGTTGCGGAAAACATGTACATTTATTGTTCCTTAACTAAATGTTTTATTTTTGTGGCAGCTGTAGTCTTCACATGGGATTCAACACACTGCACAAGTTTCAGGAAAGGACATTTCAACAACAAAATAAAATCAATCTAAATTAAAGAAAAACAATTAGCAGTTAGGGGTCTGTTTTAATTTTTAAGAGAACAGGTAAAAATTAAGGCACAACTCATGAGGAAGCAGCCATCCATGTCAATTGCAGCTTGCAACTTTTAGTTTTTCAAATGAAAGTTTTAATATGAATCTTTCAATGTTTTTTTATTAATTAGCACATCCGCTATTAAAACACAAAACACTATACAGAACTGCAATACTACAACATGCATAACTAAAAAAAGTGTTCATTTGTCTTTTTGAAATGAATCATTTTTCCTGTTTTCTCCTAAAACAGTGACAAGCTGTTTCAATTGAATTTCTATCTCCACTTGTTGTTCTGGATTCATCCAGGTTAGACAAGGCCTTCACTAAAGGAGGCTGAAAAAGAGTCAACAGGGAGAAGCATTTTTGTTTTAACTGTTTTCCCATGACAAAAGAATATAAAACAGATAATACATTTACAAGTCACTGGAGTCAGTGGATGAACTCCAAGATTCTATTATTTATTTACTGTTCAGGCAGGGATAGCACTCAATGAGACAGCACTCTCATTGTAGTAAGGTCCCATGGCAACAAGCTGCAATCACAAATTTATGTATTTACTTATTTTAAAGATTTCATCAAGAAATTCTACAGAGACATAACAGCTCTTTTTGAGTAGCCCGCAAGAGATTATTCCCAACAATTTATATTCTGGAAAGCATGTTTATCATAGGGGCAAGATGAGAACTGCTACAACCAAACTTTAATATCGGTAAAAAATATTAACTCTATTAAAGACTACAAATTAAAATTCCTTATGAACAAAGAATTAATCTCCGATGTCAATCAAAGCTTTGCTGTACTTAACCAAGGATTAACTATTCCTCAGTAATGAAATACATTTTAGATGTAAAAATCATGTAACTGGTATTCAGTTCTTCGCTCCTGTCTAAAAAAAAAATAGCCTCAGTTCTCACCTCCTTCCCTACTGGCAGAAGCTTTCCCTAGGGGTTATGTCTTTAAACCTCAACTCTCTTTAAAATTCAACCAGCCAGCAGGTCTATAGACTGCTGTATAAACAGTATAGAAAAAAAAATCTTCCCTGAGCTTATGTCAGTGGCAAAGCTGCTCAGCTGATGGCTGTATCTCCCCTGACGGAGTTAGATGGGTTTGCACAGATCAATGCTGGGACTCGTAGCCAGGCATCCTTCCCCAATTAGATTCCTCTCAAAACATTTTACAAAAGGCATACATACAGCATACATTTAAACAAGACAGTTTACATAATGTGCTTCCCAACATATGGAAAGCAACATTATGGCTGAAGCTGCTTTCAACAATATGGCAATAAATGTCGCCAATACATGCAATGAATGCACTGAGCACGGTGTAAGACAGCGAGATCAATGATAAATGCTCAGGGTTTTACAAATGTAGGATCCCATATCGTTTTAGCCATCTACTGTTCAATTTAAAATGTCAATATAAAATTCAACCTCCCCCCTCCCCTCCCCACACACACTCAACTCCATCAACAATCTTCTACTAGCTTGTCAGTCAAAAAAGAGGATGGAGTTTCAATTAATACCTTTCTCTCACTCACTGCATGTGATCACCTGATTTTGCTGAGTAACTGAACTCATTGGCATCCATGCGGAGTTGGGGAGTTTCTGCCTGCTCTATGAGGGCCAATTTGTAAAAGGTAAAGCAAACCCCTGCATTCCACTTCAGCTCTCATAACGTAAATCTGTTTCAGTTTGAAGCAGACAAAAATCAAAATTAACTTCTTTTAATGGGGCCACACTCTTTCATTTTGGTAAATCTAGCTTCTCCTGGGTGTTTGCAGCAAAGGCCAGAGGGTAGCTGATGAGATTTTAAATGCCATCATTTTAGTTTACTGCCAATGTATAGTAGCAGGTATTTTATACTAGTGTTTATCATAAAAAGGAAAGAAAATGATTTATGTTGCTTAACCTACTCGCAAAAATTCACAATCCCAATGCCTTGGGTCACCCTCTGCTCTAACAGAAATTAAATTAATGGAGAAGACGTCAGAGGATCTATGTCCAGTTCTCAGTGAAGAGCAGAAAGCACACGATAGTCCCTAGTTACATCTAATTAAAACACAGAAGACCATTAAAGGGTACCTATATTTTTGGGAGATGAGTACCTTAAACAATGAGGTCTTTATCACAGGATATAAAGGCTACAATTTAAATTGCTTTGACAATTATGGATTTCAGTGACACTTTTTTGTACTAAAATACAACACACTTAAGGTCTGATGGTTTTTTTTCTTCAGTTATATTTTCACAGACATTCTTTTGACTTTTACCAAACTGCTGCTGCACTTAATTATAAAATAAGGAAAAAATAACCTTTGCTCCCAACATGTTTTCTTTTTATGTCTGCATTGGACCAAACCAACTATGCAATCTAGGGTGTTTTTTAGTAATTCAGTGCATCATCCTAATCCCAGAACTCAAAACACTCCGACTTTTACACAAGAAATCAATTCTAAGTTCAAAAACTGATCAGACTATAACTATAAAATTGAGGGTAAAAAACAGAACATGGACTCCTATCATTTTATTAACACAATCAAAACAATTGGTATAGTATATTTTCCAGTTCAGATATCAAATTTTTATTTAACGTTTTTATAACAAAAAACTAAAAGTGTATTATTTAGTGTTATAAATTTCAAATTAATCAACATGGCTGAATAGCATAGTTTAATTAAAAAAAACAACTCAGCAATCATTGGATATGAATCTACTCATTTCTGATGGAGAACAGTTTTGTTCTAAAGAAGACAAACTGATATTCCTCTGGGCAAACTGGAGATTTTGTTGCATACGCCTGAAATGCTAAGCCAGAAACATCATTAACTGAGTGCCAACTGGCCTCGGGGGTTTTACCCATTTAAGCTTTCATCTCCCATTGGACTCTCCAGTCTTGTACTACCCTGCTGTGTGCTGCTGTGTGGATCTGCTATGAGCACTCCATGGTCTAGCAGGAGAGAACAACAAGCCTATTCCAGCCTTAAATGTGCCACCATAAATACATGTCTTCTTCACGCAATTAATGGAACTGGAAGATGGAGTTTTTCTGTTGCAGGATGAAAACATGTGCTGTGTTCTTTCACATTTGTTTTAACATATCTTATAGCCTGTACTGCAGAAATTACAGACTGAAGAACAAAAGCTAAGCATACAGTGTATACTACTGTGAAGGTATTGGCAACAATAAAAGACATTCAGTGACTGGAAATACTCGGAAATGTTTTATGGCAAATGAACATGTAAAATTCAAGGAAAAATAATGTTTTTAGAGAAAGATAAACTAGGTTACCTAATTATATGGTTAAATAGGCTGCTTGCCACTATACAACTGAGATCATTATATTTTTGTTATATTAATGCAGGTACATTCTTGCAGCTCTCCAGATCAAGGATGCTTTTAAAAACTATGAATCATTTTTTGGCAACTAGCACCAAAAAATAAGTATTATCTCTACTTCACCTCATCTGCTGCCCTATATATAAATATTAAAAGTAGTTATAGTAATACAAAAGCAAAAGAATACACTGTAGTCAGTGAATGTGTGAGTGCCAGTGTAGGGGATGCACCAAATGTGTATTTCAGCACTGAAACAGAAAGGACAGAAACAAAATGTACAAGACTGTGGCCAAATCTGACTTTGTTCTGCAGTCCTTATTATAAAAGCTGACTCAAGTGTTTAGCAATCAATGCTGCCACCTGTTCTCCCTTTTTAAAGGCCAGAACACGAAATTGACACCTGCTGCATGAAGAACATAAGACACAGGAAAATGTTTGGCCATGTTGTGGACATTTTTTTTTATCAGGATGTTTTTTTTTTTTCTTGTTTGGGTACAGCAGTGGGGCAAAACATATTCACCATCTTGTAGAATACTAAACTACAAAGTATTATAATCAAGAACCACAAACAACAAGGGATTTCAGAAGCTCACCATGCTTTGGCATAAAGGCCAGCACGCCAGGTTGGAACTGCAGATTACCCTGAACTTTAACACCCCCAACCCCCCCAAGAAGCCTGTGTTAAAAAAATCATGCAGACAAAACAACATCCAAACCTGCTGTCAACTTGGACAGAATGAACCCCCCCCCCATGCCTTCTCATCTCCCCACCCCCAACTACCCTTTGTAGAGGGTGCTTCACGTTGAAGGCTTAAAAAGATGGCCATCTTAGTACTGACATTCCACATTGTTCAGATCATTTTCTCCTACATCCCCTGGGTGGTGCACTGCATCCTACTGCAGCCAAGGAGAGGAAAGGCAACCAATCATGAAGTGTCAAGTTTAGACCTTTTGATTGAACATGGTGTCAGATAGTCCAAATATTTGCTTTAAGGACCCTTGGGATGATCAGTACATCCTTATATGTTAAAGCAGCCTCCCAGAACAAATCATTTCACTTGGATAATGAAGAAATAACAAAAGCTAAAAGAACTCGCCAACACAACCTCCAACCCCCTACCCCACCCCCATTGCCACATTGTTAAATTCAATGGCCTTCAATTTTTAATCAACAGGGAAAACAAAACCCTGCAAGCACAGAAAATGTTTTTTTCCATGCCTTGTTTCGAAAGTGCCAAGTGTCAGTAAGGTATCTTAGGTGGCTTATAACTAAAAGAAAACGTAGTCTTCTAAAGAAACTTAACATATAATTTTCCAATTACTGTTTCTACTTCAACAGATGTTCTAACATTTTCTTACAACTTGCATAAATATGTGGACAAAACTATTTGCTTTTAAACTTTTATGTGCTCCCACTACTTATCTTCAGAAGGGGTGGAAGACACAAGATTTGCACTTTAATATTAAGTACGTCTTAAGACTTCTTACGTCTTTTACGCCTTATAATTCCAAAAATTATCTGTACCATGAGTTTGAAGCGTCATGATCAAAGTTGTGCGGAGCCAAAGGTAACTGGTGAGACATGAAAGTAAGGGCATTGTATTTCTCAATATAAGTACTGTAATGTACTTTTTCAATCATGCACTTGCTTTACTTAACCACACTGCATGAGATAAGGATTTTCTCATGTAAACCTAAGGGTGCACAGAACTGCACAAGATAAGAATGAAATACTGCAAGAAAGATAAGGAGCGGCATATAATGGAACTGCTGCCGAAGTCACTTAAAAAACAGTAGCCCTATTTTCCAATATCTGATTATAGATTTAAAAATCGTTGAGCAACACACAATAACCAGCGAGACAGAAATATTAATTTTCAATAACGATCCGAATGTTGCACTGGCTATGTTCACACACGCAACATAACTCTACACATGCCATGTACTGTATGTATGTTTTTGTTTTGTTTCATTTACATTTTTCTAGGTTGTTCAACAAATGTGTGTACTTCTGAAAAGCTTCACTCACAGCTTGTATGAAAACAAATGTAGGAAAATGTAGGAATTTTAATATATTAATTTGCCAGGTAAGATTTTTTTTAATCAAACTCCAAGAACAAAGTATGGTATGATTAAAAGTTCAAGAAGGAAACCTGTGACTGACAACAGGCAAGCAGAATCCTGATTTCTCAGAAGTTCGGGAAGAAATCTAAGAAGGGATAGATTGATTTCCATCTGTCCGCTTCATTTGCAAATCATCCTCTTATAATTCAAATATATGCCTTTGCTTCTATACACAGCAGCTGGGGATGACCAAGACTTCAGAGTGTTCAACTGATCATTTTCACTTCATATTCCACAGACTACGTGCCAGCTCCCAGTCTGTTCTCCTTTGAGTCCTATTCTACCAGAGCAGGCAGTGCTTCTTAAAAAAAGGAAATCAATTCATATTTCCATAATCCACACTTCTGTCTGTCTCTCTCTCCCCTCCCCAGGGTAGACTAACCCATGCACCCCGATCTACGGCCTACAACTGTCATTACGCTCAGCAACAATAACAAGATAAACAAAAGGGCCCTGTAGAGTTTGGGTCTGTTACCGCCATATGCTGAGTAACTTAAAAAAAAAAATCTCCAGCTACCGAAGCAGCAGCACAACAAAAACTAGAGAGGCATAATCCCAGTAATGAGCCAAGTGAATGAGCCCTTTATGATTATGTGGAAAAGGCCAATCCATCTGTACACACACCAGGAGAAGTAATCGCATCCACAAACAATCTTAACAAAAGTACATTAATTACACATTTTACACTGCCAGTTCTACAACAAAGGTTAATTTATTTCAAACACTATTATAGTTTTGCTCTGTGACACTATTTCGGGGCATTGTGATGACAAAACCTACAATAAAAAAGCTCAGTATGTTTGCAAAGGACTAAGACGTTCCATTGTACAGAAAACAGAATAGTCTGTGCATACATGTTCCTGTTTGTTTTTATGATATACAACCCAACTACTAACCCTACCCTAACCCACCTACTTTAGTGGTTAGGGACCTACATCCATTTATAGCCCATTGTACAGAAGCAACAAGCAACTTGTTAAACCACAAAAAAGCTCACGATAAAACTGCAATGTTAAATGAAAGTATGACAAGAGCTATGTTCATTTTATTCACACAATATAATGATTAATGACAAGCACTATCTTTATTTGTATAAACACTATTAATAGGTTTAGAAGCATGACTAAGTATTAATATTATCTATTATGACATGTCCATACAAATTTTAACACATTTTTGCTATACAGCTTACATTCAAACATGGGGTGCTTTAAATATTATATTCTTTTGATAACACATTCATCTGATGCAAAGACAATTTCACATTCTAAACTCCTATCACGAAGCAACTGCTACACCTTTTAAAAAAGACACTTAATGACAGCTGACAACATGAAATTAAAATATTTTGAATCTCACAAGTTAATATTATTCAATGCACGCCATACAGTATATCGCATAAATTAATCCATCCATCTTCTAACCGCAGTATCCAATACTGGTTTGCGGGAGAACCAGAGCCTGTCCCAGCAAGCAAAGGGCTCAAAGAGGGATACATCCTGTATGGGACACCAAGCCATTGTAGGGCACACACACCAGGGCCAGTTTTCCCAGATGTCAATTATACTACCAATATGTCTTTGTACTGGGGAGGATACTTTAGCACCCAGAGGAAACCTACAGGAACCCAGGGAGAACATACATGCAAGGCACAAATTCTAAGCACTACACCACCATGCCACCCATGGTGCTCAAATACACATCATAAATACTGAAAATCAGTGGAAGGTCAAAAACTGATTTTTTTTTCTAAGAGCAACTGCACAAAATAACTAATCACTCAACAAAATCTGGGTGGGGGTTTCCCTTTGGAAACATGTGCAAGACAACTCAGTGAGTGGGTATAGAAGAAACCCATACCTGATGTTAAGAGCAATTATAACAGAGGCAGGCCATTCTCAAATACAAGTGGCATTAAATTAGTAACACATAAAGCCTTAAATAAAACTGATTTTATTAAAAATAAAACAGATACGTATGTTGGCATCAAAAGCATGGTTGTTCATGGACAACGAGAAGTGTTCCTCAGTGCAATACAAAACTGCTGGGATATTGTGGCAGTGTTGGATCTTGACCTTATAACAGCCAAACGAAGTCCTGTATTAATGCAACCAATGAGAAACCAGGGACAAAAGTTGGACATAGACCAGACAACAGTTCTTATTTCGGTCTCCCTTTACAAGCAACTAGAAGAGTTATAGCAAAAGCAGAGGACTGGTCATGGAACTTGGACACAGAACACCGAAGATTTTTTTTATTTTCAAGTCAGGCAACAGCCAGCAAAGTATGATGCAAGATGAATATCAACTGATCATTGCACATTTCCAAGCCCTGGCTATTGAAATTTGGGGGTGTTGTTTTACTTCTTGTTTAAATATCACATCTCATACCTATGACAAATCATTTGATTGGTGGGGACTGGGTTTTTAACTACTTAAAATATCCCCGTATTTCTTATTTGTACCGTATAAGGAAAAGGTAGCCTGTTATTAAAAACATTTGTATTGGATAATCAGCTGTTTAGCACTCGAACTATTACTTTCATGAAGTTCAGAAAAAAAGAGAAAATTAAAGGTTTTAAAATATTTTACAAAAGAACTCAATTTGGTGTGCCTGTGTACAGTATGTTATCAATTCTTTATTACTTTCTATAAAAAAAAACATGCCTGGCCTACCTCTTTTTTATAAAAAACAGCACATACATTAAAAAAGAGGCTACTGCTTCAATGAATTCTGAATTGACCACAATAGGCATGCATTTTGAAATGGTCACTAATTTCTTGTTATTTTTTCGGATACAGCTGAACACCAGGTTCACTATTTAGCCTAATTAAATGAAACAACGCTCAAATAAAATTGTTACTAAACACTGCCTAAAACAATGCCAACTACAGCACCTCTCAGATGTAAGGAAAAGGAATTCACCAATTCAACAACACTTAAAACAAATCCGCACCATCAGGAAACTGAAGTCTTATTGAGACCCAGTATGTATTCCTGTCACGGCTGCATAATAATTACTGATACGTCAGTTATTGAAGACCTGCTCACTGCTTTTCATTACCGTCTGCCTCTCCACGGCTGACTAGGAGAGGATTTTTATTTTAACATAAAAAAAGTTCATTTTATGTTTCCAACCTGGTCTCCAAAGTCCTCCGGGAACTTCCACAACACCGCTGGATCTGTAAATAATTGACAGACAGCATTAATCAGCAGCTGAAGAACAGAAAATAACATTCAGAACGCATAAATATTAAGGGGGGGGGGGTAGTTTTTCCTCAAGTCTGCACACTCCAGCTCAGACCCTAAAAATGTGTGGGACCTTCTGAATCAGAACATCCTCTACTGTGTCTCCAATCTTTTTTTTCTGAACTATGGTTAAAAATTGGAAAGTATCAATGCACTTAACTCAAATCTTTATCCCTTAGGACTGTTTATATCTCATAAATGTGGTGTTTCATTTTCAACATACTGTGGCCTTCAGAATTATTGAGACACCTCAGGTCTTTCTGTTAAAGGTTGCCTTTTGTCAAAACCATTTATCCAATTTGTGTCAAGACTTCCGAAGGCTGCGGTAGCCTACTGCAATGTGCATGATGAGACTCTGTTTTTTTTTTTTTGCAGTGTCTAGACCTGGATCCCATTGCTTTCATACAGGATGGCAGAATTTTTTAGTCAATACAAATTGTGCCAAACTCCCTTTGAGGAATTCAAAGAGCATAGGGACAGTGAGGATCCCTGAAAAAGCCAGTATGGCTTTTTACAGTACAGTATGATAAAACATGGTTCTATTTAAACTAGACTATTTTGTCATGTAGTCAAATAGAAGTTTTTAAAACACTTCATTTAAGCATAAAGTGTTTCAGACAAAGAATGTCATGTTAAAAGAATTTTCATTTGTATTTGATATGAGCAGATTATAAAATATAAGAATTCACATATTAACTATATAGGGTGGCCTAACATTTCAAATTCATTGTAAATACCTTTAGTAATATTCCTTATAAATTCATGTGTGTGGCCCTTGTTCATCAAGAGGAATTCTGTAAATCATGCCTGCACCCACTGTCAAAACCCTTATATTATTTTAATTAAACTTTATTAGATGCATGCTCGTTAGTTAGAAACGGCTTAGCTATATTATATTTTCATGTATTTGATAAGTAAATACATTGTAAATGTGATCTTCTTGAGCAAAGACATCCCCAAAATTAATACTGCACTATTGGTTGTGATGATTAATCAGCTAAAGTCTTACACATGTGTGAATTTGGTATAATAAATGAATAGATTTGCATGGTATTTAGTTTTTGTGGAAACTGCATTTTATATTTTCAATTCCACATTCAAAACAGGAAGTACTTTGCATGTGCATTTAAATACTGTACATTTGACCACAAGACTGAAATGTAGATGAGCTACAACACAATTGCCTATATAAACAAAACTGGAATGTTTCATTCTGGGTATGTAAGGATAGTACTTTAAAAGGTAGGCTTGATCTGCTGACAATTTTTTGGTGTCTTGTATATGAGCTTTACAGACACACACTTATTTAAAGTACCCCACCAACAGCAGAGCGCTACACTGCACGACTTTTCATTCTCACTGCCCACACACTGAGCTTCAAAGTCTCCCTGAGCTCTGAGTGTGAGACAAGGTGTAAGATAGTGCTGCTGTCCAGCTTATGCTGTGTGTGATTTATTAAGAGGGAACTGGACTGCCAGGAAGCATTTGCTCTGTCTGTTTATATTTAGGTCTATATATACTTTCCCAAATTTAAGTCCAGTACTTCAGTAATTCAGCCTTCTCGATTAAGTTAACAAATGAAGCTATTCACTCAACACATAATCAAACAATAACACAACATAAAACCAGAATATACATCCTTGTTTTGAAAAGCTCCCCTATACTGCCATTCAGGTACTTCAGATTATGTTCTGTATCAATGTTATAAAAGCAATAAATGACAGAGATTATACATAACCACTCATTAATCTTATAATAGGAGTCTTCACAATTTCAATGGCATGGGTTTTTTTTATCGAAAATCATACCAGAAACCTTTACTCAAGAGTTTCAAGGGGGAGAAAACTGAAAATTCATCACATTTTTCCTGTATATTGAGAGGTATATTTAAAAACCCTGTTTATGGAAAAATCCAAAGGATTCATTTTATTTTTCTAAAACTTCTGGGTACATACTGTAGCTTGTGAAAAGTTCCATTATGTGAAATTCTACCCACTAAAAATAAACTGTAAACAGTTTAAACTGTAAACAAGATTTAAAAATTGTACCAAAAGGCAAAAAAAAATCATTTCAGACCTCTCTTGACAAATGTTTTATGGAGAAGCGAAATAAAGATATCATTCATTCCCCATTTTGTGTTTTTCAAACAGGAAGCAGCATGGCGAGTTACTGAATGTTTCAGGAACTCCCAAAATACATGACCAAAATGTGTATTGCTTAGAATATTTGTGAACCACTAAGTCGCAACTTCATGAGTCAAACTGTTACCAAGACTCACCGAATCAACAAGAACACTGAAAAAGCACAAACCAGAGAAAACTAGAGTTCTTACGATTTTTAGATTTATAAATGTAGTATCTGAAACACCGGAGTACTTAAAAAATAATACAGAGCAACCATAATTCTAAAGGAGTGGTTTATTCTTGAAGGGCACTAATTTTTAAAGAAACCAACCAGCAGAAATAGCAACATAACTCAAAATGTGTTACACTGTAGTTCAGTGCTATGTGCAAGAAACAGTAAGCACTCCAGTACGTATGTTGATCTCTCACTTCCACTGAGCTCAGCCAATTACACTGTTCCTGTTCTTTATGGATTGTGGTGTGATAGCTGCAGAAGCATCTTGCACATGATTATTCTCAATTAAGCCCAACATATACAGTGCACAAATACAGTACATAACTGTCCAAGCCATATACAATAGGCTATTGACGTGCATAGTAACATTTGAAAACACAAAGGTCTTTCGACATACAGCATGAACAAACATACGGATGTATTGGTGATTACTGGTTGTTCAAAAAACACTGCTATATTTTGTTCTGACAGTCAACTTTTTGTGATTGGATCATAAAGTATCCACTTACAAAACACAACTCCAGGCAATGCTAATGTAGCTGATGAGAAAGAAAATGAAGTCAATCTACTTCTACTTGAACAGATTTTGCCCTGCGCCATAATTTAGGATCACTTTTGCTGTGGCCCCTGCTATGCAAGTAAAAATGAGAAATCTTTTCAAAATAAAACTATTATAATATATATTATAATCAAAATACTTAAGGTGCCTGACGGCCTTCACTAAAGATATTTATTGCACTACAAATATTTTGAAAAGATAACTATCAAAAAACTAAAATGTGGAGTGGCACAGTGACCCAGTTATTAGTGTTGCTGCCTTGGAGCACTGGGGCACTGGGCTCAGTTCCAGTCAAGGGGTGCAGTATGCCCTCCCCATCTTCACATGGGTCTTTGCTGGGTGCTCTAGTTTCCTCCTACAGTCCAAAGACATACTGGTAAGTTAATTGGCTTCTGGGAAAACAGACCACAGTGTGAGTGTGCGCTTGTTTGTGTCCGTGTCTGCCCTGCAATGGACTGGCATTCTGCGATTAGGAAATGTGTCGATGGATGGATGGAAGGAATTCAAATGTTTGTCTCACATTCTGAACATTCCCTGTGGTTTAAAATGGTTTAAAATCTATCACGTAAATCATGAAAATGGAACTTGAGAAAAATCTAATTATATAGAGATTTAGGAATCTGAAAGTTTGCCTTTATATACTCAACATTACAGAACAGTAAGATGATCAGATGTAAACATAACATGGTACAGTACATGTAACAATATGGAACCCACTCAACTGCCTAATTGGCCAGGAAGATAAAGGTATAAGTACATAATTATGGTTTGAGCAAAAGATACAGATTCACTTTGTAAAAATAAATGAGCTTACCAAAACCTAATATGCATATTTTAGATGATTTTGTTGCTATTATTTTTAAAAAATATATCTCCATGTTTATTTCATGAATTTGAAAGTATAATTCTTTGGTCAAGTTTTACAGCTATACAAGATCCATCACCTACAGTATCTACTGTATGCTACTGTACATTTCACAAACCTCTACAACTGTAAGTCTCTGAACCTGTTTCTGCCATTTGCTGTAGCACAAGAAAATAGGTTGATTAATACCGTCTGCAGTCACGTTTCTTATCAAAAGTTTGAGAGTTCAGAATGTCACTTGTAGCATGAAATAATCTTGTTCTGAGTGAGACTCTGACCTTTGAAGCATAGAAAAAAACAAAAGAAATAGCACTAACAGAAAAGCTTAATCAACTCGGATATCTGATGCTTAAAATATCTACTCATGGTATTGTCAGATTTATAACAAAATGACTTTAGAAATTGTACTCCATGCTTCTGATAGATATTATGACAGCATAATAAATCCTTAATTGTTCTGTTTTACAACAAACACAAATGAAGTGCTATATTTACTGCATTTGAAAAAAAGGACAAACTCACTAAAGGACAGAGCAGACAGAATCAAAGACACATTACATAATCCGATTCCATGATTTCACGCACTTCATCTTAAAAGATTTACAAAGACTGAATTTTCTTTTCCTTAGGGATTATTTCCCAGATGCCCCATCTGATCTGTCAGTGTTAGGTCAATTTTATGCTGATTTTATGGGTGAGAGGATGAGAATCACTGCCAGAAAGAGCTGCGACCAAAGACAAAGTACCTAGAGCACTCTGTTCTGTCGACTTTTTTTCTCCATAAGGCTGTGTATTAAAAGCTAAACTATTCAAACATACCTCAGGACACATGCTTATTCATATGAAGAAGGGGGGACTGGCAAATAACAACCCCTGTGGGACAATTTTTTTTTTCTTTTATAAGAATTTATATGGAAAGCCCAGATTCAGATCAACTTTCTATTGTGTCCTACTTTATATAGTTTGAAGAGGACTTTTTAAAAAATATATCCAAGAAAGACTTGTATATTTATAACACTTTGAAGTGATGAAAGGGAGTGTAGACAATCTTAGTGGGGAGACAAACAATGGGTGTAAACAATTAATATACATTTCTCTTATTTTCTTAAACTAAACTAACAATAAGTAGTTCAGGTGAAGAAGGCTCCACG